GCACCTTCTATTCACATAAAAAATCGTAAAACCTACAACAATTAAAAGCACAAGGTGAATATATAAAGTCAAACAGTGTTCATATAAGCTCGCAAACTATGGCAGAAAGGCCAAAAACAAGAACAAGGTAAGAATAAACCGTGAACAACATTTCTCAGGTGGATAGGAAAACATAAACCAAGACAAACATTAGCGACATTACATGACCTAAATGAAAGGAGCATCAGCATCTGATTTTCTTATGAGAAGACGCAAGGCTATTTCCTTCACAACTTTCTCCAGAAGAGCATCCCTCGATACCTCCTTCGTGCTTGCACCTCTAAGAGAGACCTAATTTAGAGTGGGTCTTTCTAGCAAACTTTTTAAAAATACAAATACATGGTTGCATTCTGAGACATATGGACTGGTAGGACATCAGAAGGCTTTTGTTGTTTTGTTAGTAGTAATTGACATGTATAGAGAATGTTGAATTCCGACATTTGTGACTACATTTATGCTACCACTGAAGTGACAGCCTATATCCAAGGTTATGACCAACTACAATGGGCAGGGGTGTTCCGTCATTCGTCAATAAATATGGAGTCATATGACTTCGTAGCTTTTTTTAATCACACTCAACAATTTATTTCAATTAAAACTCCACAAAACACTAGCTTTCACTTAGTACATAAGACTATTGGACTCCTTCACCAATATATATATATATATATATATATATATATATGAGAAAACAAATTCACTACCTGAGAAAATAATATATCAATTGCCAAAAGAGCTATTTTTCCCTTGAACTGCGCCGATAAGTTGAGACATCAAAGATGGCATGTTCCAATAATCTAATCGAGATCCATTCTTCTCTATCTTGTTCCCTATGTCTGCAATTGCATCAACTAAATTTTCCAAGATAAAGAACATACTCTCTTGATCTTGTTTCACAATCTTTTTATCCTTCGGTCGAGGTTTCAAAGGTGGTCCTACGACACCACTTGTTACTTTCGAACTGGAGTACTCCACATTTTTTGGATTGTCAGTCCTCTCGGAAGACTTGTCCAGAAACGAATCGTCTACAATTGGACACGGATTGTCACTACCGGATGCATTTGCATGAATAGCCTTCTTCACACGGATAAAATTTTCAGAATGCAGGTTGCGCTCATCATAGAACTTACATGTTATTCTCCAATCATTACCGCTTACAATATTGTGCAACTTGTCTTTCTTGTACTTGCTGAACTCAGCTAAATACTTCTTCTTATAAACTTCTTCAGTCTTGGTGAAATTACGACAACTGACCATTTTTTTTTTGGTGCAGTTTGATCCAAGTATTCACTTCTGACCATCAGACCAAATAAAATAGTCCGACCATCCGACCAACTTAGTTCAATAAACCAAGATCTTGTAAACAAATCACAAAAGCTACAGATTCTCTTTGTGAAAACTAAATATAGTTAATCATATTGGAATAATTTGAGAAATTTTTTTGAAAACTACGTATAATGAAGAATTTGTAGATAAACTATAACTCGCTCTAGAAAGACAAACCATCAAAATTTGTTTGTCTTCAACTTCATCACATCACATATATTGTTAAACTCTATTGTTGCATAAAGTAAAGATAAAAGTTTAAAGTTCTATGTCGCCAATCAGCACTCACATACTCGTCCACAACATCGATACCTAAGTTTTTCCTCATCCAGATTTACGAAGTCACTTGGTAACTACGGGAGGTTAAACTTTCCGGAAATCTGATATGCAATAAACCTTTTGAATGAATTTCACTAGAACTCATGTCTATATATATATCTGCTATATAGACATGTTATGTTCATATCTGCTATGCTTCTATGCAAGTATCGTTACGAGGAATAACACAGATTATGAGCTCAATTTTGTGGAGTAAAAAAAATGGACTACAAAATTTCAAAAGTCGATTCATGTATGATGTGTATTACTTCATTATCCATTTGTAGAGCTCTAAGCAAAAGTCTATGGGAGAAAACTCATCCGATTATGTGACTAAATGACTGAAATAATAACCGCTAAATTTTTGAAATAAATATGGCTGTTGCTAGTTGCATTAACTTTCTTATATGAGAAGTTCACAAATCGAGAGAATGGTGAAAGCTATACAAATGCACTGTATATCATTATCTAATCAAACACTAAGAATCTAGATCAGAGGTAGAACACCTCTACATAAGACCTAATTCAATTATACCAAGCCCATCAAACTACATAAATTTCTAAATTGTTTAAGAAATAACTTATCATTTGCATTTGCAAGACTGCAGAGTGGGCATTATCTTGAGAAAGGAATGTCTGAAATTACCTTGCTTGCTAAAGGCTGCTTCAAACTTTGACTTCATCTCTTGTTTCAGTGAAATCAAACATCTCGTCTGTTCGTCAAACCATGGAACCTTGCTGTTAAGATTGTCATCGTCATCCTTGTCCAAAACCACCACCTACTTCGCATTCTTCTTACTGCCTCTCATCGTTTTGGGAGGATTTTGCTTCTTTACTCTTTGTGAATCTTCAGTACTTTTGTATCGCTTCTCCAAAGTCTCAGCCAGTGCTTGCTCCTCCAATTGATTGTCTTCCTCTGAAACATATTCACTGTTCTGAACTTCCATGTCACGTTCGGTTGATTTTTGTACATTCTCGTAGTGTGGCTCATGAAATGAAGATTCTGTGGGGAAAGTAAGATTTGATGTAACTCTTGGTTCCAAAGCAAGACTACACCTAACTGATGGCAATGGCTGACTCCACAAGAGATTGAACGCTGCATTCTCACTCCTTGCCACTTGACAAGGTTGCTGTGAAGAGTGCTCATACAATAAGCTTCAAAATTGGACTTCAGAGTCTACATTTTTGGGCTGGAAATCAAGCAATATGTCTATTTCAGCCAGACTGCTTGATCTATCCATCCGATCATTTTGAGGCATTGATCTCCAAGACAAAAAATTATCCATGATGTCTTCCTCAAAACAATAATCTGAGTGCTCAATGCTCAACGACTCCTTTTCGATAGTACTTTATCTTCTACTCACAGAAGTACTTCTTCATTTTTCAACACTGTTGAAACATTTATGACAAATTTTTTCCACCTACATCAATTCTTTCAACAAAAAATTTCCCTTCTTCTACCTACGCCAAGAGTACTCCCGCCCATATGCTTGAGCAAAATAGCATACCATATTACAATACTCTCATCCACGTCGCAGAAAAAAACAACAAAAATTTAATGACAGTGTCATGATCATGGGTCCTAAATTGCTAAAATATCTCGAGAGGTGCTCTTGAAATATGGGTCTTGGATTGCATTTATTACACTCCACGTAGATGCCGACTCAGCGCTAAGTCATCGAGCATTTAAAACAAGACTTCCTTTTAGCACTTAGTCCTCCGATGTTTTGTAAAGCGAGAGAGTACCAATTCTGAAGATCATATAGTTCTCTTTCCTGCAGACGCGTGATTTCAAGAACAGTTGTTGATTCCCGCTTTTGTAAAGACCCCCCTCAGTAAAATCATTCAACTTGGTCGTTTTGAAGATGGCTCAATCTTACCCATCCATTACCCACCCATGCGTACTAGCTCACATACATTTACCCATGAGCATGGGTGAATATTGGGTACCCATTGCAGGAATCTGATAGACAATCAACATGGCGGTATACTCATCAAGCGAGATCTCTTGGTGAACTTTTTTGAGCAATCCACTAAAAGTGAGGTGCTTGAATAAAAGTGGTAGCGTAAAAGTATATTGATTTGAAATTTTTGGCATGCACGATATATGTGCATGTGTACTCAACAAAACGGGACAAGTTAGATGCAAAGGCCCAAAAAAGTATTTTAGTTGGCTATGAATCTAATTATTTTGGTTATAAATTTTGAAATGAAAAAATTCAAAAAATAATTAGGTCCAAAGATGCTACCTTCAACAAAATTGAGTCATATAAAAAGATGTACATATCCAATGAAGAGAGAGAAGAAGGTATAATCACAAAAATACTGATATTTTTTAATCCGATGAATCATGAAGTCACGAGCCATGTGACTTGTATGAAGTCTTTGCTAGATTAATAAGATAACGAAATGCTAGAAATTTGAGTTAGTACTTTCATGTCGTTCATCAAACACCCATTATAAGAAAGTTGTTTGATAGTGGTTGGGAGTGCAGAAATCGCACGTACAAGGTGTTATATTGATATCATGTGCTTGTTCAATGCAAACAATGTCAAATTTGTTGAGATGCATATGATGATAGTTGATATCACGTGGTAGGGAGATGAGATGGGTAATTTATAATCTGTGCTGTATAGTAATTTAAACATTAATTGAGAGGGAGATAATTGATGAAGTGAAGACCTCTCCAGTGTGTATAAAAGGGTGAATCTTCTTGAAGTAAGATAAACAAGACACAAATACAAACGGCCCATTGCACTCCAACTATCAAAATAAGTTCATCCATCTCCAATGATGGATAAATTTCAACTCATAATACTAGCCACCGACCCATTCCTCGTTGCCTAGCATGTAACAAAGTGCAAATGCGCTTCACCCTCAATCGAGTGCAAAACGAATCTACGATGTCATTGGATTGTGGCTGAATGTGACAGGAGGATACAGGCACAGGTACAGGTACAGCGACCGCTCCAGGCTGAGTCGAAGCGAAAACCAAATCCCATACAGACAGTACCGGACGCGACGTACGAAAAAAGGGATGCCAACAAGGCGCTGACGGCGCTGTGGCAGGGGACAGGCAGAATTCATCGAAAGAGAGAGAGAGGGCCTGTACTGCTACGGTACTGCTGCTCCCACCGAGGTCCGATGTCAGAGGGCCCCAGAACAGAACAGAAGGTGGAATCTTCAGAGAATCATTCCAGAGGCGCGGCTGGCCGGCCAGTCAGGATTGCTTCACTCACGGGAGACGGGGTCGGGTCGGGTCGGCGAGCGGGACAGGGACAGGGATTGGCTGCGAGGTGATCCGATCTGGGGCCGAGCCCGCTCTCGTTCGTGAAAGGTCGTGGAAAACGCGAGCCGGGAGAAGACGACAAGGAGCCAAGAAGGGAGTTGGACAGGACAGGACAGCACGCTCCCGGCCCGTTGGCGCTGGCAGGCGGAGGAGGCAGGCAGACGAGGATTAAGGAAGGAAAGAAGGGAGAGAGGGAGGGAGGGGATGCACGAGAGCTACTTTCGAAGGGCCCGACGCTTTTCCGCCCCAGCCCATCGCTTGGCGAGCTCTGCTGTCCGAAATTCGTCGACGAAAGACGCGTGCCGCTGCGATCGCCCACGGTAATGTACGCGAGCTCTCGTTTGTCGGTCTTTGTATTTCTGCGCATGTTTCGTCGGGTCTGGTCGGGAGGGCGGGTTAATTGTGTCATCGAGTGCGGTCGAAGGAATCGAGATGAATTCTGTCTTCCGTGATCGGTGGTTTGGTCGTCTTACCTTTCCGAGGAAAAGCGGGTTTGATTTTGCCACTGGCATTGTCGGCGCAGGCCGTTTTGTAGAAGAGCAATGTTGGCCTCAGGTACCTCAAGTCGCTTTTGTTTTCTCCTCGGTTCCGCCGATTCGTTTTACTCGGAGATCTACGCTCGTTTCTTTCTTGTTACCGAATTCGCAGTATGTGAATGAAGCTTGAGTTCATCTCTCCGGAGCAACGAGCAGGTTGTTCTCATTAGAATCTGGATGAGATCTGCATCCTGAGTGTCTGCGGATGCGTCAGGCTCCTTTCGATCAGAATTAAAATTTTCATCCATCAGGATATTTATATTACTTCTGATTTGAGAGCTCCCTGCGGTTTTCAGTATAAAAAGTCGAGGACTGACATCATGGAATATTGTTGACATATTCATGAAGTTTTAGCTGACCCATCTCGTCCGCATTGCCATACTTAATTATTTGATTCTAATCGCTGAATATTTTCACGTATTCAGATCTCTGACTACAAAGAAAGCTCGCGATTGTGCAACTTTTGACTGCGTGAACTGACTTTGCCCTTGAAAACACTTCTTTCCGCTGCAATGGACAGGGAAGGTGCTTAGACTCATTCATCAACTTTGACTCACTTCAGTTTAATATCAGTCCACGATAACTGGGAAACGAACTTCGTTTAGATAGAGCGGAACGGGCATCTAGAAGCGTTAAGCGTCAGTCTCTAGTCATATGTGAATTTTTAGAATTTAGATTTTTAGAGCAGTCAGTCACTGGGTGCCATGTAAAGTTCACAACAGTTCGGATCATATTAGCACTTGTTCTTTTCTTCTTCATAGTTCATATGCCAACGTCTTTGAGGTCCTTGTGCGATCGATCTATCAGTTCGCATGTCGATGGCCATCAATTGTCGTCTTCTTGTCCACGTATAACGGCTGCGACATTGGAATTAGATAGGCTTATTTCTGGATAAAGCCTTAACTTCTGTGCCACCTGGTATATAGTACTCAACACTGCTTCAGCAGTATGGGCGGTTCCAGGAATCCAGCTTAGTTGCCGTTGAAAGTAACACCAGACCTACTGCACACTGACGTAGAATGGCAATTGAGGAGCTAAAAGCCTGTTTCTTGACGAATTTTTTTGTTTCGTTTTCATGTTGTTGCTCAAAAGACAGCTGTGCCTCGTGGGCTTATTTTGTTCAGTAAGTGGATCGTCATTGGGGTTTTCATGCTCCCCGCAGATCTTGCTGGAAAGCTGTCTCCGTTCCTTGGCTGGTCGTTAGGGACAAAAAAAAAAACTAAAAGTATGGTGGAGAATTCCCCGGTTCGGTGGCTAAATTGTAAATTGCTAAATTTTCTGGTGCTAAATTGTACGCAACGTCTCATTTTCGGCATGAGAGTTTTCTATCCAGCTCATAATCTGACCATATCGTGTTCACAGATCCTGCTTTCAATCTGATTTGTACGAACGTGTGAATTTACTCACACTTTTGAAGATAAATTTGTCCAGTTCATTTAAATATTCATTTCCCCGTATGCAGGCACAATCTTGCTTCAGTTGCTGGCCTGAACAATGGGGGCTGAGCTAACACCCTCCGGGAGTGAGGACAAAGTATCGGAACAACAGAGGCCCCTTTTGGAGAAGTCTGGATATCAAGGAGATACGAGCTCCGACACGATCGTAAATGTAGGGAACTATAAGGGGTCTCGAGTCTTCGGTTACAATTATAATAACCGACCCTGCAGGGACATCCCTTTCACTGTGGTCTTTCTGATATTTGTGGTCGCAAGTTTAGCTGTTGGTATCGTCGCGGCTGTCTACTCCAACCCAGATTATCAGTGGATTGAGAACACAAAATACCGTCGTGGATGTGCACTCCCGAATGTTACAGATACGGCGTCCTTTAGCTCTGCGAGTGAAGATCTATCAGCCCGTCATGACTCCCAGGTCCTTTGGAGATTAATTCATCCCTTACATCAAACAGCTTTAAGAGGAGAAGATCCGCTGGTAAAGCCTGCATTCTACGTCTTTGTAACAACCCTCGTGCTAGGCTTACCAGTGGCCTATTTCATCTTGTGGCTTCTGAGGACATATACGGAGGAGCTCGTGTACATTACGCTTCCGTTTATCGCGTTGATACCTCTGGGCATCAGTGTTGCAACCTTTGTTCTCTGCTTGCGCAATGAACAGTGCAAAGAACAGTTTAGTCTAACTTTTCAACTTCTCTGCTTGGCCGTCATCATTTTAATGTGTGCTGTATTTGTATGGACGATCTATGCCAGCTGGGACCGAGTTGATCTCACTATCCGCATTGTGAGGACAGCTGCAGTAGCGCTGCACAAAAATCTGGGACTTGTACTTGTGTTGCCCGGTCTCGGTGTCGCACTCCTCTTCTACCTTGTTCCAGCAGTCATCTTCATGTTCTATGCCTACAAAAATGGGAAGATTGTTCCAAATCCTGAGCTTGAGCGACACCCGAACTGTGGACCAACAAGTGTAGACTGTTGTATTTGGAAGCAAGACTCGTGGGTACCTGTATATTTGACGTTGACAACATTTGCAGTTTTGTGGTCGATCATGGTCATCAGTGAGGCTCAGGTTTTTACCATCAGTGGAACTGTGGCTCAATGGTATTTTGCCGATCCAACAGCATCGTTAGTCGGGGCGAAAAGAAGGTCTCTCAGGTACTAACAGTTTTTGCCATCTCGATGATTTGAATATCTGTTGAAGAACCGAAAGTGTATCAAAGTATGGATCGAGGACTTACTTGGTTGCCTGTGGCCAGGATTGCGTTTGGTCCATCATTTGGGACCGTGTGTTTTTCAGGGCTTATCGTTGCCTTAGTGCGGATGATACGGAGTATGATAGACAATTCTCGGTCCCAGAATTCCAGTGAAGGCTGCATGGCTGCTTTTTTCCGTGCATGTAGCCAATGTCTCCTCTCAGCTGTGGAGTATCTTACGAAGTTTACAACAAACTACGCAGCTATTACAGGAGCTGGTTTCTGTGCTTCAGCTTTAATGACCTATGACCTTTTGAGGCGAAACTTCCTTTCGACCATCGTGGTGGAGACCATCGCTGGGCGTTTATTGAGTCAGACGGCTTTCGTCATTTCAGCCATATATGGACTTCTGGTAAGCAGAAAAATGTATACAGATTGAGCTTTTTGGTCTTCTACTATTGATCCCTTTTGGTTTCCTTCTACTTTCGTGCATCTCAGGAGCGAGTGTGTTATGGTCGCACTCTTTGTACTTGAACACAATGTTGACAGTATTCTTGTGCATAATGTAGATGTAGATATTCCACCTCGCAACAGATCAGATATTTCTGTATACTACTAACCTTGTGGGTGATTTCGGGTGAAGATGCTCCCAAAACTGCGTTTCTGTTATTTGTTACTGGGATGTTAGAAATTTAAAACAAATATCTCCTGGCTGCTGCCTGTGGGTGCTACTTTTTATAGAGCTGTGAGCTTCTTTGAGCGAAAATTTTATCAGTGTCTACTTTTGATTTGGCTGAACTGCAGTTTTTGTGTAAAATCTCTTTACGACTTGTGAAATACAATGTTCATGTCCGTAACTACGTTGTTTCGTGGTATTCAGGTGTATGGAGTGCTGAGCATTTTCGTCGACGGAGGAAAGGCCATGTGGGCCGTTTCTTTATTTGCGTTTATTCTTTTGTTTCTGGTTCTGTTTTTCTTCATGCAGGTCCTTAACAACATCGTGGACACAGTGTACATTTGTTACGCGATGGATAAGGATCATAATTTGGTTTCAAAGACCGAGGTGCATGATGTTTTGGTCTTGCTTCCTCCCGCAAAAGGAGTTCCAGCTACACTTGGTGTACCCAGCTAGAGAAAACCTGCAAGCAACAGAGAGCCTTGTATATTGTCCTGTCTCTGTGAAGGGAATCCTTGAGACTGCTCAAAATGTATGGTAAATATAGTAAAACTACGTAGGAAGAATTGTGTAACTGTTTGTCTGTAGATTAGCGCTAGTGGAATATGATCTTTGCTGTTACGAAGTTCAAATCTATCGTACTCAACGGTACGAGAAGACCATTGTAGCATAATATACGCTTCGTTGAATGCCCCAAGGGAGGCGGAAGTGGATAGAGATGCTACCCACAGTATCGTCAACGACATCGATCATAGGTGCATTATGCGCTCAAAAATTGTTATCCATCATCAATGATGCAGCCTGTGCGTTGGACAGAAAGATATTCTTGCAGTCCCTCGTGAATTAGTTTAGCTTATTGCCACATGTCTGTATTTTGAGTTTTCGTTGAGTGAGCTTCAATTAAAGTAATCAACCAAAGCTGCGAATTACGACGTTGGGACTCGAGTCTGAATAGTCCTCTTCATATGAGAACCTTGTTGCCGTCTTGGCTTGGATTTTTTAATAACGATTTGAGTTATTATACCGTGATCTCTCATTGTCTCCTACTCTTTGACAAGCTAAAAATCTAAGTACAGTGAAACCTCCGTATAAAGCCCATATAAGGTCTACCTCCGTTTAAGGTACAGTTTTTATTTTTAGAAAGCAAACCCATGTATATACGGAATAAAGAATTCTTTATAAGTACACCTCGGTTAGGTATTATAAGTACAGCATGAGACGGTCAGGGAGTATCCACGCACCTCTACATTAGGTATATTTCTGTCATTGGCTTTCTCGTCTTTGGGATTCGAATCATGGAGTTTGGAGAACCTGAGAAGAAAAATCTGAAGCCTGTCGAATTAAACACCAAACTACCCATCTTGATGAAGGTTAAGGTATCCGAGCAATTGCAACAAAGTTCAATTTGTAAAAGTGAATAGTTAAAGTCGCAAAACAAAACAGAGCGCTATTGTTGAAAGGAGAAAGCAACCTTTTGTTGTTCAAAGCGAGAATTGTGACGCAGAGTGACAACAAAATCATTTTGTGCAGATGGTTTGCAACAGTGAGCACGAGGGTATCCAATCAGTGGCCTTATCCTTCAAGAGAAAGCCAAACAAATTGCCGATGAACTGGAAATGGAAGCAGGAGATTTCTTTGCATCTGAAGGTTGGCTACAAAAGTGGAAGCAGGGAATAACGTGAGGTTGTAGAAGATCTGTGGAGAGTCAAGAAACGTGGATCTCGACAGTGCTAAACAATGGAAGTTGACTTTAGCAACACTTTTGGCAGAAAAGTTTTGAAAGACTTGTTCAACATGTATGAGATTGGACTTTTTTTTCGTGCTTTGCCGGATTTAACATTGACCCATGTTGCTCAATCAATCAAGGAAGTTAAACAAGGAAAGTATAGAGTAACAATGATTTGACTTGTTCTGTAATGGGTGAAAAATTTACTTTGCTCAAAAATTTCCGCAGTAAATTTATTCCTTTTCCACATAAGAAAGCAAAATAGGGAAAATCAAGAAGTTCCTCGTTGCTTTCTTGATGTGGAAAAGGAAAAACTGGAGATGAATTATGCAAAAAGTGCAAAAGCATCGATGAAAAGTCCAATCTTTAATGCTTATCTGAATTACCTCGACGAGTACTTCAAAAAGAAAGATCGCAAAATTCTTCTCTTTTTGGATAATGCGTCAGTTTACATTCCAGATGAAGGTACCAATCTGTCAAATGTTGAACTTCGATATTTTTCCCCTAATCTAACTTCCGTTCCGTTCCGCTGCAGAGCCACTAGATTCTGGAATCATCCGAAGCCTGGAAGCTTTGTAGCAGAAATTTGAAGTTCTTCCGCTTTTAGATTCAATTGAGTACTAGGTTCATGCTTCGGACCTAGCAAAAAAACTGAAAGTTTTATACATAATCAGGTTCTTGAGCAAATTTGACACAGTCCGAAAATGTTTTAAAAAATGTAGTTTCAACATCCCAATTGCTCAAGACAACGTAATGGTCAAAATATCTATGCAAGAAGATGATCTTGAATCTGTTGCAGAGATAATAGAGGTTCCAAGATCCAACCTTGTCATCAAACAAGAACTACAAGAGTTGGAGATCTTTCTAGGGATAGAACTCGTTAGTTGAGGAGTTTAAGTATGATGCCTAAGAGGACGTGAAAGAATTTGCAATTAATGATGAAAAAATTGAGTTTTGTGAAGAATCTATTGCTATCTAAACCGAGCAGACAAAAAATTTGATTACCAATTTAATTGCTTTTGCAAAAGCCAAGAATATACTTAGCAAGGAATTTGACCAATTGAAATTTAAGGCTAGAGTTTAGACTCTTTATAAGTAATCTATGGCGCAAACATCCATCTAACTTTATTTCAAATGAATCCTGTAATAAAGTCACATTTTACTTTGCAGCTGATTTTCTATCTTTTAGGATTAGGGTTTTGGTAAAGTATATATACAGTACATATTTCATACTAGGTACATCAACTCTTTAAGGTACAAAAAAAATTAAAGAAAATATTGTGTACTTTATACGGAGGTTTCACTATATCAAGAGAATAATGTGTCCTGGTCTAAAATTTTACATTTTGAATTACAAACTTAAAACTAATGTATGTGATTTACCTTGGCAATACAGTGTCCACTGTAATATATTAAATTATATGCTCAAAAATTGAAATTGTGCTATAAAGAGTTAGTGCAATTTCTTCTACATAGCAAAATTCATTTTGATTTAAGATTTTTTAGTCCAATAATTTAATTAAGAGAAATTGTATAATATTTTTCCATGATCTACAGTCTATAAATGATGTTTTTGTTATAAACTATTCAGATGATTTTCATCTACTTATCCTTAACATTTTTAGTTAATTATATATATATATATATATATATATATACTAGCCATGATCTTTGATAAGCAACATATGATAATAAATTACACTATTAAATTATACAAAATCAATAGAAATAAAAAAATAAAATCGACATAAACCTGTAACATAATTAATTAATGTAATTTGATAGCTTCATAAATTTCTAATCAAAGACAATGAAGAAATAAGAAAAAATAAATTTTATTTTATATAAATATTTATTTAAAAAATTATCTATTTACTTATCAAATCATCATACTTATATCAATCAATTTATGTTTGCAAACAAAGTATCTTTACATAGAGATCTATGCACAAATTAATATTATTATCTTACATTTGTCTACATTCAATCTAAGTTTTAGTTTGACATAAGTTTAGTTAAGTTGATGTAATTTTTTCTTTCATTGAAATGAAATGAAGTACAAATCTAAGATATACAATCAATTTTGAAATGCTTTTATTTCATTATTTGTGACTTTTGTTATAATTTTTCTAAAAAAATCAAGATTTTTCCACAACTTAAGATTTTAAAAATTCAATTTAAAATGAGTGTACATGAAAATAGACTTTACATTTTTTCAATCGACTAGTTATAAACAGAAATTTTGAGTCAACTTAATACTTTATAAAAATTCAAGTTGGTTTTTTAAATGATATATTATATATTCATAGCTCCTTTATGAACTTAAAATTCTGTAGATGCAACATTTATTCAAATGATATATTGTCAATTTGAGACTTTAATGATAATCAAGATGGCGATAAGTAAGTGATGTTTGTTATGTTCTCATAAGTATGTAGCTTTTACATGAAATTTACGTTTGCATACATTCCAATTGATTGAATTTACAACACAAATTACCATTAAGTCAATTGTAATTATGATAAATGTTGAACATGACACAGATTGACTGATTAATTACATATCAACTACATGAAGCAAGTAAATACACAACCACCAAGATTTTTTAATTTATGGATGTGCAAAAATATCATTGCTTTGTTTCTTTAACATTTGATTATATAAGGAGTTAATATTGTCAACTTTGACATCTTAAAGTGAGCAAAAGTATCATATTGAATGATAAAATATAGTAAAATCCAAAAGAATTCAAGTTTTTATTCTTGTTGCCTAAAAGTTACATGAAACTATGAACGAGAGATTATTCAGGTGCATTTTTTAAAGTGCACTAATGTGTCGAATGTAGTATTCAACATGGTTGAAAAGTTTCTTACAAAATTTACTTAACCCTAATTGCTAGGATATATAAGTAGCATTCTAGTAGATACCTCAAACTTTTGAAAGTGCTTGGTGTGTACAGGGACGGTTGAGTGGCGAGTGTAATAAATCTCGGCTTTTGCATTAACGCGGCTGACTTTGTGTTGCAAGTGAATGTTTTAATTATTCTTTTCCAAGCGGACCCACATTTTGATTATGTAATTAGAACTGTTGGAAAGAGTTCTTGAGACTTGACGTAAGGGTTACGACTTGCCGTAATCGACATTAGAGAACCCGTTCGAGTGAGATACGACTTTAGGGTTCCAACTTGCCTTGTTCAAATGAGATTTGACGTTAGGGTTACAACTAACATCAGACGTGAGGCTTAAAACTCGTTGATTTGAGTGTGTTCGAGCGAAAAGTGAGCATTGTGCTTCTGTGGTTTCTTGCTTTCGAGGAATTAGCAAGATCAAAGGTCTTGGATCTGAAATGAGTTTGGTTCTTCAGACTATAGAGTTACTCTTCCGAACTTCAAAAGATTCAAATGTGAGTTTTGATTTGTTTATTCTCCGAGCTTCATATTGATTCGATACACTTGCTTCGTGTCAAAAGCACGGCAAGCCATAAGAAGAGCTGTGCATGAAAAACGTCATGGTAGTTGATGTCGTAAGAATAGATGTTAGAACTACGGATTGAGATTTTTGTTTGAGTATGTGCACATCATTTGTGATAAAGTATTATAAGAACTTAAAGACATCTAGACTATCGGGGCTGATCACAACTATGCTCTTCACTGCATCTTCAAACTTGAGTGAAATAGGGTCCACTGTTGTCTAAGGGTGTGCAATTTGAAGAATAAGCCTCGGAGTGCTCACTCCTTGGCCGGTTTTTTGTTGTCACACTTCTTCCTGATCGATCTCGTCTTCGATTCTTGCTCTTGGTGACGACCTTTTTCTTCTTATTTTCGGTATCGGCAATTACTTTTGGCGCCATCGTTGAAGCTCAAACTACGTTCTAGCACGAGTCACTCATGAGTGCTTTGATCTAACATAGTGTAACACTAGGATTTAGATAGTAGCTTACTTGAAGATGAAACATAAAGTCTGAAGATGCAATACCTTGAATGGTTGTACTTTATCTTATAAAGATACTTCAAACACATACATAAAGATAAGGTATTCTTTCGATCATACAATACCCTCCTAGTGGATTGATGACATGGCGGATAAATCTAATGAGCACACAGATTGCTGACGTGTTGCTCTCAAGTATCACACCAACTAGCACATTCAGTCCTTAACTAACAAGTACACGGATTGATGACGTGTTGTCGCAACTAACACACTCAAGTGGCACACGGATTGTTGACGTGACACTGTAGATATTTCACTATCATCTACTCTACTCAATCTTAAGTAACCTTTACTTAAGTATAACTAACTGAAGACGTTTACAAATCTCATTACTTTTAAGATGCAACGTTCTTGTTGCACATACATTCAAACTCATAAACTATCAAAGCTGCATTTGCTAAATTTGTAGTTGGTATCCAAGTTGATTCTTATAATGAATAGCCTCTCTATTGAATCAAATATTCTACTTTGGTATGTTTATAACCTCAAATACGTTTCTTGAGTATATTCTTTACCTCAAACTCATCATGATTTGCTATCTAGATTAGGAGAGGTGATGATGCTAGTTGGTTGATGAATTGTTTTGGTCGTGATACATGTTGTCGCAATCGTGACACATGAAATATCAGATGTATTTTTGTATGCAATGAAAGTTCCATTTTGTATGACACTTAATCAATATGCTTCAGAATAAAAACTGTATCAATGAACCTAAGGGTTTAACTTTGGTGTTAATTCAAGAGATAAATTTGTTGTAGATAATCAAACATGATCTCCTAACTCAAAAATCAATTCTCTACGACATGCATCTACATGTTGTTTTTGCCAATTTTGAGCTATCAGCAACTTCTTCTTGACCTAATGTAATGTTTTGTGAATATGCTCCATAAACTTGTTGACTACTACAATTTTAGTCAAAACTCCTCTCCCTTTGGAAGTTGCATCAAACTTGAAGAAGTTATAGAATGAGCAACATATATGGGTTAAAATGAAGACACTTTTGTGGATGCATTAACATAATTGTTATATGAAAATTCCACAAGAGTGAAAAAGATGTCACAGTCTTCTTGCTCTTCTAATGTGAATACTCGTATCATATACTCTATGGTTCTATTTGACTTTTCAGTTTGTAAATCAGTTTGAGGATGATAGGCCGTTCACATTGTTATTTTTCTTTTTAAAAACCTAAACAAAATTTTCTAAAGTAAACTAGTGAAGTGAATACATCTATTTGTGATTAACACTTTGATTAAAATATGATTCACAAAAACTGCATCTAAATACAATTGAACTAGTTATGGAACTGCTACTGTTTGCACTAACAACTCTATGATAAAATGTGTGATAAAATGAGTGAGTTAATGAAGATTGACAATAACAATTAGTTCTAATTAACTCTTGTGTACATAGAGACATTTTGATAGGTTTAAAACTAGAATTTCTGGCGGATTATTAATATAGGTTATAAAGTTTACTGTTTTTTTAAACTAATTAAGGGGGAGATTGTTGAGGTTAACTCTTGTTGAGTATTAACTGAAATACTAGCTAAAAATAAGTAGGAAAGTTACCTATGCTAGTATTTTTATACCCTAGAGTTTGTGTATTACACAAGACATTCAATACACTTTCACACATGCATTTCTCCGTGGACAAAATACTTTGTGATGAACAATGTTATATTTTGGTGTCATTTGTTGAATGTCACTTGATTATTGTGTGATTATGATTCTCGGTTAATGTTAACACTATTGTCATTAATTGCTTTGGTCTATCTTTCTTGTATTTCTCCAAGCATGTACTCTTGTGGCATGCTACTTAGCTAGCGTGACGGAAGTTTTGATTCCAAATTTTGCACTGCAAGGTTTGGAATTATAACCTCCGGACTTACTCTCATTCAAATTTACCTTAGATAGCTTTGTGGGAGCTCATCATAATTCTAGAAAGTTATGATTCTTTCTCATGCTCATGTCCGAAACAACCTCTCACACGTTTTTTCCATTCATCTTTCAAGTTAACACGCACATCAACACTTCAAGATACAAAAAAATTCATTTTTTCATTTATGAAACAAGTCTCTACATATGAAATCTCCAAATTTGTTTTAAACTATATATATATCTACTACTTGGGAAGTTAACTTAGTATTGAATGAAAATATTTATATGATTTCTTTTTACAAAAATAAATCATGATAGGTTTCACTAGTTCCCAATACATGGCAACATGTCATTAAACTACTAAATCTTTTAGAAATTTTCTAATTCCTTGGTTGAGGTGGCGACATGACATTTAAACTATTTCAATTTTTAGAACTTACATTTGTCACTTATTAAACTTTAGATTTAGTCTAATCAATAAAGTTTGCATTATATCATCAAACCAATCAAAAATTAACTATATAATCAAAAGTATTTATTCTTTAAATTTAGACTATTGTAAAAGATAAATTAGAAGTGCACAACTAAATTTTCTAGAATTCTCTTTATTATTTTATCAAGTATAGATATTATAGCTAAAATTAGTCATCACTAAATAAACTTAGTCATAAGTAGCTAAACTTAAATATATCAAAGCTAACTATGATCAATTCTTGGCTATCTTTAATCATATTTTACATATAAAAAAATTAATCTTATATTACCTATTCTTTACTCAATCTAGATGATACAAAATACCAAGATCGAGTTAATGATGATAAGTTGAAAAAAATTTATGTAGACTTGTTAAACTAGTAAACATCAGATTGGGGTTTTTGCTATAAATTTGGGTCAGATGTTAAGAAGTAGTTAGCTTCTAGAACTTTACTTATATTTGTCAAATAGTCAAAGTCTAGTTACATTCAGCATTTGGTGTGTAGTATGTGAGATTTAGCATAGATTGGAAGTTTCTTGCAAAATTTTCTCAAACCTAATTGCTAGGATATATAACAATCACTCTAGTGGATACTTGGAACTCTCGAGAATGCTTTGTTATGTATAGGGACGGTGTGTAGTAGATCTTGGCTTTTTGCAATTTAACGCGAAATAATTTGTTCTTTCCAAACCGGACCCACATAACAATGCAAGTGCTATACAATTGAAACTAATACCGGCACCTAGTGATTTTTATGCTCGCTCTATACATAAACTGTTGGATCTTACTATTTTTTTGTCCTCAGATGCAGCATTACATATTTCACATTGCGATACAATTGATTCACAATAGTATCAGAATTCGGGCTAGTCCATATTTACCATTTGTGTCATTCATGTGCATCTTGATGGTATTTCTGAAATATTTTGCTATCTACTCGACCCCAATCCCTGGAGCTGGAAAAATACCACATACTCATAAAAATATAGTACTCACTCGACACAAGTAGAACAACGAGAGGTAACATTGGGGTTTCATCCATGTAGACTTTGAGATCTTGACATCTTTTTTGACTTTCTGGCAAGAGTGCAACGAACTTGTTTGACGGTGACAATTAAATACATTAGGTTAATCTTTTGATTAAGATATAGGGATTATACTTTTATACCAAAGAAGATTTGGTTGTCCCAGAGGAGAGGAGAAACTTGGTGCATTGAATGCGTTCCTCCTGTCGTGAAAATGTGACGGGTGGACCAGGTGGACGAGGGAACACCATTCTGGCGTGGCGTGCATTCTTCCGACAGAAACACGAGCGAGCGAGCGATCGATCAAGCAAGAAAGCGAGAAGTGCAAGGCCAGGCGAAGCGTCCGCTGTGCCTTGTCCGGTGCCGATTCCATCCTGCCTGAATCCAGGCTCTGATCGAGCTCAGCAGGAGGCGAGAAAGAAACTCCTCGATTGAGGGAGGGAGGGGTGATCGGTCGATTGACTGATTGGATTGGAGAGGAGAGAAGAGAAGAGAGAAGAGAAGAGCAGAGGAGAGGAGAGGAGTGAGATGGCAGGGGTGCAACCCTTGAATATCACACCGATCCCCGCGACGGATTTTTCTCGCCAGCGCTCGTCGACAGTGGCGGTCGTCGATGTCCGGTGAGTGATTCTCTGCTAGTCGAGAATTCGCATCTGGCGGTGGTATCACATTGCCGCGTTGCGTTCTCAGGTGGAAGGAAGAATTCTATCTCGTACATCAGCAGCCTCTGAACTGCCTGCGCGATACTGTAGTGGGCGATGGACTCCAACACCACCCTATGGCAAAAAAATTCCAGAGAGGACCCTCTTATCAGCAATTCACCCTCAGCTTTCGTCAATAATGAGCACAGAGAGAGAGAGAGAGAGAGAGAGAGAGAGAGAGAGAGAGAGAGAGAGAGAGAGAGAGAGAGAGAGAGAGAGTCAGCTGAATTGGAATCTGATGGATCGTTTCTTTGGATGTGACAGAGATGAGGAACGGAAATACGACGGGCACATTGCAGGATCGCTGCACTATCCCAGCGACACGTTCGTGGAGAACATCCCGGATTTGGTGAAGAACTTGAAGGGCCATGACACGGTCGTGTTTCACTGCGCCAAAAGCCAGGTGAACGAACTTACATGAACGCTGACGAGGAACTCCGGGACTTAGTTGTGAATTTTTTCCTCGTTGTCTGTCGGACTCGATTTTTGCTCGAGGGATGGACTGAGTGGTGATCTGATCCAGACGCCTGTGAAGCAGTCAGTGTCTGTCGGAGTGTGTGTGTGTGACTGACTGAAGCTTTTGGTGTGGTGAGTCTACGTAGATCCGAGGCCCGGCTTGTGCACGACTTCTTGCAGATCGGCTGCAAGAGGAAGGGAGTGCCAACCCAGCGGGAAAATTGCCCAAAATCATGGTGTTGGAGAGAGGTTTCGATGGGTGGGCGGCAGCCGGATGGCCCGTCTGTTCTTGCAAAGAAGTTTCCTGCACAAAACATACATCGTCATCATCCTGATCTTCATCATCCGTGCGATTCATCACGACAGCACGTGATTCTGATGTGATTGGCCTTTTGTTTCCACAAGCACACGATTAATTAAGAGGCCTGTGCCGCATACACAAACTGATCGGTAGGACCAGAAGTGGTTAGAAATTGCTGCTACAAACTCGTCATAGCCATGTAGTGCTTGTAATGTTGAGAGTGGCGTATCCATTGCAGCTCTTTCGTATAATCGATAACGGCGCGAACCTTTCTATACAAAGGGTTCGTATCTGCACAGTCTTATAATCCGTTGATATCAAGAGTTTGCGTTCAGTCCTCAGTAACGCAATGTACACATCTGCAGCAAGGACAGAGTGAGGAATGAGTTGCTCTGTGACGACGGAGAGAGTCTCTGCATCGGCGTTGGCCTGCTTGTCTTCCCTTTTGTACTGCATCCAGTCTGCGTTTTCTCTCTCGCTTGAGTTTTTAGATGTCCGGGCATGCCAGCGTACTTGTGAACCTATCCTTCCAAAGCTGCGGGATATTATAAGGATTTGAACTCGGATCGTCAAGTCCTTTCTCTGGAAGTTAACCATTAATGAACATTTCTACTCATCAGTCTCTGCTCTGGCTTGACTGAGAGAATGGCTCAAATGTTTCCTCACAAAACGGTTTGAACAATGACTGCCTCTAGATCACCCGCCGAGCTTGTCGAGTGTGTTTATCGTGTGACTGGCCAACTTTAAGACCTTGCTCGGCATTTCTAGTGATCTGCATAGGTAGTTCTGTCTTCACAAGCATTTTCGTTCTCTCTCGTCTCACCCCTATTTAATCTTGCCTCCTTTTAGCGTTACATGCTGTTGACATCTTTCTCGGGGTCCAAACAGCCTTCAAACTGACGCAGGTGCTGAATTTAGAACTCAATCCTGTAGGTAATATCACAATACAAGAACAAGAGGGCTTCTCACGGTGAAGATCTGCTTTAAAAGATATCATCCCAATAAATGTCGTGAGCTGGAACAACCTCCAATTTGTCATAATCATCTTCCGTATTGGTATCTATTATGCAAAGGCTTCTGTAGTCCTCAACCTTCGGGGGAATCATCTGCAGGAAAGGAAATCGAACAGCCAGTTGCAGTTGGAAAATGTTTGTATATCGTGGAGTAAGCTGAAAAAGTGAAGCAGTGTGGAGGCTTTTCCAGAGTAGATTTCGGTATACTGAGCTAACCTACACTACATTGAAAGACAAGATGTACAGAATTGTCGAAGTTTGCAGGACTGATGTAAATTTCCAATCTTCTAGACCCAGCAAATCCTCTTGGAATGCAGCAGGTGGTCTTAAATCTACAATGTCGCATTTTGTGCTTGAGATGGATGCCACTCACCGGTGCTTCCTCCTTCTGTCGCATGAGTAGCTGAAAGTCTATCTCGGTTGTGAAGAACGGGTGCTCCTTCAGTTCAGCATAACCTCTCTCTCGACATCCAAGTCGTGTTTCAGGGTTCGGATCGAGCAGCTGTCTTATCACATCCATGGCATGCGTTGTCATGTAGGGCGGAAAGCGCAGATTACCTTCCACGACTTTTTGAAAAACCACCTGAAGTACAAAACCGACCAGTGAAGATACTTGCGTTCAGATACATTTAAAAGTGGTCCCTCATACAGACAATCGCAAAGGCCTGAAACCAATTAAACTGCACCTCGTCGCGACCACCTGAATACCTTCTTAACCTATGTAAACGGGTAGCATTTGTTGCCACTGGCTTATGGTTTGTCTCTAGCAGTTGTGAGTTGCCTATATAGCCATTCGTGATGTCGATCGCTTACTTGAGGAGGATCTGAACCTTTGTTGAATGGACTGGTATTGGTTATCATCTCAAATATCAGACAACCAAGTGCCCAGAAATCAACAGCTTTGCCATGCCCCTGTCTTTTGATGATTTCGGGTGCCATGTAGTCCGGAGTACCACACATTGAAAACGTCTTCCGGTTATGAATTCGCTTCGCAAACCCCATGTCGATTAAAATTGGATAGCCATTTTCTCCGATGAGTGTATTTTCAGGCTTCAAGTCTCGATACGCAATACCTTTGCCATGCATATACTCTAATCTGCAATACAATTCTTCTTGAGATTTTGAGCCAATAAGAGTTGATGATCTTCAGTACCGAGCTAGCACTAAAAAACAAAGACGAAATCTACCGTTTGCATGCAATAAAACTCATTAATCGAAACCAAGAAACATACGCGAGCAAAACCCCTCCGGCGTAGAATGCCGCTTCCCAGTCCTGAAGTCGACCAACCTTTTCCATGAAAAGGAAGAGTTCTCTTCCGACGGTTAATTGCTGTAGGAGATATATCTGGACCAGGATGTTGTTCCAAGTACTTGAAGTGAGAGTAAGATTGATAGAGATGACGATGGAAGAATAATAATTATTGTTGTTGGAAAAACGAAAGATGGAAATATTCCTTCAATATGTCGGTTCATAAAGTGATCATTACGTGTACACTTCTGATCCTAAACAAATTACTTCGAGTTACAAAGTACCCTAATTTGGGTGCTGAGGGCCGTGAGCGTAGAATTACTTCTAAACAGCAATTGGTTGAATAAGAGTAAAGCGACTCTTTTTCTACAAACTGACACATCAACAACTTGAAAGATTTCCATTGATCAGCTTATAATGAAACTTTAAGCGACGAACAAGGTTGGGAATGACACTGCTGTTACTCTAATCAAGAAACCAGAGCGTAATACAAATATCTAAGGCTAAGAAACTGGTCGGTCAACCTTCCAAAGAAGTTGGTTAGCTGGGCCACTCAAGGTTAACTTATCCAGGTACGACAACAGCTTACATGCTTTTCGTCCTTGAAGGTTCGAATAAGTTTTGTTATGAAAGGAAAGTCTAACTCGGACATGTTTATCTTCTCATTACGCAGATGTTCCTCTTCTTGCATCTTTATAACCTGCGTACGGATAGCGAAGTATTTAAACTCTGAAATCAGCTACGACCTAGAGTGCAAAGCACTCCAGCATTGCAGAAGGGTCCATAATTGCCTCACATGTAATCGGAGTCATCGGCTTAATGAAGTAGCTATAATTGACTACATTCGTTGTATTTTGCCAACAGTAAGTATGACAATATAAAAGTCTTGAAGACAATTATCAAGCTTGTATCACTTTCCAGTGAGTATAATCATAATCTCGTGGTTTACCTGTGCTTTTCTTACACATTTCAAAGCATAATATTCTTCTGTGCGTTTGCTGTAAACCAGTTTCACCTTACCGAAAAGTCCTGTAGATGTTAAGCAAAGTTTGTAGCAGCGAATTAGTCACCGGTATAACAACTAAAGTGATGATTAAACTCACAACACTGTGAATCAGCGTGATGTAATGGGCTCAGGTTTAGAAAATCATGACGGCCGTGACTAAGTATGACTATGACTGCCGTATGTAGTGTATGTAAACCAATTCTACAGTGAAGGGGACTACCTCAACTAGAAATTATCGTTGGAAAACTAATACTTATTTGAGTATGTTCACTGTGTGACAGTCAGGAACAACTCATCCTGTCGAGTCATGAGGGAGGTGAACACGTATGAGAGCTCCGTGGATGTACACCTTGAGCAAACATTTCTATCAAAAGATTCAATGAGATTGTTTTTGAGTGATAGGTACAGCAGATTCATTGATAGCATAAACATTAATAGACATACTGGTGATATCTATGAAAGTTAGGCCTTTCGTACTTGGCATTTCGTACAAAGAGTAGAATCTCGATCGAGAAACTATGACTCAGATGGATGACAGACTGTGCCTCGCATCATTGCTGCATGATGTCAAGTTATGAGGAGGTGACCTGTGCCAAGAAGTCCGATCTCCTCCAATTCGTCAAAAGTTATCTGTTTCATGATTCCCTTCTTTTCGAAGTCTTTCTTACGTGTCTCGTTCAGCTCGCTCAGCGGACCCAGATTTGTCTCCAAAACGGCGCGATCCAAGTAATACAGCTCTACTGTGGAAAGACAAAACCTATGTCAGTGTAGAAGGAAAGTTAAGCCTCAACTTTGTTGTGAAGCAACGATTTGAGCTATCCGAGCTATCCGAATGTGTAGAAGTACAGTTCTTCTCAGTACGTTTTATTGTGGTTGACGGAGAATCATGTATGCATGTGATCGGGACATTGAAATGAAAAACGAGGAGAAGACAGAGTATGCGGTACTTTCACGCCACCTGTTTTGCAAGCAGGATCACTCTGTGCAGCTATCGCCGTCGTTGACCTTGGAAGAGATTTGTCTAGGGCATTCTCGCCGAAAAAGGAACCTTTGGTCAGTATCTCCTCCTCCACCTTTCCGTCCTTGGGATTCTTAATAGTCTTCGTGACACATCCTTTCTGGATGATATATAGTCGGTCTGCTGGATCGCCAGCTCTATAGACTACGTCACCAGGCTTCAACTTTCGGACACCTAATGAATGCAAAACTACATCCATCTCGGCATTTGAGAGGAACTCCAGGCATGGTACTTTCCTGAACACAAACTAGCAGATGGTAGCTTGTGAGGGAATGAGTCTTCTTGAAACCAAAAGCTGAATGATTTACAAGCATCTTCTAACGTTTTGTTCGTCATTCTTTGATTTATTCGTTCATGTTCTAACGACTGTAATTCATGGTGATTGCTTTGTATTACTCTCTGGACTGAAGAGGAGCTTCATTTTAAACATGAAAAGGAGAAGTCTCAGTATTGAAAGATCGGAGCTACGGTTTGATCTGATCTCGTGGTAAGGAGGTTCAGTGTTGAAGTGCTGGGTAGCAGGGACGATAGATCTGGGACAGGCTACATCCTCATTAACGAGTTTGCAGGCAACATCTTTGACATCCTTTACTCGTGAAACAAGAGACAAGCACCTGAGCACCTTGAGGTTTGCAACGCGCAAGAGAAGTTCGTGGATTGGCCCAATAACCTTGATTATCTGTTCTAGCGACACCGATAAACATATCGCTCCACCTGAACTGTCAACCACTGAGGTAGTCTGGCAACTCGCCGATTCTTCTTTAACACCACTTCGTAGACATTCCTCCCCGAAAACACCAAAGACAGAAATGCTCCAAGTTTCTATCACTCTGGTACCTTCCACAGGACACGTCAGATTGCTGCCAAGAGCGAACAGGATCGTGATGTAACCAAGCAACACATCTTGCAATTGACAAAAGAGGCAGAGTTAGAACAACTAAGCTAGAGTTGGAGTTAAAAACGGTGAAAAATGAGCTCATTTCTTACCCAGAAAAGCGCCGCTCCACTATGGGGCTGTCGGTACCCTTGCTCCCCTTCGAAACACTTGACTTTGGACTTGAACCAGCACTGGAAACCCGTGAAGCACCTCCATTCGGTGTGGCAATCGAATTGCCCTCACTGCTGCGGGTAGATGGGCTCGTGCTGAGTTGGCCTAATGGTGACGATCCACTGGAACCCTTCAGAAAGGAACCAAGTCTTTGGCCCCAACCAGCCTTTGAGTCATCTGAGACTGATCCAGTACGTTGCTTTTCCGGCATCTTGTAGGAAGTTATATTCCCTCGTTGTACAACGTACAATCTTGAATTAGAGTCCAGAGACTCTCCTCTCCTGATGATCTCTTGTCCTGCAGATTACGAACCATCAGCAGAATGTCATAATTGCCACAAAGTTTTGCGCTCCAGGCAAGTATTTCTATTTATCTATCGAATATAATCTTAGCTGATGGTTTGGGCCAAGGTTCAGCGCGAAAACTGCTCTCTCGAGAATTCAGTGTACTGCAATCGGTATGTACAAAAAATGACGTCCTCGAGCTTTGAGACTCAGGAGCGAAGTAAGATCACAAGGTACACAAGAGACGTCTTCCAGCCTACTGGATGACAGATCTGCCGTTACCCACCAAGTCCTCCGGAGCTCAACCCTCCACTCTTCCATGGACAGGGAATACGGGACTCCAACAAGATACATAATATCTTAAATTAAGATGAATTCTAACGAACATAAGCAGAAAGCGCGGCCAAGGGATCCATGCGTCAACGTTGCATCAAAACCTTTCGCATAGTTTGATTCCGTGAAGCTGTCCGCAAGGTTTGATAACTGCTCCTGGTCAATCTCTATAAATGCTGGCACACGTTGAAGGGCCAGAGTGATCAGTTGTATTTGCAATCCCTTCCGTATGGTCTTCAAAGCAGTACTGTCCAAAAGACTTCTAGGCATTACAATCAACTCCACCTGTCATATACGAAAAGATTATTTAGCTCCAGGCTCACTCGCTTTTTGGATGCAGTTGGGTGGCTTTAACGATGTAATACAAGTAAGCGGCATTCAAGGAAATTTCTCTATTACTGCACAGGGGGCTTTCAATGACAAACATGAGGTCCTTCATCAGTCAGTCAAATTTATTCGAAAGGATAAAATTGTTCTGTAATAATGAAAGTTAGCAAGCGAGTCGAGGGAGTCGTTCACAGTAAATGACATCCCTTGCAATCACTTCCAAGCAGCAACAGTTAATTCGCTGAACTTATGAAGAATTGAGGACTCAGGAAAGGTGTTAAAGTGAGCCGTCACAGAAGTGAGTTCATTCACCTCGGTGACGAGAGAGAGAGTTCTGATCTTTGGCTGCCTAAATCAGTCATTGTAGAGTAGGGGATACTTAGGACATAATAATCTTCCGCTGCATATCTACGCTGTTTTTCTTATTTCGTTACATCTTGTAAAAACTCAGGGATGTCGATAGATCTGTAAATGTGGCTGCTGAGTTGAGGCTAGGTGCTAGAATTACATGGTCCGAGCAGGCAACGAAGTTCCAAGGGTTCAATGTCTCTTCGTTCAAGAGCATGGCCTCACCAAGAACTTCTAATCGGTTCATCAGGGCCACGGTATCCCCGCCACCAGCTGTCTTCCCTCCCGCTGCCCGGCTCACTCGTACTTGACCCTCTTGGATGACATAAATCTGCGCACAGCACAGAAACGTCTTTGCTTTCATAAAAGCATAAACGATAGAGGTCAAACCTGATAAAAAAATATCTTCCTTATTTGCAATTGAAAGATTGGACGTATGTTTTCTCATATATGTAAACTTAAAACTAAGCTGTTGGATTCTATTGTACGACCAGGGGAAGAAAAGAAATCCGGAATCCACATTTTACGAAGATCCATGCATGGACTCTCCATACATGACTTCTTTCAGGTGATGTCGTAGGAACTTACCTTATCCAGTTGAGAACCAGCAGCAAGGATGATCTGACCTCGAATGCTATGTTGAATCGTACACTGGCTGCTTATCCTGACGATTTCTCGAGTGGGCATTTTCTTTAATGCCGGTGCTTCCCGAAGAACCTGCACAAATGTTTTGCTCGTCAGTCGTTGTGGCTCTTATTCCTGAAATGAAATGGGATCTTCTTTCCACGCCAGAATTTACGGCCTACAGAAATGCTTGAGATAACTGATGGAAAGTTGATGAGTTTCATTATAGGAAAGCTAACGATTCTATTAGCGAAATCAACACCAGGATGACCAGCAGATGCTTCTTATTTCTTGCCTGGTCGTGGAAACACCTTCATCCTTTTGATGAGAGTATCCGGACGACGGTCTAAGGACTGCTCTTTGATTCCTCTTGTTTCTCTTCAACTCTTAGCTATACTTTTCAGTCCTACTGGGACGTTCTTTACAAGTCCCGGTTGTAAACATAGCAACAGATCACAACAATGTGGGGAGCATTTTTCTGACGCTGACATGAATGGCCGAGAATGGCTGATTTCTGAAACAAGAGGACTGAAGTACGAAAATTTACTTGTGCTGTTTGAGATCCGCTCAGATGTCGGCTAATGATCGATTTGAATGTTGGACGATCCACTGCCCACAGCAAGGTCTCGGACGTAGCCTTGACTGTAGCATTCCGAACTGTATCGTACATGAGAGCCAGTTCTCCGAAAGTATCACCTGCTCCTTTCGATCGGACAACTGTTGGAGGTTCATTACCCTTTTTTACGTTGAAGTACATATCACATACAGATACACAGTTATGTCTCTTCGCACAACCTTAAAGTTAGTTTTACAACGGTGAAGGAAAGATACTTTCCTAGGATGATTCAGGGAAAGACGACAAATTTGAAGTTCAAATGCATAGCTCACCCTCTTGGCGTAGATGTCGACATGTCCAACATCCTGATAGAATGACGGAGGAGCAAGAAAATCTGTCAGTGTCTCATACTTTTCAACTTTTAAGTAATTACGGCTGATGCGGGCTAGCTTTGAGCACTCTTTCCATTGTAATTATAAGTGCTGCTTGTGGAAAATCTAAACCGAGCACAACCTGTTCCTACGAGAGATTGGGATTCCTGGAAATGACTTGAGGCCGTGGGACTCACAATTACATAGAAGTAATCCGCTGACTCTCCACTTTTCATAACTTCAGTACCAGGTGAGACTCGGAGGTCACTGAAAGCATCGATAATCTCATCTCGCAGAGCATCATCCAAGTCTCGAAGAAGGAAATGAGTGCTGGATCATGCAACAGCCTTAGTTGTAATTCGCAATTTGTAATTTTGACAGATTGACCATCACAGCAACTCTGATGCTAACAGTAATCTACTATCCTCTTTGTTGGAACTTCCTTACCTCAAGATTTTACGCAAACGCTCTTTTGTAGCTTCAGATTTAGGCACCACCTTGTGAGGGCCTGCTAAATTTTGAGTCTTCTTCAGTCCTACGTCGCTGTTCTTGTACAAGTAAGATGTCGCAAGTCAGATACATTGGCTATTCAACATAGTTCAAATACGTCATTGTCAATCTTCGATCTGCAAATTGTCTTCCATACAATTTGCTGCATATTCTGCTAAGAAGTAGGACGCGGAAGGCTGAAAAATGGAGAAATTGTTTTATCATCCAGTCTGCCAGCTGACAAATGTCAAGTATTCATGCATGGCAAATAACGCCAGAATAATAATCTTTCTTCCATTCTAGTGGGGTCTTTTATGGGATGGACCAGAAGTCCTTCCATTCCTATTTCAGCAGAGACGGGTCAAGGCACAATCCGTACCAGATCCTTTCCCGACGGTGCTTCTGAAGAACACCTTTCACCGCGTTCTTCCAAGAATCAGACCAGTTGCGATTTCTTTTCCTCCAGGAAGCACTGCGCTCAGTAGACAGACAGTACGCATACTTAGACAAGTATGTGAGTCATGTACGCGCAACCCAGTTCTAAGCATAAGATAGGAAATGCCTTTGCTTCTCTTGAACAAGATTGCATATTAATGCTATTGAACTGGATATCTGGTTGTCAGTAACTTATAACGCGTGCTTTCATCAATCTCTTTGCAAATTTAATAAATAATAAAAGAAGGGTTTAAATCAACAAAAAGATCACAGTCTAGTACGTGGAGAGCGATGTTTTCATTAAATTACAGGTTTAAGAAATTAGCTGCCTTTGAAGAAAGATGTAACCACGTTCCCTATTCGGACGCTCGAACACATATCCATGAGTTTCACTTGTTTTGAGAAAGAACCTCAAGGCATTTTTGGGTGAGAAACTGCAATTCAATTCTAGTGGAAGGAGAGGATTCATGAACATTAACCATGACACAGTCTGCAAACTAACCGGATACGTGTACCTAGGGAGTAATTTTGCATAATTGGCTTGCGACTCGCCATTGATATCATGTGCATTCTGCTCTTTCCCAGCTGTAACACCATCTTGAGGATCTGGAGCCTGGGCAGAAGCCTGGGCAGATCCTGCCTCCGACAATTGCGGTTCCTGTTGAGGATCTGAAGCCTAATCGTATATCAACCAGTCCTGAGTAAGAATTTTGTTTAAACATGTCCACACTGTATTTTCTGCTGAGTGTATTGTAGTCACAAACGACTGTGACGATTTCCTGCTATTTGGACTGTACAGTATATGTGAACATCTCTTTCCAATCGAAAGCTCACGTTCACAACTTTGTCATGCTAGAGACGACAAAATAAACGACTGATCAGTCTGAGCAAATGTGTTCCAACTGAGCTCGTTCACGATATTTTCTCTCCTAGATATCCTTCCCTTCTTTATTTCAGTAATGAAGTCTACGGTTGGGTTTAAGGTCTGATTGATATCTGGCCCCTTAGATATCCCGTGCTTTGCAATTTTCTGTGATTCACGCTTCAATAGCTTCTCTGAAAGGTTTTAAGACGACGTGCCAGTTTGCTCACCTTCTCAGATTCTGCAGTATTAGACTCTGGTCTGTGTCCTTCAGTAGACAAGGTCAACGATTGTTTTATGATGGAAATTTGTTGTGAACTAAAACGTAGAAACAATTCCTCAATCTCTTTCAAAGCTTCCGCCCCTTCTGTTCCAGCAGTGGTATCGTTCCTCAGCTTCTGGTTATAAGCACACAATATAGCGCAGAGTTAAGAACCTGGTTGGATCAATTCAGCTGACACAGAAGTGACTCTGTTGAGGTTTGAATCGAGGCGAGGGAACGTGTCAACATCTCTGAGCTTGAAAGAGTGCTTTTTGTATATTAAGCCTGAGTTTTTGAATCTCAAAATGGTTAACGTCTCAATAGATACGTGCGATATTTTTGTACCAGAGATCCGAACATAACACATGTGCTACTGAGCTGCAAACAGAAAACTGTTAAGCCCTTATTAAACTTTATGGTTTCAGATTCTCATGGTAGCTCACTTGAAACCAGTGAAGCTTCATGAGATGTACGACTGGGCACCTGTATAATGATTCTCAGTGCTTGCAGGTTCTCATCAGCGATGGCTGTCATAGCCGCTTCAGCATATTTGGTCAATTCTCTTTCTGAAACAAGTCAATTTTCATAACCTTGCATTGTTGAGTAAATTATACACATCAACTCATCCATATTTCACATCGTTGATTTGCGTGGTGAACACGATGTAGGTAAAGTTTGGATACTCTACTGTAGGTCATGAGAAAACAGATATCAAGCAAGATCGAGTCTGCAATTGAACCGTGATTGTCACTAGCAAACTCAGCAGATTGAAGCTTCATACCCGCCTCATAACATTCATCGGACTGTGGCCCCAAAATCGCATTCATTGCAGATCCGACAAAGTTTGACAGTTCTCTTCCTGCACATACAAAACAATCCAAATTGAATCTTTAGAGTGAAGTTATTTTGAAGAGGAATGACGTACTTACAATGAAGGTCTTTCATAAAGCTCATGGGAACTTTTACCTCCTTGAGAAACACGGGCTGAAAATTGCGACAACATGGAGTAAAGGCCCTAAGAATTGCTCCATGTGAAATCTCTAAAGTGCACTGCACACAGGGAAAACTCGTATAAACTTCTGGTACATGAAACCTAAAAGGATATAAGAAGTTGGGAAGACAGGGCTTTTCTTGAAAAAGAAATTAGATTGCGAAGGAGCACGCGACATTTCAATTTTCAAAAACCTATGCATAGCACATTTGGTGCAAGTTGCAAGTTGGCTCACATGCTTGGACGCTGGAACCAAACAAGCATTCCAGCATCATACTTCGGTTTATATCACAACGATCGGCGAGCGAGAAGAAAAGAGCAGAATTGTGCCACTTACTGGCAAGGGAAAATTTTTATTTCTTCCTTCTACTCTGAGCAATTCATCGTTGGATAGCAACTCTTTTCAACGACAGATCAAGATACTTCAGAAAGCGTTTTCGACACACCCGAAATGGCCAAGAAATTCATTTGCGCACATTTTCTTTCCGCCGGCGAAGGGTAATGCCCTCGAGCAATCGATTTCTTGATAGGGCTCGGCAGCACGAAGTTTAAGCCTAAAGAACAAGAAACTCGCTGTCCAAAGGGCGCCACGTTTGCGCACCCCATTCCTGTCGCAAACGTGTCTCTACCTCGCAACGACGTGTGTAAACTACCAGGTTGCATGTGACACGTTAGTCTCGACATCATGACTGTCACATTATAGCCGACCGCAAGCAAGCCCTCACCGTTAACGTCCTGAAATTTAAATATACCGTAAGGCGCCTGAAAACAAATGTGGCCAAAATATCTTAAAATACGTCTATGTTTAGATTATTTCATGCACATCCGGCACCGAGTAGATAACGAAGGGATTTGCACAAACACGAAGTCTCATCGTCACACAAGAATGAAATGTGAGTACGAGTCTTCTAATGTCGAGGCGAAAATCTCATCATTCTGATAAACGTTGTTAGTGTGCTTCAGACTAGTCTCGAATCGAGCTTGAACAAGCTTTTGTAATAAAAGACTTGCCGGATGCAATAGTTGACCGCAGGGCCTTTTGAAAATGTCGATAGATGATATGTCTTTAGTCTAATAAATGAGAAAAAACATACATGAGCTCATATTCTATTTCCGGACCTAAACCCCCCTAAAAGATATACATTCATATTCATATCCCCGTGTAAATCCCGAGGATGATTATGAAGAACCAGAATACACATCTATCTAAAATCACCACACACAAAAGTGACAATGGTGTAAAATTTAGCAAAAATGTTATATTTGTCGACTACGTTGTAATGAAAATCAGGATGTGAATACAAGTGAAGAAGATAGGTGGATCAACGAGTAATGATGGAGTAGATCATATCAAATTCCTTAGTAGATAAGCTCATCTATTTGTAGTACTTACATACTCCATGCAATGCAACATATGACTAACATGAGAAAAAATATTATATTCAATATACAATACCATAATGTGTAATTTGTGATTTCATGTCTCATGAATGTTAACCACATTCTTCGTGAATGGATTCACACAACTCATATTTTCTTTTTCTTTTTTTACAACATACATCTTTTTTTTATCTACATTTGATATAATTCTATTTTGTCTCATCTGGCAAGATTATAATCAACTCATTATTTTGCAAAGTTGACTATACTCCAAGGCACATGAAGGCTTCTCCGCCTTCATGTGATCAATGTGTTCATTTGATTCATGAATAACCTAATTCATCAATCTTGTTTAAATTATTATCTCAATTTTCATACATCAAGTTCTAAATATATTTACTCACGTTCTCACTGTCCTTTTTCTTCTCATACTTCTGGTTGGTGATACTAACTTCTTTGCTTATCAAGCAAATATTCGTCTAAAGTTATTTTTTATTTTTCTATTGCTACTGATGCATGACAAACTTCAATCATAACATAATAATATAGATGCATATTTTTATTATAGCTTCAGCAAATCTTCATTGAAATTATTATTCTAAATATTTCCAAACTTTGAGGTGATTGATGTACTGATGACATTAAAAACAAGGTATTATCTTTTTTTTTCAATGTGATATAGAAATCTAATTTTCTACCTCCATATAAAGAATTTTTAATGATTAATTTTACAAGATAAAATTGATAAACTTGCTGTAATTTTCATTCAATTATCTTACATATGTTTTGGAGTAATGTCAACACGATATGAAGTTTATGATAAACATGTATTATAATAATAATTTTTTATTTTATATGAAAAATCAAAAATTATCTCATGTTATTAAAATAACCACAAAATTAAAATCCACATAAATCTAAAATCAAACCAATACTTCAAAAATATGTTAAATTAAAATTAGAATAATTATTTTATACTTATAGTATCATTCAATGAATAAAAACTCTATCATAGATCATTTTTATTTTAATATTAAATTAGACATTTTGTTTCATTTCTTTTATTATAATGCTTTTGTAAAAATCACGTTGATATTAATCGATCATCCTTGAAGAGAATATAACTTAGTTGATTAAAATTGATAATAATTGATGAGACATTCTCATCTTAAAAATTATTTATCATAATAAAAATTAATATATAGATAAAATATAAGTGTCCAATTTGAAAAAAAAAGTAAACCATAGTAAATTTTTTGTTCATTTATCAACACTCTAATATGTTTTAATTGATGTCAATCAATTGTAAATTTTAATGATAGAGCTTTTTAAAAAAAATCAACTTTTAAACTTCATTAAAACAAAAATCAAATCAATACAATGCAATTTTTATTTTAAACTTTACAATCACAATAAATTTTTTGATTTTCAATCTTCCATCAATATCAAAAGCATGATTGATTACAAAAAAATTACATTTTTCCAGTTGGAATCAAACTTAATAGCTTTGGTCACACATAACTCAGATTAAATTTTTTTAGTGATGCATATCTGCTATCTTTACAATCTAGTTTTACAATCAAAAATCTGAGAGATGCAAAATAGATTAGACTCTCTTGTTTTCTTTACTCTTTTTCTCTTTCATTCAATAACTTTTACCATCTGTATTAATATGTACAAACTGAACATAAAAATGAATCTTGTCCTTCTATTTTTTAATATAAATTCATTTTTTATCAAGTCATCTTTTTAAATATAATTAATGACAAAATTCCACAATTTACTTGTCAATCATGTTAAAAAATTTTAATATGGCCTCTTTTTGCAAATATTTTTAATATTTAATGACTTGGTATATATATTTCATTATTTGAACAATTATGTATATCTTTATCACTCATGAATGATTTGTCATGGATTTGTAGATTGTGCAAAGACTTTAGATTGGCTTTGAATATCTTTGTGATGATATAAATCACATGCCTTGATTTGGTTTTGTAAAACAATCCAATATTTTGGTTTGGTTTTGATTACCTATGTCCTTCAGAAATCGTTTTATTTTTCATAAAATGTTCTAGGACTTTTATCATGTTTTTCATAAATCTATGAATGAATTGACATGGCTTAGTTTTTAAATTTTACTAAGATTTTTGCTTGGCTATGTATACCTTTTTGACTCTATGAATGAATTACCTTGTCTTTGCTTGTCTTAGTAAAATATATAAAGAGTTGATCTAGCTTTATATATCTCTATAGCTATGTGAATGACTAGTCTTGTCTTCATATATCCCTGTCAACAACTTGGATATCTGAATAAGAATTGAGTCCACGGTTGAAACTCGCCGAGCTTTGCTTTGCTTTGTATGTCTTTAAAACTTTGTGAAAAATTGACTTGTCCTGCCTTTATATATCTGTGTAGAATACTTGACTTTTCTTAAGATTGAATGCTTATTTAAAACCCTCTTGTTGCTTGGCTTTGTATATCTTCGTTGCCTTCTTATAGACCACTTTCGTTTGTAAATTTTTGTCAAGTCTTTAGTATCATATATCTTTGTGAAAAACTTGGCTTGGCGTAAGATTCAATTTTTCAAAGCCGCCCATATTACTAAAACGTACTGAGAGTTGGGATTGGCTTTATATATCTCTTCAATTGACTGTCTTGCCGTGTCTTTGCTTATTTACGTATAACATTTACTTTGGCTTTGCATGTATCTATATGAAAGACTACAGATATTTTTGTTTTTTTACATAAGAAAATTTTACTCTCTTTGTATACCTTCCTGACCGTCATTGAGGATTTACTTGCTTTCACATATCATTGCCAGGTGTTCGGTTTTGTATATTTTTGTCAAATACTTGGCTTAGCGGAAGAGTGAACCCTAAGTTCAAAGCCATATGTTATTTAAACCTACTAAGAGCTTGGTTTGGCTTTGTAAGTCGATACAAATAAGTTGTCTTCGCTCTTCATGTCCCATACAACATTCTTTAATGAGGAAAATGTTATAAGAGATGTTGCTTGGCTTTGCATATCTATGTGAAGGATTAACCTTGTCTAAGTAGTTTCATGAAAAAGGTTTTAGCTTTGCACATGATCATGCAGGACTTAAATGCAAACATTTTTTATACTTGTTTTAGATATACAGTATGAAAAAAATCTGCAAAAGGTGTAAAACCTTTCGGTAACTAAAGATTTGTTCGATAATCTTATCTTTAAGAGAAGATTATTGTAGTGAAGTTTCATCTATAATGTTGTAAGACAATGAATCAGTATACATGAATAATATATTTTAACTTTACATTTATATGTGTCAATGCATTTTTCCCGCATTTAGATAAAATTTATTCGAAAAGATACAACGTACTTTTTCACATTCGAATAATGACTACATATAAGAAAAATCTTTGAAGTGATAAGAAGTATGATTCAATGTAAAATAAAACTAATCTAAGTGAATTATGTATTGGCACATGTGAGGAATAAAGCCCAGGAAATAACTATTCATTTACAAACAATAACAGTACATGTAGTTCATTGGCGGGCCAGCGTTACAAAATGGAAAGATGTTGCCATCTGACCATAAAGAGATGGCGCAGCAAGTAAACTAAAGTCCTGACAATCTACATGGGAGGTCCACTATCATCATGGTGGGTATCATGACCATAGTAGTCTATTTGATATAAATTTAAAGATTCGTAGCGAATGTACAACATACTGTACATGAATATTTGCCAATCATCCCTATGAAGGGAAAGTTAGCTCCCTTCGTAACCTTTGCTATTGAAACCTATACTAGTTCATGGAGTGATTAATCTCCACAAAAAGGCGAGATGCACATCTTTCGGCTTTTAGATGGCCTCCAATCCCAGGCCAAAGCACAATCCAATTCAAAAGGCGTATTTATCTATGTACTGATCTCGTCCAATTGTACAAGAAGGTTGAAAACTCGAGGAAGATCCCCACCTAGGCGCTGAATCCCTCGGTCAAAGGCTGCCAAACATCGCTGGTGCTGGCGCAGACTTCTGTTGCGGCTGCAGACAATTTTTCTACGCTGATTCCAGCATTACAGATGTTGGCGAACGCGCGAGTGTGCTTCATACCGTACTGAGTGAGGAATCCGCACTTGCTTTCAAAGGCGCGCACCTGTCCAAGAGAGGCCCACCACATTTTCCATATTAGCCCAAAGCTCCCACACGACCAACATCCACCATCCACTATAGACAACTTTACTCTCTCGGAAGCCCAAAGGCCAGGACAAGCATGAGACGTGAGAGGCAGCCACCGCCTATTGGCTGCTTATCCAACGACAATCTCTGCTTTCCAGCTGCAACTGCTTTAAATAGAGAATCCGACCCTAACGACGCATGTGCTGTGGTCTCTACTCTAATATTTTCAGCGCGCCGGGACGACACGCAACTGTAAAATTCTAAGAAACTGTATTTAAAACAACTGACTTTTCTCATTTCGACATCTTGCGGCTATGACCAGAAGGTTGTTACCTGGCTAAAGGAATCATCTAAACGGCAATGACAAATTGTCGACTTCATTCAGGTGGACATGAGAAAAAAAAAAGACTACATCGGGAAAATGGTTGTGGTGGTCTACGGTTAAGGTGTGAGATTGAGAATGGCCCTCGCTTCCTATATTGCAAGATACGACGGACGTCAAAACAGGAAAAGTGCATACCATGGCCTTGAGGCAATCCCAGTTCTCCACCAATGGTAGTCCTGAGGGCACTACGTACTCCAGAATAGTGGGACCCTTCTCGGAACCGAAAAGAACCTCTCCAATCATCCTGACGCTCGAATCTATATGCATACGGACAGACATGGTATCCAACAGCTCCTTCGCAGCTTTACTTTTGCGCTCAGTCCCTTCCGCAGCATTGCTGAACTGTTAACACAAATGACAACAATAAAAGGGTAAGGTCCCTTATCAGTTTGTGGAATGAACGGAAGTACGCAGTGACCCTCTGTAATCAGAAGCTTGAATGATCTCAAAGTCTTGCATCAGAGTGGAATCTACTCTTATCTTCACCTATTAACACGTAGTGAGAGATATCCAAATACGTCTCTCCCACTTTCCAACTCGATGTGCTTATCCGAGGGACAAGTTGATTACCTTGTGCCACAAGTGGAGCATATCTGCATCTCTTTGGTTGACACCGATAGTTCCAGTAAACCCATTTGTACTTTGGACGCCGTCAGGGATAGCGGGGAAGGTAACATTTTCATTAGCTGGGTCGAAGCCAAGGTACAAAGCAAGCTGATCCACATGCACTTCAATGTCTCCATACTCCATGACATGAGATCCTGTACGATACGTGTTGTGGTTTGAAGTTCTCTTCTTGACCTGAAACACACGAAATGTGAAACTTAGAGATTACCACCTAAAACTGGTACACTCTTCTCCTACTACAGACCAAACCTGTAACAATTCAGTCCCTGGCCAGTGTCCTAAAGATCTAACGAGGCCTTCATCGTCAAAAATTGGTGAAGGGAAGGATATGAACATCAGCGTGAAGAAAGCAAGCTTGCCCGAACATCGATACTTGTACCAACTCTACTACAAATAACTTCTCTGCCACAACAGAAGGAGAGACGGTTCTTACAATCTCATACTGATCCTTCAAGGTTTCCTTCTTCAAATTTTGTACTTCACTGCAGGACAAGATGACAGCTCATCTTAGATTCCTCACAAAATCCTTTACAAACACAGGACCAAGTTCAAAGTCAACTGCAATAGCAAGTAATATGAAGTACACGTTTTGTTCTTCGCCTTTGTTATATGAGGGAATTTGGTCGTTCTCGACTCACCTATCTTCCATCCATGCAACACTGTAAAGATCACCCAGACAGGTTTCAAATTCTCGTGGAGGAGAAGGAACCATTCCAGGACAGTAGCAACCCCAACTGCTTTCTTCCGCATTCGAAGCAGTTGTGACGTAGATGTTCAATCCTTCAGGAAGAAGACCTTCAAAGATGCTACCACTCTCACAAGCCTCTAAATATATGACCTGTTGAAATTCATAGATGACGTCATATTTGAGAAGTAGACGGACAACAACAAGAGAAGCTACTCATGCTTCGTCAGCGAGAGGATTCAAATACCAAGTTTTGGAAAAGCAACCACATGAAAATGTGAAAAAAAACAGGGCTTACCATCTTTTTGTACGTGCCCAGTTCGTATTTCTTCTTCAGAGTTGAAATCAAGTCAGGAGCGTACATATTCGGAGGGGAGGGCATACCTACAGATTCCTCAAGTTCGTGCATGTTAGTCCGATAACTGCTACGATATAACTCTCCACTTGTTTAGAGACTAGTGAAAGACCGATGTTTTCACACAATGTTACAAGTCGTACAAAGAAACTAAATGCAGAAAAAGAGGATAAGAGTTGACTTCGCGACTTCGAAGTAGACTGTAGACTTACAGCAAAAGAGGCAGCAAAGAAAAGGTTGGGGAGTCAAACCCAACAACACTCATTGGTGGGCATGATATAGATAGTAGTAGTTTGCACACAAATGGTGAGTTTCTACTCACTCACGACAAAATCGACACGCCAAAGTTTGAGAAACACAGTATCACGCACGTTAGGGCTTCCATCCAACCCACATGTTCCCGTACCTGACAGGTATGACGTTGCTACATATACTCGACAGGGTGGGACCCTATGAAACCTCTAACTGATCATCTCGAGGCATCTACAGACAACCTAGTTCCCATCGATGGGCGTGGTAACTTTAGATCTCCAAGCCAGGCGCCGCTTTCCGTGACCAACGAACGCGCACAAGAGTCGCCAACGAGAAGTACTAATACTAGTGCAAATCACAATCAATTGAGTATTACAGTCGGAGCTAGACTAAACCAAAAGTTAACAAGAAAAAGTTCTCACCAAGAATTCCTGGACCACCATGGTCAGAGTAGTAGATAAAGATACGATCGTCGGGTCCACTATCAACAACCTTCCCACTACCACCTGTGATCGCATTCTTGTCTCCCAGAATGGCAGCGAAGAAGTTGTGCGTGTTTACATCTTTTCCTGTATAATCCTGTTTGCAAAGAATACATGATTTATTACGCGAATATTTCGAGATTGACAATCGAGACTCTCATTGTAATCAGTTGACCTTCAAGTAACGGAATAGGAGATGGATCCTGCGAAACATTGAAAGAATGAGAGAGATTAAGAGAAAATGAAAAACACCCACCTTTGGGACACCATGGTAAACGTCGCTGCCCGTAGGAGAGTTGATAATTTCACCAGGACGAGGATTCTCGATGTTGTCCGCAATATCATCGTACATGAACACAACTATGTTCTCCTCAGCTACGCCGTTTCGTCTCAATATCTGATAAGCATGACAGATATCCGCCTGCAGAAGAGCACAATCCATGTTCGTTAATACGCCTCCTTCGTGGAGAAACAACAGTGGATCGCCACCAAAACAAAGCACGCTATCTTCAACCGCGCCGTTCTTCTCACTACATTCAAAGACTTCGTTGAATTAGGTACAACGCGTGGCATCGAACAATACTCATGACAATTACTCCTCCTGACGTATGAACATGTCCGGAAGGACAGTACCACTCTAAACCGCAGATGGTATATATCTGCCAACGGTATATAACAAAACATACAAATCTCTTTCTGTAGCCCACAGCCTCCAACGTCATAACCAACACCTACGAAAGAGATTCCAAACAAAGATCCCTAGGCAAAATTGGAGTCCAATGAGCAAAAACTTAAGTATCTCAAGACAATTCAAGATTCAAATCAAGACTGTCGACGGACAGAATGTATCACAAAGCAAACCACAGCTTCAAAGAACGACTTTCACAATGAGAAAAGAAGATTGAAATTTGTGCAGAGATGGAATTCCACAACAAAGATGGAGACACAACACGAAAGAAACCATGTCCTCCTTCGCCTGTGTGGGTGAATTACACTCTTTTGAACAAAATCGGAACGCAACGCCAAATCTTGATGCGAAATCTCCGTGCTGCCACAATTGATGTCCATTCTGCAAGATGGACAGCTCAGCCGAAGCTAAGAGAACGCACCTGGTGACGATAATTCCCATACCCTCGGGAACCAGCAAGCAGCACTGCCCAACGCGTCCCACGCTCGGCCTCAGCAGCATCTTCAGCCGTATCCGTCACTCGGTCAGTTGGCATCTGAATGATTTCCTCGAAGGAGCCTCCATAATGTCTGGCAGCTCCAACGACGGCGAAAAACAGTGCGATAGTAACCACCGAAACGGCTAGCTTCGCCCCTTCCATTTCGAGAGCTGAAACTCCTCACTCCAACTTCTTCTCGTCGAATTACACCAATCTGCCACCGAGTCCACTCCTCAGTTTGTCGACATATCGCGCGAGGGAGCGTTCAGAGTACGCCTTCTCAAGCTGCTGCTGCTGCTGCTGTTTCTTCTTCTTCTTCTTCTTCCTCCTCCGCCAGAGGTCCTTCTTCGACTTCAAACAAGAGCAGCTCGGCGCTTCTTTAAGGAGCAGCGATTCTATTTTCCGAATTTACAATTTTTACAATTTCAGAATTTCCACAACGAACTACGCGATCCGGACCGTCCACCTTCTATCTACGACTGTAATTCTTCCTGGAGAAGAAGATGTGCTCGGTCGAAAAGGATGACGCGAGAAAAAGATCCTCTCGTCATGCCGGGCCGGGCCCCGACGCTGCCTGAAGCGAGGCACGAAAGGAGGATCCCGATTCCCACCGGACGATTTCCTCTCGTGACGTGGCAGGACGTCAGGCTTGGATGCGCCAGGAAACCGTCCGATTTGGAACACCTGGCCAATCACAAATAGACCCTCTTTGCTGGCCTCTAAGGGGTGGCTTCCTGGCTGGACAGACAGCCCTGCCCGTATACAAGGTTCCGAAAAAGACACCATTGCTCGCTGAGCAAGCCACCCGACCCCATCTCCACACCCCGCTCCCCGCCCACATCGACTGCGTTGTCACATGTTACGCAGTTATTAATATTGCGTGCGATCGCTCGCTAGCCCTGCTCGTGCATGTACATGGTATACCAGCGCCCCGCAAGGTTCCAGCTTGACCGCCGAAAGCAAAGTGCGGGTTTGGAATACACCGTTTCCATCTTATCGGGAAAGCGGTGGAGGTAGCCTGACCGAACGTCCGACCGAGCCCCGGGTAAAGCAAACCTGGTGTGGCATGCGACAACATCGGGTATCGGTGCGCCGATGTCCCCTCCAAGGATCGTGGAACCTTTGCCATACTGTTCCCGACGCACACATCAACGGACTCTCATCTGTACGAGACTGCGAGAACCTTGGAGTAAAGTTGGGCGAATCATATTCCGTCTGCCTGGTACCACGGGCGGCTACTCTGATGTTGATGGACGGAATTGCATGGCGTAAAGCTTCCTTATTCCCTCCATTATAAGTAATTAATTACTCCTCGTAAACAAGTTTGTGGTCTCCTAAGGCAAGGAGAGGCTTAGCTTATATACTAGACCAATAGCATAACACAATACTCACGAGCTAAAGCCGCCCATTTATCATGCGATTGGTCAAAATACAAGCCATAACATGATGAAATATGAATGATCGTCAACACAAACAAAAACTCTCAAACCACTTCCTGACATGGGGTGTAAAAATGGGATTTGATGGATCAATGGAAATTTGAAGGTACATACGATCTTAAGGAGCAACTTGAGGCCTACTTCAGGGTAGAGCTTGAGTCGCTCCTAGGATTATGCCGCCCCGAATCTAAAGCGCCAAATCCACGAGTGCAATCCTAGATACATTCACTTCTCTATTAAGTGTTCACGACAGTGTTTGGAGGTCAGGAGTGTTGTAAGAATACCACTTACACCCCAGCATCAAACACGCACCCACTCTAAGTCTATTATAGGAATACTACCTACACGATGTCCAGCCCCCACTTTTGTTGTCAGGGGGTTGAACATTGTGTTGGTAGTTTGAGACAGTTCCTATGCTTGCATGATTTCATTTCATGTGCTATGTGTTTATATATTAAATTATCGAACGAGAATAATATCATTGATATTCTGCGAATGTTCTCACTTATCAACATGAAACACCCTATTGAGTCATTAAAAGATGTAATCGTTATCAAAAAGGGTGATAAAAGGTTGAACTGTGCACATCACATGAGAAGTGTACCAGTGTTTTGAATAGTAATTACGAGAAGATATTTTGTGTTTGCTACTATGTTTTGGTAGGTTCAACGTACTGCATCAATTGTGTAGAGGTGTGTTTGATGGTTCCTTGATGGTAACTTAGCGAGATCTTAGAGCAAATGCCACTAAGACTTAATTTTGGGTTTATATTTGTAAAAAGGAATGTTTGTAGAATTCTAAGAAATAATAGAATCTATGTACTTTTCAGTTGTGTACTATGACTCCAAAACCATACTATATACTGTATGTCACCTCTTGTTCGATATTAGTCTCTTGACTGACATTAACAGAGGTATTTAACCTCTGGATTACTATCTACGTAGTGATAAAGGTATGTAATATGTATTGTTACTCCCCTTAGTGGTAATGTAATTGTAGACTAGTATAATATCGGTAGCCTGAAATAGAATTCAACAAGAAGTGTTGTATCAAACTATGTAATGAAACAAAATATTAGTTTTAAGTTTTTGAATATCTAAGTGCAACATTTTCACGCATCACCATACAAAATCATTCCATGCATTAAAATGTGTTACATTTGTAAAACTGATCATTAATCCAGTCATCATTGAAGTGATACAGATAAAAATATTCACAAAATTCTGAACCAAACATTAAAAAACCAAACTGACTATGTGTTAAGTGTATTATGAAACTTTTAATATCACAAATACACTTATTACAATTTACGCTAGCATGGGATAGATATAATTCAGATGATGTAAGAAAGGAACAAACTCTAAACAAATGCAAGTCTTGACAGCTCTGAAGTATTTTAAATCTAAGGACACAGTATTCCACAAAAAATTTACTTCATCACGTTCACAAAATATTGCAATGATTATATCAATTTAATATTATATTAATTTCAAATATGTGATCTTCTTGATAAGAAGGTTCAAATATCTAACAACATGCATGTCATGTGTTATTAATAATGGAGAAGTGTTGAAGGATGTCCGTTAATTTTCATGAGATTTTTCACAATATGCAAGTTCAAATGTTTGAAAAATCACAAGATTTTATATAGGGATTGAAGTCTTCTAAAATATTGAAAGATGAGAGATAGTTTACATTGAACATCATTCAAGATCCAAATTAACGAGAGAAAAAGCTATCAAAGATTGATCATTGTTGATTTTTTTTTTTACCAAATTCTTAATAAAAATTTGCAGATTTTCTAAAAGACTTATATATGAAAAAAAATTGATAAAGAAATTGATGATCATTGATAGTAAATCATCACGTATAACTCAAATGAAAGCAAAAATTTTAGAAATAAATTTTGATTATTTTAAAAATTGAACGTTGTATCCAATATTTATGTTTTTGATAATGTTAAGGCAATGTTTTTTAAAAATATAATTAATAAGCAACAAAAAATTTAATTCTTTACACACTGATTTAGTAGAAATTTTTTTGATGCAGCCATTCATATTAAGAAAATCACTTACCATAGTATATGTTGCAAGTTAATCAAGTATGTTACCCGGTTAAAAATTGTATGTAGCTATGTGTCATTATTATGAAGCATAATCCCAAGATGAAACAAAGCTATATTAGCGCATTGTAACTATCGCACCTGAATATTTCAACAGCATGTATACTATTTATGAGTCAAATCTATCCATATTTTACATATAAAGGCTAACTATAACCAAAAGAGAAAGGAAATCGCAAATTCATATTTGCTTATAGAATTGACACCTTGCTATGCTTCCCTAAGTGGATCGCTTGAAAATGATGGTAGTGGCGTGATCGATATCTTTCAAGTAGTCAGAGTTAGTTAACTAACAACAACGGCGGCTAGTGTGAAATGTAAACACTTCATTTTAGCCACATTGAATGTTGACACCTATCGCTACACTTGGACTTCTACGCTGCTCATCCTTCAGCTGCTTCGCTACTGGGTAGTATATCCTATTCGGCTCCCAGGCGGAGCCTACTTGTGAACAAAACGGTGTAATTGTGGAAAGAAGATTATTTTTGTTATATTTGACTTTGGTTTTTTACGGAAGCCGGAGTTTTCAAAACACACGAATGGATATCTTTATTAACGTGAATAGAGTATATTCATAGACAAACCTCCCATATCCACATTTTTGGGTATATTTGCATTTCCACATTAAGAAGATATTGGTTCATTTATATTGGACAAATTGAAACCCTTGTGACACTTCAAATCTCATAATTGCTTTTTAAAAACAATGATTAAAAGAGAAAAAAAGATACGGCAAATCATCGCCAGGTACAGAATCGACACTAAAATCACTTTTTAATATAAAAAGTAAATATGTGATGAATATGCATTTCATCTCAGTATGCACTACATGGAGTAAAATATCACTTTTCCATCTGTGTTGTAGAAGATAAATCCTTATGTAGATAAAAATTTCAATTACTCATAATTTGATTAATTTGCTTGCATAATTATCTGCTAGGTCATTCAAGCTTTTGTGTCAAACGCTGGTTCGTGCGACTTTGGTTCTTTGTAACTTGGATTCTGTAAGAATCCAAAAAGAGTAAAGAAACAAAAATTAGATCATAGAATCTAGAGAGTAAAGTGAATATTTGTCTACAAAATAACCTTTTCCCATATCAATAAAAAGTTACACATTCATTCTTCCTTCACCAGTTGAGGATGGAAATATTTGTCCACAAAATATTCCTTTCTCATGTCAATAAAAGGGTATACATTCATTCTTACTTCACTCGTTTATGATGAAGACAACGCATTGGAGTTCGTGATCATTGTCCACCAATCGAAAGTAAAACACTTTCACACCCAACGTCCAAACTCCAGCTGCCTCCACGAGGAGTTATCATGAATAGCTAGTTGTGTCGCTTGTTCCAAGCTCTAAGCTCAGTTTTGTCTTATTAGGAAGTACACCTTGATCAGCCCGACTACATTTTGGCATTGTGCACTATTTCGCTCACTATGAGATTAACTATATGAGCTCTATCTACTGCACAAGCTTTCAGCTTAATTGATCCAAATTATTTGAATCGTTTTGTGGCTTTTCGTAAACTTATTCAATAAGCAAAAATTTCTCTTAACATCTTGACCTGCTTTATCATACTAATTCATGTGTCAAGATTAAGAAGAAAATACTTTCTTCTCCAAATCAAAAATTAATCTAGCGTTTATTACCGTCTTTAGTGACATGTAATATTATAATACCCCGCTATATATATAACTGATGTAACATACTCCTCTACTTAAAAGCCCTAGACTTCCAAAGAGATCACGTACGATCAGCGTAGTCCAGATGCTTTCGATATAAAAAAGGTTATACATTCATTGGAACATGTTACAATTTATGTAAAGCTTATTTGAATAATCTTCTCCATGAAGTTGTTTGTCAAGTAAATTGATATTACCATTCAATAAAATACAATCGATCCAACATTTTTCTCACGCTATATACTAAATTTTCTTCTATGAACAGATATCAAATAGATTGATTTAAACATGAATATTTATATCAACTTATTTCTCTTCAATTTCTTGTTCTTAGTTCTATTGAAGTATACATTTTATATAATTAATAATAGTGTATTTATTTTTAAATAAATAAAAGATGTAGGCTTGAAATGCCCAAAATAGGAACCTATTACATAAATCTTAAAACCGTTTAGCACATAAATCTTACAAATTTCCAAACTCATAACATTATATTACGACTTCAGATTTATTGAAGATAATTCATTTTAGTAATATTTAATACTATAATCATGAAATTTTTACATGTTTAAAAATTCTATAAAATGATAGTGTCAAAATTTTTTATGTAAGGTTCAAAAAAAACATCATTACTTGTATAAAATCATAATGATTTTCAATTTCAAGTTTTTGAGACTTATATATAAAGTCATGCATGTTATCAATACATAGGTTCAAAACCTATTGATACGTTTTTCATAATTCAACTGAGATCAGCAAATAAAACATGACACACGCACTGACTAAATTGAAACATCATATACTCATAATTTTGAAAAAATATAAGCTTATCCAAGAAATAAAAAGACTGGATTTTTATTGTAAAAACTTGGTCTAGAAAGAATTTAATCTTATACTTTTAGATGTATTTTGTTAATGAAGGTGTTTCAAAAATCTTATATTGTAAAAATATATAATTTTTTCATTGAAAAATAATAAGAAATAAATGATAATTCGCATGAAAAAACCATGCAAATGAAAATACATTTTTTATTTTATGAAATATAATGTTAAATCTTAAAAGAATCTCATCAGACTAAAAAATTTATTTCTACTTATTCAAAATTAAGATTATGTGATTGTTACAAAATCAAAGCATAAATACATAAAAAAATATATACAATGTTGAAATATCAACATGAATACATTCTCAAGTCAAAGTTAAAAGTGTGCTATAATTTGATCTCAATTATCTATTTCGTCGCATTTGTAGACTCTTGTCAATGTTGTGGTTGTAAAAGATACAAGCACGTCACAGTAACACGTTCAAAGGTGAGTGCTATAATTTACAGTTTTAGAAACTTTGAATTGTGCTTGGAATCAACGTGAACATTTTGTTCATAAATTGCACATGCGTGATTTATAGGTACGGCATGTACTCAAGAATTAGCCTCACAAAAAAGAAACTGAGACCAAAAATTTCCAGAATCTTAATTATTGAAGAATTTTTTGTTAAACGTTTAACGAAAATAATCATTTGCTATGAACGCACGATGAAGAAATCAGATGAGCCCAATCGGAGTCATGCTAACGTCACCAACATGCCACCAACCATAAAAGAGGAGGGTAGTTTCAAATAGATTGGATTGAAGTAAGAACAATCACACTCGTAGAGAAGACGTAAATGAACTGCATTTGTGCTAAAAAAATAAGCATAAATCTAGACGTGGAAAATAACGCAACATATTTTAAAATGGACATGGAGCGCAGCTGGCAAGAATTCCCCCTGTCTTCAGAGTGGATTAGTAAAAATCCTATTTACCCTTCAATGTATCTAGACAAACGAAAGTGGTTTCGGTAGCCAGCGGCGGCGATTCAATGCACCTGGATGGAACCGGTTTCCGGATGCCGGAATCCGTAAGGAGTGACGGAGGGGAGGTGGTCAGTCAGCACCTACGGAAGGCAAGCAGCAATATAGGCTGGCCGGTATTCATAAAGAGGATCGGGAACCGGGCTAGCGTCGCGGAGCGGAGGGAAGCGAGCGGATTGGCTCAACGGCTCAGTCATAACGAAGCGCCCGAACACGTTACGGAATTCCAAATCGCCAGCAGCTTTAGGGGAAATTCTCTCCCATCTTTCGGGGGAGCATCGGGGCCGTTCTTTCGTGCCGGGGCCGCGATGCTTCTGTTTGGTCCAACAAGTTTTCGGTGGTCCCTCTGACAAGCCTTTCGCTTTGAATCTTCGGGGGATTTCCGGTCCCCCTTTGGGCTGCGGCTCGAATCTCTTCATGTCAACCATCAACGCTCCGGTCAGCACCGTATTACTGCCCATCATTGCATTGCGTTGCCCCCCATATGACGCTTCCCGCTCACCGTACAGTACGCTTTAGAAACATACGCAGTCGTATCGAACGCCTACGACATCCGTTCGTGTGTACGAGATTACCGCTGGCAGTCTGTCCCTGGACTGCGACGGGACCCTAATCTGCGTTTGCTCGACGAGGATTCGCAGACGAGAGAATGGAGGTCTTGCGCTTGTGATGAAGAAACGTGCATGGGACAGCGAGGATGCTGTTAGGTTGCCGCGCGATTTCAACACGAAAGATGGTTCCGCTCTTCCGTGCTTCGTGTGGTGTCTGCGTGTGTTTTGGGTTTGGGTTTCTTGGAATGTGAAGCATTCTTGCATTTTCGACACATGGTATGAGTAGCAAGCACGGTGGTCAAAGTTGTAGTAATTTAAGTCTTTTTCATCTTCTAGATTTCACCTTTTATTTCGGAGATGGAGTGCTTTCGAAGCTCTTGTCTCGAGTCTTTGCTGCCTTGATGTTTAGCGATTGGGGCTTCGTGCTGTTTTGACAATTTTTTGGTCGTGCTAAGTTTGGCAAATGATTTGAGTAGGATGTTTTGTAGTTGATGTCTCCGTCGTCTCTCTTGATATTGTGCTTCTCATGATGAAGGTATTCAGCCGAAGAATGATACGTATTTGTGTGCAAGAAGAGTACGAACCGTCCCTGTCAAATGCAAGGAAATTACGAAGCGGTCATTCGATCCACCATCCTTTCTCGTAAGAAATTGTTGCACTCGACCCAAAGGAATGCTGCAACAGGTAAAATGAAAATAAGACCACCGAACTTGCAAGGATTCAAGCACAAGTTCTTACATACTGTAGGCTTTCGCTCCTTTCTTTTGGCAGACGATAAGCATGATTGTGGTAGTAAGCCACCGTATGTTTTGAAGAAAAAAAAAGCGAAAGGAAGGCGTCATGGTCGAGAGAGTGCAAATATATCTCGAGAAATGGGCCCCTGACCCTCTAGTCTAACCCTGAACAATGCGTGAGATAGGAACAAGGCTTCAATGACTTTCTTGTGAACCATCCGCTGCAAATCGGATGATCATGCTAGGTTGACGAGAATTGATAGGAGGAGCGTGATCCACTGAATACAATCCTCGACGCCTACACCTGGACACGAGTGGTTTGATGCTTGCAACAAAGTGGTTTGCAATGACCACTTCGACCTTTTGATTTATTGAAAACATTTCCAGGAAAGCTGGCAGCGATGAGATGTACGCTCCGCTTGCTGGATGCAGGCTTAACACACACTTGGATCGTACTATTATTTCGAAAATCATTGTTTAGAATGCATAGTGGTGATCGTGGAGGTCATGTAGCTGCGAGGTACAAGTTCGTTATTTTATTCAAAATATGATATATCCATATATGGTATAGTATTCCATCAAAGTCTTACTAAAAGTAATGGATTAAAGCTATTCACACAACTTAATATTTTGTAATGAAATCAAAAAAATGAATTTAGTACTAATCATAACATGGGTTGAGTAAAAACTCAAAATATGTGAGTTTGATTGTTTACCGAAACTTAATGACAAAGATATTTGTGAATTTGTAGATTGAGTTAAGGGTACTTGGTTCTATGTAATTTAGTACACGTAATAGAAGATGTATTTTCATACTCATGTAATATATCATTGACGGATTTCTTTGTTTCAAATTTTCTTTGTGCTTTCAATAATTTATCCAAGTAGCTTTGAGTTTTTGTGAATTCACTAAAAATTGTACACTTTGACAAGGAATGTACATGCAGGTTGCATGTCATAAAGCAATATTATGCAGCAATTCATCGCAACTATATATTACTTTATATATATAGATATATACATACATTTTTTTTGAGCTTCACTCAAAAGAATCTAAAAATCGATAACACAGAAGATATATGATTGATATTTCAAAATTTAGATGAATAGATTTTTAAAATGTAAAAAATAAAATCACATTAGTTGAACGTTAATTAGTTGGTTAATTAATTTTGTTGTAATAAAATTTGGTAATAGTATCAGTGAATCAAACTTAGAATTTCTTAGGAAAATATTTATGTAATATAAAAAAAATATCTAATTTTAGATGTATAAGTTTACGAATTATTAGAAATCTACTCCTGTTAATGTTCATTAGTTGATCAATTAATATTTTAATAATAAAAGAATTGATATAAGTTATCATTGAATCAAACTTAGAATTTCTTTAAAAAATATCTATGATCTCCTCTATGTAGAATCGTACCACATTTTTATACATAAACTCCCTTGCATCATATTCTCTGAAATAATTCTAGATTCTACTTTACAATCCAATGGTTATATAGAAGTTTTGGAATTTTTCGAAAATTTATACATTTAAATATATATTTCTTACGTGTAGTCCAGAAAAAATCAATCGATTTATCTATTCAATCTAATTATTTATAGATCCAAGTGCTTTATGTACTTTAATGAGTCTTCTATTAGTCAATTTAAATTAAACTGGATACTTAAACTCATAACTATAATGGAATTCCAAATAGGCGAGAGATTCGTGTTCTCTCCAAAACCATCCAAAGGCGAACAAACATGTTGAAATACATAGATATTAAGCAGTGAAGCGAATTGAGGGGAAAGTTTATTTTACAGATTAGAATCAATTATCTGAAATTGAAAGACATGATCATTGTGTTATCAGTTGTCACTATTATTATCGATCGATATGAACAAACAACCGATTACAGAATTATTTATCCTTTTTCTCTTCTTATTTTCCAGATTAATGTTCATGTTTTCTCGAGAGCTGATCGGAGTTAGAATGAAGGGGAATGTGCTTCCAACCACCATTATACAATCCTGAGCGTAGAGTGGTCCCTAATAGCATATCTTGCATCTGAAGACACTAATCAAATGTCACAATACGTTTACAACATTAAAGTTGTTTTCTTTGGCTTATGGCTGATTCTGGACACTGCGTGACTCGCTGTCAGTCCTGTGGCATAGCGGCCATGCATGTCCAATAGCGCATGAAGGTTCAGCGAAAGATGCGATGCACAGCACTAAAAAGAAATATCTGATACACAGCAGTGCTATCCGAGAATATGTGGCGATCCGGGTGCTTTGTTCATGTGACATTCACCGCAATCTCCAGAAACCTTGAAGATATAGTGGGAGTATGTTCTGTCTGTCCTTGACTTCTTCTGCTGAAGTTAAATAACGGAAGAAAGATTCTTGCAGGTTTATGTGGTCCCATGATGGAGGAGGTGTGGATGCAAGGTCATAAAGATATGTATCTATGGGAGATCTGATCGAGCACGACAGCCCTGCCCAAATTTTCACCATTTTTTTTGTCTTTCTTCGAGCGGGAGGGGATGAAAGTTTGTGCTGGAAATTTATTGTGCAGCGAACTCTTACGAGCTGAGGAAGTTGTCGACAGTTTTCCTGAAACTTTGCCCGATGATGAATCAGATTGAGTGCTTTGTGTGTTGACTACGTTGTGTGACTGGTGACGGTTTCCACAATTCTGATCGAGAATCCCCTTCTATGTGGCAACGACAGATATGCACGGGAGGGTAGATTCATTTTCACTGGACGTAGGACTTCCTGATTCGCACTCAACGTCGCTGACGAATAAAGGTGGGTGGTCGTCGAGGAACCTTTTTATCTTAACCTCTCAATTTGAGCTTACCACGTTATGTCTGCAAAGCAGATAAGGAAGCTCTTGCGTTCACAAAGTCCTTCCCGACCCGGTATCTCTCGCCCTATTTCAGATGAAAATTGTCCTCAAACCATTGCGGAAAGCAAATCGTTTGTGCTCCGTAACAAGAGGGATCAGGCCAACGCTGAGAGCTTCGGAGTTCGTGCATTTTGGGATGCACATGATCACTTTAGCACCGAGTGGAAGCTGTCAGACACTAGGACTAGAGGCATGATCATCCACGGCAGCAGCATCGGCATTGGGTACGTTCCCGAGGTTGGGATCCATGGAGGTTGAACTCACAACACCTCTGTTTGACGACCGGAGCACTTGTCTCGTTGCTATCAGCTTGGCAACGGAACATACCTCCTTTTCAATGAACAAACCCATTTCAGAAGCTGTAAATGACGCAGCCTTTGATTTACAGCAACTCGTTCCGTTTAGGAGAAATCGCTTTCTTCACGCACGGTGATCATTACCTTCGTACCATATTGTTTTAGTAGTGGGAAAGGCTTAGCCGATCGTATATGTTTATCGACATTTCTTTCTGTCAAACATCGATGATCCCAGTGGGTCTCTCGGGCGATTACACGGGGAATATCGGTGGCTGCATGCAGTTCCGGAATGGCCGACCCAAACAAGAGAAGCAAGGTATCTTCCCCATCAGTTTCTCTTCATGTGTCATTCCCAAAATGGCACTTCAGCTTTTCACCTAGTCACGGCCTACGGGAGGGAAACATCACTCTGTAGAAGATTCACCCCTACCCAGTAACTCAAGCATCCAAAAACATTGGAGCTTTGTGGCCCAACAACGGTACCAGATATCGTACGAGCGTATAGATGTGTGGCGTACCCTTGTCGAGGCAGACACCTTTTGCCATGTGGACACCGCATACAAGATGTTTCGGTTATGACGTGATTCCAGCGTGATGTGTGGCGTACCCTTGTGGTGGCTCAGGCACTTCTTGTTTGATGGGCAACTTCCAGATTCCCGAGCCAATTGGAATGAACATTCAAATCCCATGTCCTTGGCTCAACGACCCTCCGATAGCTCGTGGAGACGTTCGGTTCTGACACGAGATATACTGTAAGACCGAATTTTACTGGATGCATATCCCCTGCTTGCAGATAAAATTACGGTCAAAGTGGACCGGAGCTGACAAGGAACTTGTTCGCTACGAATGGTTTGTTCGGGAACTAAGGTTAATCACAGTAGCGAAGTTTTCATCTTAAAATACAGGAAAACTGGCAGGTTACAAAAGGGGCGTCACAAGAGACACAGTACGAAGAAGTAGCGTAGTACTTTGGTGGTCACAGTAATCCAGGATTAAAAAACCGATAGTCTTCGTTTTGAGGTAGTTTCCATGCATGGGGTTGGGTAACGGTTTGTCTGCATTGAAAGTAGGCTTGTGCAGGTGGCTGTTTGCTATGTTCTCGAGAAGTTGTCGTCCATATGCTCAACACTTTCGGGACTTTTCAGATGAAAACAACGTTCTATATCTGGGTAAGAATTACTTTCAGGTTTCCATCATTCTTCAGTTGACTCCTGACTATCAGTGCTGTCGGCTGGGTGTTGTATATACATCCCCCATCATTCATGTAAAGGTAGATCATCTGATTTACGAACTGTTGGTCATTAAAAACCTGAAGACCTGCAAGTGAGGCTAGACATGCATCTCCAGTCAGGTAAGTTCAGCTTTGCCATAAGAACATAAGAACTGCAGAATACTCTTCATACGGAGTTCGGTCTTGCAAAATTCCCTCTCTTCTAGCAAGACATGAGCCGTCCATAACCAGGGATGCCGGAAATGGTTATGATTAAATAACCGTGCTCCATCCAACATCTACGACTGAAAAATCGAAATATTTATTTAGCAAGGCTTATTCAAGCCAACTCTGAACTTGTAAAGCAGAAGGACAGGTCTTAGTGAGGAACTACTGTCGAACACCATGAACACCACGTTTGACGAAATGATCAGAAGGTGTAAGGGGTGAGATTTCTCTCTCCTGAGATGTGCGGAGCTAATAGCTGCAAACCCTACAGCTGAACTACATATGTTCCACAGAAACGCTACAAGGGTGTTGTCCTTTCCAGGGCTTAACACCAAACTCCACTTAACGTTGAAGCAATTCCAAAATATTTTCTGACAAAATTTTCCTACAATCTAATTTGGGGGTACAGGATCAGTTCATGCCTAGAAGATGAACGCAGTATCGATGATGATGTTAGGTGGAACCTGCTCATGTTGTCAAAATTTGTTATCGGCTACAGCTGCTCTCGACTACTTAGCATATGCAAAGTGATCAAAAACATCTTCGACCACTAAAAACGCCACAGGCCGATCCGACCAAGGGTTGCATTCAACATTTCAACCTTTCACGCCAGCCAGTTTTTATTCTGCAATAAACACACGCTCTTCCACATTATCGACAATATCAGGTTAAACTTTCTGCATCGTGACTTGATTCGTAGCTTTATTACATGACGCTAGTTACTTCTTACCAAGACAAGTCACTCAATGGCACGCGAGAAAGATCCTGATGCTCCACTGTGAAATTAAACTGCATGAAAACGGCACACGCTAAGTACTCAGGGAAGGTCTGATGAGCATACTTCAATGATAAGTGGTAGATAGAAACCCTCGGATCTGGCTATTTCCAACATCCTCCAAGAACTGTCCAAAAATCATCCGATACTCCATGGCATATGTAGCAATCAAAGTGAGCCTTTCAACTGAGCTCTTGTGGTGACCCTTCAATAGGAATGGTGAGGAAGACAACTTTATTCTTCCTCTTGACGTTGCAACAAGACCAATATTCTAAATAGGGCAAACATCATTAGCACAGACATTGGCACGTGAATATCTTACAAAACCACGTATGGCCTGTCGCCGTATGATCAGTGCTGACCCATCACCGCCCCCAGTGCACTGGCTTCGTGGGGAGGAAGTGCACTGAGCAAACCTTGCATTTGCTCTCTATAAGCTAAGCACAACTGATTCACTGCTTGCCCTATCAGTGACTTCACTTCAGGTTTAACTTCTTCAGAGGCGACGGTCTGTGCGAAAATGGGGACTAATTGAGGTATCAATTGAAGAATCTAGACATCACACAGATCCAGACGTCAGTAGTTATCATAATCTTGACACAAAAGCAGATACAAGCCAAACGAAGCACAGGAGATCTTCAATTTTCCTCCCGATGTTATTCTCCCGTCTGTATGATACGCCCATATGGCTATGGCATGAGTATGGCAAACAGTACAGCTAAAACTTACAGCAGAACAAAACGCCAAGTTCCGACCACAACAAACAAACAAAAGCTCCGACCCTTACATCTGGATGAGAGGCGAATATCAGCCCACATAAGGAACCATACACGCTCTCAGATTCTTCAATGTCTTCTTTCAAAGGTAGAACGCCCACAAGAGCAGGTAAAACCTGCATATGACCAGCAACGATTGTAGACAGAAATGAGATTCTTAAAGACAAACTTATTTTGTCAGACAGTGGATAGAGAGTAAAGGAACGACTGGTAGGAACTAAAAGAAAAGGCTACTGGAAGATTTTAACCGAGAACAACGTTATAGTCTGAAATGCAACCAACATTAGATATTTTGAGATGATATGTGTGGAGACATGATAAAAAAGACGGGCGAAAGCCATATCCTAATGCTGCTGTAAACGTTACCTGGCTCAAAGGTATGGCTTGGGCGTTTGCTTTGATCATGCGAGCCACGGCACCAGCAGCGTTGTCCCTGACTCCGTTGTCAGTCTCACGATCGGTGAAAAGAGGATGCAAGGCTGTCAAAATGCTCATATAATATCTGGGGCATCATAAGGACATCCAACATTCGGTGTACAATACTAAACTGCAAAGACAACATTTTCGAAGCAGCAGCCTGGTCTAGTTGTGAGGTAAGTGAGTGACTATGAGGATACAGCTTTGCTGTCTCTCCGCCGTGTAGGCAGAGCTCACCAACGCAATAGGCTGCATTTCTCCGGTTTGTGGGCTCGGGTGAAGACAGTTCCTTCAAGGCTATGGGCATGACGGTCTGTACATGACACCCAAAACCTCACATCAGCTTTAACCGAAAGGAGGAACCAATCTACACTGAAGGACAACTGATTGTTGCTATGACCAGTACGCCACTTACATCAATATAGGGCGTGATTTCCTGACGAATCTCCTTCGCTACTTCCGCAACACATGCCACAGCCATTGTTCTATCATTGGGAGGTCGCGAATGAGTCTGCAGTTGACAGTAGATCGTTGACCTTGTTATATTTGAAATTTTGTAAAAATTTATAGCCATGCAAGCGAAACGCAGGTATCCTACTCTTAAATTGAAATTTGGGCTTTCAAGTAAACAATATATGAGGTTTGACTTACTCCCAAAAATAGGGCAAGGCGGTGAAATAGATATACAAATAATTTATGAAGATTACCTCCCAGAGATTGATCAACGACCTTTCACGATAGATTTTCAATAAACAGCTTAATGAGTCAACAACCCTCAACCTACCGCAAATTTCATAAGCGGCTCAAATAGCTGACGGAAAATCGGCTCAAAGCTGCCCCCCATACACGATGCCATAGCTGGCAAAAGATCTGTTGCAGCATCCATGAGTATATCGTCGTGTTCAAGGTCGTCATCATCACCTTCACCATCGGTGTCCCCTGTTTGCTGACAAACAGCTTCCTGTCGGAGCAACATCAGCGTTGCTTCCGATAGCTTCACAATGTCTGCAAACGTGATGGATTGCTTAGTCAATTTGGAATGTGTCCATCTCACATGACACCAGATGAAGAGCCCTGGTTAGTAACCAATCTGATCATTGATTCGAATTCACCGGGCAAAAAGCACGAAGGCATGTCCATATTAGATACTTTCGTAAGTAAAGTCCATTAACGGGACAACAATCAGGAAAAAAAGGATATCGTATATAATGTATAACCCACATTGTTGTACTGCTTCAAGCGGAACGGATTTGATCACATCCACAATCGATGAGCACACTTGTGAAACAGTGTCCTTGTCGTCGTCCTCATTTAAAGCCCTCAGATAAATATCCATTACGGTGTCTATTTTACCAAAACAGAAGTAAATAAATTCATCAGTATTACTCTTCTAGACAAACGCCGCAAGGTCTAAAAAAATTTAAGAACAATAAAACACTTTTACAGCTTAACCTCAACATGTTTCGTCAATACCTAGCACGTGTTTGGTTTCTGGAGATATGTGCTGCGCGAAAATGATCAACAATTTAACAGTTAGTCAAATGCTGTCCAAGAGTCTTCAGTCAATCAACTCCTGAAGGGCTGCATGCATTGTGCTACTCAGTTAAGGCGACACAGATGCATGATGCCAATCACGAGGAAGGAACATGAGTCATGCACGATCAGACTCTGATTCGAATATGACAAAAGAGTAAACAGTTTTTTACTCAAATGCCCCCTATTATGCCACTTACATATTTTTTTCTGCCTTTGCAGTACATTCAACTAGTCCAAGTACAATGCATGATATAAAACACCAATATTGGAAAATAGACAAATAAACAAAATGCAAACAATATATATGTAACTTTACTCTAAGAAATGAATTGAAGCTTTCACATAATACACCGCTGACAGATAAGGCCTTACATTGTTTTGGGTGGGAAAGGTAGCCTGAGTTGCTGTCAAAAGATCTGCACACATCGGAGACATCTTTGAGTATCATTCTGCAAATAAAGGGACAAAGTAGAGTGTAGTATTATAGCAATACTTCCTCGGCCACCAAGGAATACCCAGGGTAACAGCAAGGACCTGTATTAAGTGTATATTGCATAAGGATGTTTATATTCTTAGCAGAGAAACTTACATGTGTCTTTTCTGCCTGTAATTGAAAGAGGAACGCAGGAGGTGTCATTCAGCACAGAGTAGCTTCCACAATTGAAAGAGACACACTAGAACAACAACAAATAGAGTAGTCTATTCAGCAAAAACTCTGAACCAAAGAGTGCACGGGAGATACACCCGGAAACAACAATTCCCAAGGATAACAACTGCACTCACGTTGGAGAGCGATCATAGCTTGGAGGCGGACATCCTCGTGGAAATATCCCGCATGCTTCTTCAAAACCTTCAGACAATCTTCCATGTAGCTGTGAACTGGCTAAGGAAAGCACATTACATATGCACAGCCCATCTACTTCACCTCAGAAACAGACCTGTACAATAGCAGTTTTAAGTGCAAAGCGTAGAGTCTGTGCCCTCTTAGTGCACTCTACAGCAAATGAGAACGTCAAACCCTATGTCGAAGATATAATGAGTGGTGTATATAAGAATGGACGGCGGACAAAAAACACTCCCACCCAATCATGCAAATAACAAAAAACCGCCTGCGTTAAAAGTGGATACGGCATAAATGCTTTCTTCGTGTGCAGAGCGAAGAGACCAAGAGCCTGGGTTGCAGCTGCTTTCTCATCCAAGACACCAGTTCTCACACTAATATTGCGCACTCGTTTATTATCTGATTCGTCCTCATCGTCTGATGATAAGCCACCTAGACCGTTGGCCATGTCAGCTTCATCACCAGAATCATCGAAGTCCAACGCTGTCCCGTCATCCAAGTTGCAAGACGCCAACGCCAACGGAACTAATCGTGGAAGGTACTAACGATCACATGCAAGAACAAGGAAGTAAGTTGTGTCTTCAATAATGTATTTGAACAATTCCGACCTGGTGACCATAGCTTCCTCTACTTGTTGACTTGTGTCAAGTGTGCAGATTTTGATATCAAGGATTTCCGATAAAATGCCTATTGCCATATCTTTGCCTTGGAAAAGCTAACACCTCTGATACCGCTTTAAGTAAAACATTTCCAAGGTTACGAGCTGTGATAACGCTAGTGAACCCGACTTAGTCCTTTTGCTTCTTCAGGATTACAATATGGGTTGGTCGGCATCTTAAATTACTGATAGCTCAAAGTATGGGTACTCACTGGGACTAAACCTTCTTCGAGAATCTCCGCTACGTTACTAAAAAATCCATGAGAGTACTCTCGCAACTCGCTGAAGTCCAACGCAAACCCCTGCAGAATCATAGCTCATTAGTCCGCTGAGCAAGATGCCCTAATGATCATATCTAGAATCAAAACCTCTTCGACCTCGACGCATTCTCATCTCATTTAACTATTAAAAAATATGAGCAGGTAAAAACCTACGCCAAGCTGAACTAAGTCAGATCCAAGCGGTTACTCTATGCCTCACAAAAGAAGGAGCTCACTGCTGGACAATCACTTCACGAGACGAAGAGTACTGGTGTCATACCGCGATTGCAGCTTCGATGAAATTTGGAAGGACAGGCTCTATGACACCCTTTCCAACTGCCAAGCCCACGATGCCCACTAACTCGGTTGCACGAGCACGAACAGGAAGGTCCTCGTCCTTCGTGCTAATCATGAAATTTTGCAGGATTTGAAGCACCCTCTCCGTGTAAGGTATAAAAGAAGACTCGGCCGCTGCGGCGGCTGAGCCTATCGCAGACTGCAAACCAAGAGCCACACACTTCTTATTAAGGTTGAAAGAATTACAGAGAAGGACCAATATCTGTAAGAGGGTCTAACATCACACGCATCAAATCTATGGATGTGTCTTCAAAAGCAAGATAACCCCGCAAAAGACTTCCCGAAAAGAAGCCTCCAATCATAGGAGCTAACAGTTGTTTACTCAAAACACCCTCAACAGGTGAATTGGTCCTCATGGTCAGTGAAAGGGCTCAGTTCATGGCCAACAAAAGGACCTATTGCTTAATGACACATTTACTCAGCAAAGTCACTCATACCATGCAAGTCTCCTGAAGATCTCGACGATGGGATTGTAGCGCCTCCAACAACCTTTCCATGAGCTGTCCTAGATATGGAAGAATTTCCTCCTTCAAATTTTCACAAAAGGCGGCTAAGGCATAGTATGCCTTCTCCTACAGACGATGAAACTATTTATCAGAAGGGATACAACCCATAATAAGGGGGGCATGCTATCTATGATTTTATCTGGGCCACTGGGAAGGCCCTTATTGGATCAAACTCCACATCACCTGAAAGTTTGGCATGAGAAATTTTACCCACGAGATACCTCTCACACATACATGTCCGAACCACTAAAGAATGGCTGTTTTGACATTTCTCTTGCACTCTCCTACTCGACAATACGATACTTAAGAGAAATTTAGCAGAGCAGTACTCATATTACATTAACGACTGAAGGAAGAAAACAGAAAGTCTGTCTCCTGTTCATTCTATTCCTCATATCTTCATGATTGAAATTAACGACATATGAAAAAAACCATTGCAAATATACAGCAATAGTATGTAAAACTATGCAACATAAAAAAGTTAACAGTGTAACATGCCAACTTACTTGTACTTCAGGTACAGGGTCACTAAGCACAGTAAATATACAGGGAAGAACCCTCTCGTAATGTTCCACAATCTCGGGTTGTAGGTGTTCGGCAAATTGCCCCAGAGCAAAGCTTGCAGCTCCCCTCACTAACTGCTCGCTGTCCTTCAGTGCTTCAAGCACCAAAGTTAAAACTCCGACAAGCTTGCTTTTCATCACCTCATAGCAACCTTCAGAAATGACTCCCAATGACATCACAGCTGCTTCTCGCCAATTCGGATCCGGATTTTGAAAATTATTGACAGCAAATTGGAGAATAGGTGGAAACACGTGCTTCTTCGGGAGACTCATTGCCATAGTATCCAATACTTCGGCAGCCGCTCGATCAGAAGAAACCTCATCCTCACTATGCCTGGCGTCAGGTTCGGCCAGGATGGGACACATCACAGTCAAAATTGGAGTCACTAACTTATGCTTCACCAGTGTCTTGGGTTTATACTTGGCAAGCCACGAAACGATTTGTATGGCCTGCAATCACAAAGTACCGAATTCAAGCATCAGTACTAATATGATACATGGAAGGCAACCACAACGGCAAACCCTGGTCTTGGTTCTTCAGATTCGAAGCTAGGTCAGGATGGCCTGGCATGTTTAGCAACCCATAGTAATTGAGCAAAAGGTAGTTATGAGATACCTGATAACGTGTATTGGATTCCAGAGATTTGTTTGAACAAACTTCCAAAGCGAACTGAACAATCACTGGGATGGTAGGACCAAGAAGAGGTGCAGGCGATTCAACGAGCTCATCAAAAATTTCGAAAGCTAAGATGGCCACATCCTCATCACCACTTTCTAGGCAGGATCGGGAAACATTCAAAATAGGTGCAATAAGCTCCCGAAACATTATCTGCAATTACACATCCTGAACATTAGATTCAATAGAGACAAACACTTCCTCTTCGGGTGGCAGGATTTTGCTAACCTTGATCCTTCACATGGATGAAACGGCATTTCTCTAGTTATGATCAAGTCATTTTTCTCTTTTTCTAGAAAAACATCCTTAAAAACGCCAATTTTTCAACCGAATCTTCGTTTGTCTGCTGACTCAAGAATGGGTGCTCTCAGAATCCTTTCTGCTATTCACTCACATAATCCAACGAGTCAACTTTCAAAGGAACAAAGACCAACAAAACACGATGCGGTAGATTTCCTGACTTACCACTTCCTCTTCTGTCTGGATATAACCTACGAGAGCCCCCACAGCTCTGTTCCACATCGATCGAGAAAAAACGGGAGATTCAGAATCTAGACATCGAAACGAGACTTCCAAAATCTATGACAATTTTTACAGCATTAGAAAATACTTTTAAAAAATTCAGCTCTATAGCCAAGGTACGATTTCCAAGATGCTTTTCACTATAGTATTTGATAGTAGTTAAGCGAACCATAAGTAGGAAGAGTGACGGATGATGCGCGAATGCATACCATGCCCACAATGCCCCCATGACAGAGCTTGCAAAGTTAAGTGGAGTTCCAAATTCACGATGATAATGTCTCTGTCGTCGTGATAGATTATTGCAAATCAATTCCTCGTTATGTTCTTACACCTGCTTGTCCTTACTGAAACAAGGCCCTCGTGTCCAAGCGCAAGGTCTATCAATTTAAATGAAGGAACCCGCATATTTCGGTCAAAGGGCTAAACGAATCCTTACTTCAGTGCGGCCACCCTGACTCTGGTGCTTTGCTGATCATTCAAGCCAGCCACGAACACACTTTGGAGAGTGCTGAAATGTGGTCTAAGCACATCCCCTATGGTCTCTGTCAAAGAGCTGAACAATATCAACGCCACCTGTGTAATTCGGATGGAACAAGATGAGTCATGATCTAGGATCTAAGCACATCCTCTGTGGACAACGTGCGCATTTACTTCACAGCTTCTGAAGATAAAAACGTCTCGTACAATTCCAGTCAATTCAGAAGATGGCACTGCGAATCCTCAAATTTGATAAACAAATATCCACCTCCATAAGTCCTCCACGGAATTTACTGAAGCAAGTGGAGATTTTCTACAGAAGATACTTATGGTTAAAATAGCTAACAAGTATCCCAAACGAGTAAGAAAAATGGAAATTCATAAAAGGTAGAGTTTTGACTGAAATGCCCTCACTTCTCTATGGTCCTCCTGCGCACTTTTGGAGCACTGAAACAAAAAGGGCAAAAGCTCCGGCCACTCTCCAGCTGGGACTGCATGCTTCGCAATCACACTAACCACATTGGCGCTCGCTCGTCGGACTGGTTGACTATGCCAAAGGGAAAAAAGGGCTCAAAATTAAGATCAACTTCTTAAACCCACAGTGATTCAAGCGACCAGAATGGGCAGAATTTTGTCCCTTGCGTTGAAAACAAATCCAATAATTCGAACGGGATTCCACTCCGTCGTGTGCGAGAAGATACAAGTGGAGCTAACGCAGACGCAAGATGAAAATGGCGGCAACATAAGAATGTACACACACATAATGAGAGTAGATCCGCGCTTGAAAATGAGGAAAATCAAGGGTTTAAGCAAGCATACACAGGATCAGCGGTGACGCTTTCAAGCAGAATGGATTTCGCCGAATTTTTGGCTTCGGCGGGGAGTCTCATCCAATGCCCCGTGACCTTCTTCCGCAGAAGAACAGCCGCCAGCTGACGCACATTAGGAGCCTGCGCTGTGCGAATGTGGTGAAGCAGCGCAGGAACAATTTGTGAATCTTTCGACAACTTGCGGATTTGCTCCTCCGCTGCCTTGCGCGCGGCGTTATCGGGCACCAAGAACTGCAGCAGCAGAAATTCCAGCTGATCCATCGCTGCTCCTGCGCAGCAAGATTTGGGGAGCAAATGTACCCCAATTTCCTGCTCTTCCAATCCCCACCACCTCTCCTTTCGCACCCTGCCCCTCCCTTACCCTCTTCTCCCCATCAACTCTCCAAATTGATCCTTCGATTCACCGATTCCTTCGCAATTCGCTCACCAGAGCGCAATGTTCTCTTATGCCCGCCAGAGCATGCACATCCCTCCCTCTCCCTCTCGCTCCCTCTTTCTCTGTCGGGGTCCGAGCTCGACACCGGCTCAATGAATGTCGTCTGAGCCGCTTACCGGTCTGGCCGGTCGCCTCTGCTCTGGCCGCCCGGGTTCCAGGTTCCGCGTTGCCGGGATGGCACAGAACCCCGGCCCGTGAGCGAGCCTGGCTTTGCCCTAAACGAGACTATGGCTGGGCATGTGAGATGCGAGCGATTCTGTCGAGGCATGTTCTTCCCTTCCTTCATTTGACTCCGAGGAATCGACCGCCGAAGGGATTGATTGGCTGCTTGGCTTGTGACAGAGATCTCTCAGATGCGCCTCCCGGTTTACGAATGTTGACTCTGCTGCTGGAATTTTAACTCACCCGACAGAAGGTGGCAGGATGTTCCAGGTCGGTTTTCGTTGATTGCAGACGCATGAAGTTCATGAAGTTCATGAATCACACTATTCATGAACTTCAGTCATGCACGCCTTGCTCAGATAACAACTTCAACATCGCCGTCTGAAAAGGCTATTGAAGAATGTTTCGTCTTCAAGCCTTGATTTTTGTTGAGAAACCTTTCCTCAGTTTGTAGGATTCATTGACACGCATATCGGTGTGCGCATTTGCACTTATGTATCGTTCGTAGTTCTCGTCTCAGGTTTTCAGTTTTTTCAAGTTTTCTCGTTTTCCTAGGAAGGAATGTGAAAGATTATCTGGTTGTACGCGACATGTGGAGAAAGGGCAGTAGGAGGTGACTGGATGCATAGATAAGGAAGATGAAAACATGAAAGTGCATGACGCAGAAATTTTAATTTGTCGTAGTTCATTTCGCCTTCATCGCCACGTCTATCTCCATTTGTTCAACAAGGTGACTAATTTGTAATGTACATATATGACTATCAGTGTTGTAAGAAGTGACTAATCAAGAAGCAGTATCTTCCACATACAATCGGCACTTGAACTAACATGGGCGACATGATCTCTTCTGGTATGAATTTGTAAAAGGCAAGACGAAGTACCTGACATTCTAAACATGATCTTGCTTGAGGGCAACGAATTTGTAGCTGGGAAAATAAAAACAAGGCCCTGCAACTGTAGTGACCAAGTCAATATTCAGTGTTTTCTCGTGAGAAACTCGCGGAATGCGAGCCCATTCCTTAGCCATTTTGGCTCTTTTCCTCTACAATTCAAGTACTGTCTCCGTTATGTGCGTCAAACTTCAGGTCGCAAATATAGGTCATCACCCTTAACCGAAATAGGAGCACAGAGTACAAAATCCTACATAAAGTTTGTGATCTAGAGAGAAATTCTAAAGAGATAAAGAGATTATTTCTCACTCCCAGTCCGAACAAGAGGACTGTCAATCCCCTACAATTCCCGACTTAATTGGGTACGGTTTGTTCCTTCTCCGGATGTTGGCATCGTTGAAACGGTCTTTTTTTGTCCACCAAAAAAAAAATTCGAGGATTTAAGGTTCTGATGGACGTCGAGCGACGTCTTCAAACCAGTTTACAAGATTTTCAGACCAGAATGAAGGGATCGCAGTGAGCACTCGGTGTGCAAAGAATCCACATCCCGGCATATACTCTTCTTGCTGTTTGAGGAACCTTCGTTAGACAGTCAAGCCAAATTTTTGTTTCCAGGTCACAAATTAAATGGGACCCTGCGGGTGGAAGCACATGAGGAGAAAGTAAGCATGAATCACGGCACCGACAGACCGTGACACTCGGAAATGTATAGGGAATCAATTGACCTCGACACCAACCTCGAAACCATAATAATCAGGTTCGGCCAATATGTTCCCCAGTGGTAATCATGATCGTATGAGAAGTGCATATCATGAAACTCCTCTCGCGTAGTTTGGATCAGTTGTTTGTCGAGTACCTTGCGCAATGTCGTTATAGCAAGGACCTTGTGGAAACACTGCATACATAGCTTGTCACTTGCAACGCGTTGACAGAAGCTAACTAAATTTTGAGACATGATAATAATATATATTTGGATTCAGTTCAAAGTTATCAATTTTGAAGTTCAAGTAATTTTCTTCGTCATGTGAATGTTGTTAAGAATTTCACTATTACGAGTACTGAAATTTGAAACACCCTGGTTCCGAAATCCACAGTAGTGGACTGAAACTCGGTGATTATAGATTACCCATTCATGCGTAAATGGACTATTCTGTTGTGAGTCTTGTTACAATTTCCAAAAGAGCTTCGAAATTTGATCACAGTCAATTGAGTAAAAAACACCAAGAATCATGATCTTCGAGATGACGAGTACGTTCTCAAAAATTGGTATAATCTGACTTTAAAGTGTGATACATTTTACAACTTCGGGCAAACATGCCCTACTTGTATTCTTTACCTCGAAGGTAGCAATGTGCTCCGCAAATAAATATAAAAAATCTGCGTTCTACTAACGTGCATTAAGGGGTATTTCAATGCTGCTCTACTTTTACTACTACCTTTGGTACAGTGACTGGTGCACTAGTCCCGCCAGGTACAATAGTGCCACTAACTACAGCTTCCACCCCGTGATTCGTGTCAGCTATTCTGCCCGTGTCCACGGTCAGCTTCTGCAACAACCCAAAGAGCGAGCACAGGCAGTCAACCTCTTATACATGGCTGTGTAATGTATAGCAACTTCATTCTAATTTTCAGTTTCCCGACGAAGATAAGCAAAAATTGACGGTAACAATAGGTCCTTCAAAATGCCACGTGCGAGAGGCAACATTTGCTCGATGGACTTTCGAGCATAACTCTAACGATCAATACTATGATCAGTGACAAATATGACCCTATAGAGAACTGTGACTATAGAGAACCCATGATAAGTGTCCAAACAAAAACAACACTGGCATGCGCAAAAATAAAAAAATAACCTTAAATTGATTAGAACTATGTTGTCGGCTCAATGTGGAACAGAGTCAGACGAAAGACAATAACTTGGGGCATACATTTCATGCCAACGCACAGGAATCAACGGGATGGACTGGAAAAGCAAGTCCAAGATTATTTGATTCCACAGCTAACGAATCACGAATCACCTACTGTACCTAGATATTATATACTCCAATCATTATGATATACCATAATTGTCAATCGAAACTGAAATTTATCGCAATACATACCTTTCCGTCGTCTTTTCTTGCATCTACTAGTTGCTTGGGTTGTGGCTCTCTAGACATCTTCAACCGCTCCAACTCTTGCTGCAGTTTGACCACTCTTTCTTTTTCCTCATTTAGCTGAACATTACACAACCATATGTAAGAGGTTGACTAGGGAAGATATCACTATAAATTATACATAAACAGGTCCAATGACGCACTGAAGTTGACAATTGATAAAGGAAAATATGAGATTGAGAGAGATCCTACCCTCAATTCGAGTTCCTTCGCCTGTTGCTCCAACTTTCTTGTATGGTGCTCGTAATCAGCAACTCTAGAAATGGCGATCAAATCAAGAAGTAATCGTCGTTCAGTAACAGAAAATGTACATCCGAGTGCAGTAATAGAAGAAGATTTGTATCATACTCATAATCAGGATCATCAAATTGGATAATATGCTGAAAATGGTGTAAGAGCTAAGCCGCAACATACTAGTCATATTGCAGGGAATGCTGGAAGCGAATATTCTGACAGATGCATCGTGCTAAATGCACTTATTTAAACTAAGGTGAAGCATCTTTCAACATGTTCAGTGGATGTGAAGAAAGTAGAGAAATTACTTCGCTAACAACTGTGAATTCTCTTCAACAAGATGTAAAAGCACTGATTCATCTGCTTGAGTAGACATATTAGTATCCGCCATTGCTGTCTGCGGTTCCTGATAATACAGAAACGATGTGTGAGATATTTCATTCAATGAGCTGTTGATTCCCACGTGATCGAAAGCCTTGTGATCAAGAGTCCTATAACAAAGTTGACAATCTCATTCATCGCAGTGAGAGTACAGCCAATTAGAAGAATTCCGTGCTGTGCCGCAACTCCATACTCACTACAGGAGTAAATCAGCAGGAACATGTACTGTTGATCGTGACATTTCAAACCAAGTTTCTGTATTCTGTCCATGTGGGCCCGGTACTGAGAGTAGCCAATTGAAACACGTAAAACAACAATAATAGTACGAAAACCTGGGTATCCATCTCGGTGATTATTATGTGTGATTATGCTTTTCTTGGTTCAATACCAAGTAAATGCAACCAAAGTCAAATGCACCGTAAGCTAAGAGCAGAAGAGCTCTGATTTCAATCAGAGTTCTATACAGTGATTTAACAGTAAGAACTCCACAGATATTTTCTGAGAATACCTCAGGAATAGTGGGATGAGAGTTGTTAGCAGCTGTCTCCACGCGTTGACGCTTCAGTCTGTGTAATGCTTCAGACACGCTCGCAGAGCTGGGTCTCTTGGATAAATCAGGAGTGAAGTCCATAGGCTCCGGTTTCACTTGAGGACCTGCAGCAGACTTCAACCATCAGCTTCTGATTGCTGGGAGTAGATGGAGCTGAACTACATGGAACATAGTTTCTACACGAGGGAGGAATAATACCTTCAGGTTTCCACTCGGTATTTGGTACAGAAGATCTCGTAGTGATAGGGACAGATGAGGTTGGTCTGGAGCCTGTTGCAGGAGATGGAAGATCTGCACTATTACTAGGCTCTGGAGGTGTTGCAAGCGGAATAGCAGGTGTAATGCTTGCAATTGGAGCAGGATAATCAATCGGGGGTGGCGCAGCTGCTTGTTTTCGAGCCTTTCCAGCTTTTGTGTTAGGCTGATACCCAATCAGATGACAATGTAGGTTCCTGAGAAAAGACAAAAGGAGAATCTAACTTAATCACTTGTGTTGGTGGGGAGATGAAATTGAAATCTAGCCAATCTGTTGCGCAGACCATTCACTTGAGCACGAAGCATACTTCTCCTAAAAAAAAAAATTGAATGATAATGAATAGCAGAAAACTTGCCATGCTCCATGAAGACAATTTTTCCAGAGTCAAAGAGTAGTACTTAATATTCTTATTGATGTTCCACTCTTCTGTCAGGACTCCACAAATTCACCCGCAGTCATTTACATTCATCTGATAGGTGCAGATTAATCAAATGCCTACCAGTACTCTACTGTCATTTGTTTCAAGCGTGTTTCCAACCGGAGAAGAACAGCTGTGCGCTCAAAGTCTTGTTTATCATGAGCTGGTTCAACAAAGTTTGCTTCCAAAACTCCTGTGTCACCATTACCGGCAAACGAGGAGCACAAAACACAATAAATCATCTGTCACTCGATAAAACACCCCTCAATATCTTGGTCTCTTTGGCAAACAGCTGCTAGTTCTGGAGGACGAAAACAGAAATTGCGTGAAGTTGCAAATGAGCATGTTTGGTACTAGACAATATTTTCAAGCTTCATTGCGAACTGAAGCAAGAGATTATATGGACCACCTCAAGAAATGAACACGACTACGATTCATTTCTTCACCAACATTCGATACAGTCATAACTGGTGCGAGCCTTCTTGTGTGAAATTTTTACAACGGACGATACAAGCAGCACATATTGATCAAGAAACAGTAGGCAAAGATGATAGTATTCGATCAGAAAATTACCTACAACGCCTCTTCCTCGGCTGCTATTATCTTGCCAAACTTTCCAAAATGGCTGCACATAAGGCAAGGTGATCCTTATCAGCTCTAAGAAGAAGATAAGTAAATACACAAGGGAGTCCTAGAACCCCAAAAAAGGTGGGGATACTGCGACCTTCATGAACACATGAAGGATAAGAGCGTTAACTTGCAATCCAAGCTTACAGCATTTAGGTCAATACTCGTCTTATACAACAGGCAAAACTATAGTTCGTCTAATGGGTGGAAACAAGATGCAACGAAACTGATTGTCGTGACATACCATAATGAGGCGGTTTTTATGATAAACATTGAATCCATGAACATTGATGAGCGGAGCCTCCTTCGTGAATCCAATGATTGTGATGACCGAAGTCTGAAAACACATCTATACGTGAGATTAAAGGAGAGGTTTTATAATCCCACGGAAAGAGCTAAAATAAATATTTATCCTCCGATTCTGTAAGTAGAACGTTCGCGGCTTTTTCCATAAACCCCAAATCATGGAACTGATGTCTTACCTCCTTGTTTTGATCTTTATTGTTGCCAATTTGTGGTTTATATATAATTTGCTCCGGAAACTTGAGATCATTTGCTATACTGTGGTGCGCCACTGGTTGGCCTCTGAGAATGATTTGAAAGCCAGGAGGCATTTGCAAGTATAGAATCGAAGCATAAACCTGAAAAATCCAAAAACTTACTTAGGAGCAAACGTAGTCACTATATAAGAGAAGCTAGATCATGCACCTCAACTCGTGGGTACTGATAAAAAGCAGACTACTTACACGAAGCGAATGGTGATAGCGGTTCGCAATATGTTGTTGAGCCAGTTGGGCCTGCACTGGCTTGCCCTTGTCTTGTTTGGCACCACCTCTGAGTTGGATGTCCTGTATGGTCAGGACATATTGCCGGATGCATTAGATATGCAAGCATTCCATACTGTGTTCTCACCAACCTTCCACTCGAAAAATGTGTCAGTTTGTACTAAAAGCTGACCTTGCCTTGTCCAAACAGAACCAAGCATGTTGTTAATTGAAAAATTATTTTCAGGGACTTGAATCAATCTATGCTGAAGCTTGTCAAGTAATTAGACTTCATTCAAAACTTTCTAGGCACTCAAAATTCAGCAAGAGCAGAAACTCATAAGGCCACCTAAACAAAACTTGACAACTTACATGTTCATCTGAATCGAAATCCAGTTCCAAAACACCATCGTCATTGAACCAAAGGTTGTATACGATCACTTTGGTTCCATGCCAACCCAAGTCATTAAACTGTCACAAGTCATATTATCACACATCTGCGTAAGAATCGAACTCCATGTGCTACTGACAACACCAGTTATAGTAAAGTCGAAAGAAGATGCAAGCAGTACTTTGTTATGTACACATACTATGGAAAATTCGCCTCTCCTACAACCTGAACTTTATAATGGCTCGTTCTATTATCTTTCCAAACTTCAAGCAACATACAGGCTGCAGCCGTCAATAGATTTGAGGAAGCCTAGCAATCGTAGTATAATCTGGCAACGAGGAAAGTTCCCGCACTCGTGTATATTTCAGAACATACCCACTTTAAATGGAGAGCCTTTTACAGATGTGAAACGTATAAACGACATGAATGCTTACTTGGGAGAGAATCTCGGCCTCAGTGGAATATGGAGACCATTGTAAAATAGATGTCAAATTGCTGTGCCAATCATCAAGGGTTGTCCGCACCATCTTCCGTAAACCGTCCCCAGCTGGACGTAAAGCACCGTCGCGTTCAGTTAACTCGTAGTCGATCTAAACCACGAAGGATTGGTGCACAGATGCAACAGACGGTAAAAGTAAGACACGAAAAGAATACTCAATAGTAAAACTCTAAAGATCCCAGCCAGTGACTCCAAACATTCTCACTCACTTTACTGATGAATTGACCAATCTAATATAACCCTACGAAGAACATAACAGAAACGTACCATCGGGACGACAACATCCTCGTGTCCAGTCTTTCGTAAAAACGTGTAAGATAATAACCCGATGCTCTGGGTCACAACTCTGAACCAAACAAGCCGATTGTGTCGTTAAGGTTTGAACTCACCAGCGGAATACATGTTGTCCTCAACGAAATCACAACCATCAAACTCTACCTATGTACGTTGTGCTGTCTACTCCAAACATATGAATGTGCGAACGACTGGCTCGAGGAAGTTCTGTTCTTCAAACTACACGCAGATAGGCCTTCCATCACCGAAGATCTACGATCTTCAGGCTATGACAGGCACATCACCGACATAGCACGTGATTAAATCGATTAGCTGGTAACGAGCTCCACATGAGCTCAGACCTTTTAAAGCCGGTGATTAGAAGCAGGAACTCAAAGCCACTTTACTTACGATCCGTTTCTGCAACGACTGAAAACTATAACATCTGCACCCAGACGCATAGTACTTGTCTTGAAACCGTTCCCATCTGCACATTGTTGATTGAATAATGAGAAATACTGTGAAGGAAAACTAAATCGAGAACTCTAGGTAAAATCAAAGCTTGAAGGTATTTCCTGATGATAGTACCATGGATAGATGAGTGAAAAGCAAGATAGAATATTAGAGCGGTTTAGGCAGTTTACATTGACCAATTGTGGTGTTAGTGTTTTTCCTGGAATATCCCAAGCTCATACATTGGCGCATACAATCTGGAGTCATTCCACCTCCATCATCTGCAATAACAGAGTAAATTTCCATCATATGAGTCTTATAAGCGTGGAGCTCCTGATACAGCAAATTAATTTGATATTGATCACACACTAAGTTCAAATGTTTGAACATTACGATTCTTCAAGTGACCAAGAATCATTACATTCCAAGATTCCTCCGATCTTACATTCAAAGATATGGTCCAGGCAAGAAGGAACAAACAAAATACAGATTGGCAAGGATGGGCTATAAGTAATGCACTAGTATAATTTAACCTTGAACAAGCAAGGAAGGACTGTTATCTCGGGGATTGATTATCTTGTCGACACTCACAAAAGTAGCTCCGTTGCCCACCTGCACTTTACCAAGTCCACGCAGTGTCAAAATCGAGCAAAACCGAAATGGAGTCATAAAAAAAATGGATACGAAGCTGTGTAAGAGTTGTGCAAAGCCCAAGTGCCGTTACCTCATCGACTGCATTATCCAGTAGTTCTGCCACGGCTGCCGAGGTGTCAAAAACGACAACGAGCACAAATGTTACTGACCCCTTTTCAGAACATAAAGGTCTTCATTTTCGATCAGATTCTCATATCGCAAAATTGGAAGTGGACACCGACAGATGATACGACAACAAGCTGAGTTCCAGTCAGATATTTACAAAAGTATGAGACCACGTTGTAGTCAGGCCCAAGTGTTGAACGAATGTTTGTTGTATTATTCAGCCAAATGAATTTCGTATATTTACAGGTGAGATGTACAAAAAGAGAATTTCCTTCGCAATTGCACCCAAGTATTTTAAGCAAAAGGACACACATGTGCATGATGTAGTTCTTTGCACGTCAAAAACGATGTTCTGTTCACACATAATCACTCAAAACCTTAAGAAAGATGAAATGCTACAAAGGAAAACGAAAACTTCACCGGTGGTGTCCAGATCGCTGGATAGTAGGGGCAGTCCCATGAGGAGATTGTTTGTTTTCCAACAGATTGACGAGTATATTCACTAAATGCATAAATCATTCGCAACTGTGCGCATTATGGTATGTGAATCAACTGTATGTGCTTAATATAGCCCGAAGACCAGAAGCTCCGCGGCCTTGCTGAGTACTGCTAGTTCAATAATGATGCAGATGTGTATTTGATATGACAACTCTTCACGGAGTGCAGAATGTGGTTGTCAAGCACTGGTCTATACGTGATCGGCAGTTTGTCCATTACACTTTGTATAGAACCATTTCTGAAAAGTTTCTTACGAAATTTGAACTTTGAAATACAGTTTTCCCATTCCCAGATTTTAAATGTTTAAAGGAAACTTTAAAGAATGCCGACGCTTATGCCTTAAACATACCATAGACTGAGAGGATGAACTGAAAGTACTTGAAATACATGAGAACTACGATGTCGCCACTTTGTGCAGGTAAAACATCCTCGGTTCCTAATAAATCTTTTCATTATTTACGAACAAATCAAAAGAGTCAATTTGTGATAATAGGGGCAATCGAATAATAATACTTGTGACATCAAGTATATGATGTATTACCTCCCAATGCCCACTTATGTGAGGTTGCATTAGAGTGCAAAAATTTGGGATGAACACGAACATGATCCATAGCACCTGCCAAGACAAACGCCAACCATTACTTGCCTGGAACTTGAGTGCGGCAGAAAAAACATGTCCATCAAGGTTACATTCACGAGACACGAGAGGAGAGCAGATATCAGCTAACCATTTCCATTCGAAAAAAAAAGTTCATAAAAAATATAAACTTGTCATTTTCATAGAAAAGAGAAGAGAACTTGTAGCAATGTGAGGACAAAAAAATCGTGAAGGCATGCGAAATTACCACAACCAGACTTATCTTTAAAGCGCACGGTTTGTTTCCAGAAACATCGTCTATATGCATACATCACCTACAGATTAATGGAAATCTGCAATTAGACGACCTTCAACTTCTATTGTAAAAGGATCGTCCGTTTACAGATTGGACACAATAGATTCAAAAAAATTAAAAAATAATAAAGAGCAGTAAATTAATAAATAGCATCAAGTTAGATTTACTAAAAATTCTTTTGTAAACAGCGTTGCACAAGGTTTTGCAAATGCACTTTGCACTTGGTATAGCTTACCAAGGTTTTCAGTGAGCTATACCAAGGTTTTCTGGAAATTAAATCTCATTCAAAAATGACAAATTTCTCGCAAAAAATCGTAACTGTATGAGGAAGCTCCACAGACAGCTGCAAAGAAATATTTCGTACATGATTGCATCTATTGGGGCTACAGTATACGGTCGCCGTTGACAGGCATACGAGGTTCTGAGTCTGTTAGAATCACAACATCGTTCCTTGCATCCCCCGTGACAAACGAAGGAGGGTATGGCAAAAATAACTCTACAAGGCAAGAAGACCGTGTATCCAACTTCCTCACCATGTGGAATCCGTAAAGCTGCTTGCGTACGTACGACACAGGCAAAACCGGATCATGAGAGAGTAGCTCGTCGACACCGGTTCATTTTGGCAGTCTACAACCAAAAACGTTGCTGTCTTCTTGGATGAGTAGCTAGTACATGTTTGCCTATTGCATGTGTTAAGCAAGGAATTAGTGCCTTTGATTGCTCATGGACTACAGTCATTGGATTCAGATCCGCATCTAAACTTTCTATCGACTCCGCACTTGTTGCAGGAATGGGGATGCTGGCAATACCTTACGCAGCTCAAAAAGGAGGGTAGACGAGTTTGAGTCTCATCCTCGTCTTCACCTCCATGAGTTGTTACACGTAATAATATCTACCAGGAAAATATAATGCTGTAAACAAGATGGATTTTGCAAGCAGTATGCATCCAGTTCTCAATCTGCACAGAACGGATTGTAAAGTAAAGGTATAAACCTAACACGGGAAGATACATCAATTAATTCAATTAGATATGATGCTCAAGCTAGTGTCAGTTTTGGGGTTTGAACTTAGTCTTACAAACCATCAAAGGATTTCTCACTCCACCAGCAAGGTTATGGTATGGTGTCGGTCTCATTGTGTCAAAAATATATAATCTTGATTCTTTTGGAAAAAGGAAAAAAAAAAACAAACAAAGAGAACCTAAAATTTCAAGTGCAGTACAACACAGGCGCTTCATCTCATCCAAAGCAGGCGAGATAAAATATCTGATTTTGACAGCAAAAGGATTCAAATATAGAAGAGATTATGAAGACTGAAAGTATTTCAAATGGAGAAGACAAACACTTGATAAGGTAATCCCATTCGAGAATCTTAGCAGCAACTAATCTTCAAAAGAAATCGAGGTGATTAACAACTCATAGTCTCGGAAATAAAACTCGAAAGACGAATTTACCTTGAGAAGTTCTGACTCGACTAGGTTGAGCCTCATAATCGCCTGCCCTCCAAAAAAGTCGACAAACTTCAGAATTATCTGAAGGAAGTGGCGGAAGCGAAGGAGAACTGGGACTTTTAACCTTCACCCCCGTCAAAAGACGAACTTTTCGATCAACGTCGTTGCCGTTGTGTATGTGAGAGCCGTCTGTGACACTTCCTCTTTCACGGGGACTAATCTCAACTGGAGTATGTACTTCAGGTTCAGGTGGTAAAGGTTCTCCCCAGTTAGAGAGACGAGGTGAAGCACCATCTTCACCAAATCCAACTTTCCCTCCTCGAACCTTTCGCACTTTTCCTTTGTTAAGTCCAGGAGAAGATACATTCTCTGTGAACAAAACATTTCCAACTTCCACTCCTGGGCTCCCTAAACCTCTTACTCCTTTCTTAGCAGAAACTTGGGCAGGCGCAAGTGGAACAGGCAACGCATCTAAATTGTCTTCTTCGTCGCTGCTTAGATCGATAATGGGAGAGGGCGCAGCCATGGCATCAACCTTAGTCACCTGTTTGGCATCAGAAATATTAATTTGATAAATCTACAAGTTATCAAGTCCATTGTCACAAAGGATATTATTGCGCATGTGAAAATGTACACAAATCTGATATATTTATATCCAATTGGGCATACATAGATAAACTGACAGATCTTCCAGTCAGACACATTGCATCCTTTTATCACATGTTCTAACTGCTACATTCCACTCTTTTATGTGAATTTGTACATGTTTTCCTCCTGATCACATGAGGAAAGTTATGACCAGCACATGATACGGACCAACAAAAATATGGAAACACAGAGTATGTGACCTACACAAATGGTTCCAACTATTTCTGTACTATGAAGTATAAGCTTTGATTGCAAGTCTTGAAGACACAATACGTTGAGGAGTGAACGGGCGAGGATGCAAAGAGTCGCCTTTCATCTCAACTCTTTCAGCGAAAGAGAAAAAAACTTATTTTGTTTCCATCCGATTCTGTAACAGGAGACCATCTAAAACACAGGCCATAAACTACCAGGCTATGAACGTGAAGCCGTCTTTCATATGCAATTCCAGGGATTTGATGTGGATTCTCTTTGATATCATCACATGTCAAGGTGTGAGTTTCTTTCTCCCACCTCTACAACACCGGCACTCGCCATAATAGCATCATCGTTGCGGCTCTTTCGATTATACACCGCGTATATACGAAAGAGCACAGCATAAAGACACAGTAAACAAAAGCAGGAACAAACTCGTGGCAGAAACGCATAATCTTCGCATAACGCATAACGCGAGCATCCGTAATAAAGTCTTCCTTATTTTACTACTCTGGCTCTTAATGGTCTATCAAAAAGTACAACACAAACTGCCCCTTCCTCCGACCACAAAGACTTAACTCTGCAAACGAATGATGTTAGATCGTTCTCGATCAAAAACTCCTTGCTTCAAAAGATTGTTCAAGAACTACATCTACTCCAAGAACATCACTTCCCCAGTAAATTCCTTCAATCTTGAAACCACTTAATCAAGGGTAGCCCAAAAGTAAGAAATCTACACCCAATGCCAATTGTCCGTTCGCTTGATGTAAGTACCAGTCTTGCTTCGTCGTTCCTCAGATCGGGTGTCTCAATGATCAAAAATTGTATCTATACTACGAGTGAGTTGTTTTTTAAATTTTGCAGATCTTGCCTCTATTCATGCACTTGAAGGTTCATTCCGCTGATTGTTCACGGAACAGAGGTTGACACAGAGGGCCCATCGATGAACTACTTGAAAATTACATGTGCTGTGTGTTTCCAACATAAAATTGAAACACACAGCACATGAATTTGCAATGTGCCCACAGGAAGAAAAACTGCTCGCGGCAATTTGTATACAAAAGTTAGAACTAAATATGCCCGACCGCTAGACTTGTCTAGAACATGTGATTGCTTTGAGCAAATGGAAGGTAGATGAATCTCCTGCAGAAGCTTATGACTGACCGCGAAATAAAGAGAAGGGAATACACATTAATCAGCTGCCAATTTTGTTCTGTGCACCTCTGACGCGAAGAAAGAACTTCTGTACTCAAGGCTCATAAAATTCAAACTCAGTCCGCTTCAGAATTTTCTATCCCGCTGAATCTGTCCCCATCCGTTTCTGCGTTCTTCCTTCCTTTCTTGCTTCGATCAGCGAAGGACTGCATAACCCGAGCTTCGGAGACTGACAGATGGAGTAAGCAAAAAGAATTACACTTGAACTAAAACGAGTATACTGTTCAAAACCTAGTCAGCGTAGCATCCCGTGCAGCTTCCCGCCGTCAGACCGAAGCGCGAAAGTTTTCCTAGTCCAAAAGGAATCGCTTCGCAAATCGAAATAACACGACGATAATCAAGAAGTAGAGCCAAACATGCGCCACATCACGCATAATCTGCTCGCTTAGTACCTCCTACAGTACTCTACCGTCTCATTCTACGCCACGAGAAAATAACTCGGCGTGTGACCACCCTGCATTCTGGTCAGAAAGACAGCCAGCGACAGAGACATTCCTATTCATTCCAAAATCTTCCCATCACTCCTGCAACAGCAGATGGAGGACATGGGGGTGCTGGTATGCTCACCTTGGATCAGACAAGAGTTGTTGGAATTCAAACACAAATGGAGGATTGAGAAGCTTCTTCCTTGCCTAATTCATAGCACTCACTCTTCCCCTCCACACCAAATCATACATGGCAAATGAAAAACAAAATCAATATCTGTCACCAAAAAGCACCAGCTTTCTAGGGAAAAGAGAAGCCAAGAAGAAGCTTCATCACACTGTTTCTGAGCACCAAAGATTTCTTCTTGACCAGTCATTTGATTGTCTTACTAGGGTTAGCTGGGCATGACATGGCATGTCATCATCCTCTGGGTCACCATACATCTCCATGCATGGCTGCCTACCCATGACCATTCCCAGCAATGAGGGCAGGGCAGCAGGAGGGAAATTTATGGTTCAGTGTGAATGAGTAGTCACTCAATGAGATTATGGTAGTTGAATCCAAGATGCTGAAATGGCACTGGGGCCACCACCGCGTGTGGGGCCCGCCTCCGACCCATGTGACGCCCCCTTACGTGTACACGTCTCCCGCGATATGATGTCGGTATTGTACCGCTTCTCTCTCACCAACGACGACCTGCAGATCGGCCAACCGCGCCTCGACCGCGTCGGACTTTCCTCCGTCCGTAGTTTCCCATTCACCGAACGCACTTCTGTCGACGTGAAGCTCCACTACGAACGGGCAGAGCAGGGTTGCAGAACGTAGTCGAGAGGGAATGAGCAGGTCTGTGGTTTCCCCTTCACCGAACGTAGTTCTCCTCGCGAGCGGTTCTGTCGACGTGAAGCTCCACCGCGTACAGGGCAGAGCAGGGTTGCAGAACGCAATCGTGAGCCGATGAGCACGTATGTGGTTTCTGCTTCATAGAACGCAGTTTTCCTCGTGTGAAGCTCTACCGCGTACAGGGCAGAGCAGGGCTGTAGAACGCAGTCGAGAGACGATGATCACTCGGTTCTGACACGCAACCCTCTGGCTCGCTCGCAAGGAGACGAAGAAGGGCGGGACGGTTCCGCTCTACACTGTTACCGTAATAAATCCCCAGTTGATGTTTGAATCAGATTATGGTCTCCAGCGTCTGCCCCTCGACTCCAGTCCGTGGGTTGATCGATGGCACCACGGCGTCAGCTTCTTCTCATGGAGAGATGGCTGGCCTGGCTCGATAACCGGAGTTCATCTATACAGTTCGAAGTTCTGCAGAAGAGGTATGGGTTCGAGATTTGTGTCCTGCGGCTCATGTGTTTTGTGTCCTTCGACCGCAGCAATGTCCTGTAGCAATATCTACTGTCAGCCACAGAGCCCTTCATTATTACTCCATGCATGCATTGAGATCCCCAACCGATCTCAGAACCTAGCATACAGTTCTCTAGAGGAGTTGACTGCGACTTTCTAGAGGCGACTGATCCCCTAGGACGAAAAGAGTCTTCTCGGATTCCTCGAGTTGTACATTCTCATACAACCTCTCTTGAAAACAATTATATATGTAGAACTCACAGTGTTCACCCATTTCCATTCTCGTTCTTTTTCAATCCAACTATTGCCTGGTTCTTGGTATGTTACAAAACTTGTGAATATATAGCGTGGCACATGGCTCTCCTACGATGATATTGTTAATCTCCATGCCAGCTGTTCTCTCTATTTAGCAGTGGAATAGTAATCATGATGAGTACAAGCTAGTTTCTACCTTTTGACACAGGTAATTATTAGTAATGTACTTTAGGGTTAGGGTTTGAATATTCCATCAGCCCCAATTATGGATCTCATCATTAGGTTTTTGACTCAAAACCTCACAATCTAGTTTGAGCCATGAGTTTAATATATACTGCTACTTTGATTGTAAAAAACACATGTCATAATACATACCTAGAAGTTTGTTGTTTTCTCATGCAAAGATCAAAAGTATGCGTGATGGGGTGAAGTTAGCACTTTTACTGGATTTGTTAGTCTAGAATATAAACAACTCGACTAGTGTACTACAATCATGATTCGACTGATTGTAATCCACAAGATACGAATCAATCAAGTCATCACAACAAGGTATAATTGGATGATAGTGGAAATATATCATAAATGTATTTTCTACACAATGTTACATCTTTTTTAGAAATATGATGTTACTCGAGGTATGAAACATGCAATCAATGACTTTTAACACCTTCATGTTTGTAATAGCATTGTAGAGCTCATGGTTTTCTGATCTGGAATCAACCTTTACTCATGCTTTGATTTGTATGTTCATAACTTTTGGAAAAGCACATTGATCACTTGTTAATGTGTTGATATAATTTTGTATATGATATAATAGTAACATTTGAGAAAATAAGTACTTGCAATATTAAATTTAAGAAATATGATTGTGTAATCTTTATCTCAAATAATAGAAAATGAAAATTCCATCAGATTGTATCTACGATTCCTAATATTTGTAACAGAAGTAAAATTGTAAACATTATGTATATATATATATATATAATAGAATAATTATTGTTTAACAAAAAACTCACATATATGTACATAGCAATCAAAATCACAAACTGTATTCCTCAAAAATATGATGTAGAAAGCGTATGTTTTGCAAGCATAAAGCTCTCGGTTCAAATCCTATCCTCTCAATCATCTACTAGAAATAGAGTAGAAAAATGCTTGTAAGAATGCAACTTTATAAAAATTGCGGGAGATTGTTTGCAGTTGTTTTTTAACATTTATATGTTCTTATATCATAATTTGCATGTTTGTAATCTCATTCGTTGTATTGACACACATCAAATATATTTTATGGATATATGATTAAACAAGTTAGAGAGATTTGGATTTAGTCATATGTCATACAGGAAAATCTGATTAAAAAATGAAAATTGTAACTATAGATGTTAGTAAAACATCAAATCTTTGGAAATGACTATTCAATCCACTGAATCTCATAACTGGATTGGATTCTGATGGTTATATTGAAACATTCCTTACACATACTCCATAATAGAAATGTTTAGCAAAAAAAGTGAAATAAATTAGCAAATTAATAAAATTGTATATTTATGCGAGCAAGATAAAGTTATATCCAAACAAATATAGTCTGAATATTAGAAAATATATATAAAAAATCATCTTTTATCATGGGAAAACCATTTGATTCACAATTATTTAATTTGTACAATTTTCAAACAAAAAAAAGACCTTTCAGCATTGCAACAAATATTTATTTAAACTTATCTTTTCATCTTCCTATTATTCTTCACAAAGATTCTATGTGTTTGATATGTCAATTGCTTCAGCTTTGATTATGTAAATTTGATTTGAAATTTTTGATCATAATAAAATGAATTAATCAGCATATTTCTCCTTCTCGTGTATCACTTTCATTGCATATTGACAATGTGATTTTAAAAGAATTCATGAGTGAATGTTTCAAAGTAAATAAATTGTTTACATGTTTGAAAATTGTTTAAAGATGGTGTATATCATAATTAAAAAATAAATATTCTTATAAATGTTCATCACTATTAAGCACATAAATATATATCAACATCTGCATTTTCTACCTCTACTTAACTTCTGTTCATTTTATCACGGTATTATAAAATGATATAGCAGTTTTCTTTACAAAAAATCACAAAAAATAGTTATTACAACATAAACAACACTCAATATTCATTTACTTTGCGTTAATAATAAATTTTTGTATATTTTTTAAATAAAATATTTTATACCATAAAATACAAATTTTTAACATTAAAGTACATGTGTGTTTTTTTAACTCCATTACATTTCAAAAGTATTATTATATCAAAAGTATTATTATTATTATCACATGGCAACAAATGACAATCAGCTTGCAAAAAAAATCATTTCGTAATATATATTTATTTTCAGTTCTAATGATCATCAACTTCATAAATAGAACTTAAATATGCATGATGCATTATTTTGCAAAAGTTAAACAAATTTATATCAAATTAAATGTGTGTGTTAGGATTATACGCTCAAATATTATAAATAATTTTGATCTTTATACAATTGTTGAGAAAAAATATAATATGTATTTCAAAAATTGAATAATATACTGCTTTATTTGTCTAAAATAAGCAAATATATATGTTTTATTTTGTTTTATGACAAGCATCACATTTTTTGACGTAATTGTGAGAATCCGTGAACAAGGTAGCCCAAAAGTAACTTGATCGAAGAATCTTCTAACATGTGAGTTTGTCCAAAACATGTCCTCCACATGCACTATTATGACAAGCTTCTAGGATTGATGGAACTTTGATCTCATACACACATCTCCTCTCTATCTGCACCTCTCCTGAACAGCCTGTGACCTATCACTGTAAAATGTCAAGTGTTGACTCTCACTTTTCTCCTATCTTCCTTTGTCTAGTCGTTTGATAATTTTTGAGTGGTCAAAAATTCTACAATGCTTGCATACCACTCGGGTTGTGCCGTAATCACAAAGAGACTTTTGTCTATCAACCTGTCATCTAACAGACTAATTTTTATCTCTTATGAAAGTCTCGACAAATGATCAGCTTTTAAATGCATTCGACCAGGTTTGTACTCTACTGTGTAGTCAAGCTCTTATAACAACAAGATCCATCTACCTAACCTTCCACTCAATTCAGTCTTGTTTACCAAATACTTAATAGCCATGTGATGGACAAAAAACACCACCAGGTTGCACATGAGGTAATGTCAAATTTTTTTTACTAATAACACCATTGCCAGACATTCTCTCAGTGGTAGAATAATTTTTCTCCACCGTTGTTAATTGCTTGCTAGCATAAACAATGAGTTGATCCTTGCACTTCTCTCCTGTTGATTGACATAATACACTACCAACTACTACATTGATAGCATCACAAAAAACGTGAAAAAGGTTTGTTCCAATCGGATGGCCTCAACATTGGATAGGTACTCAACTTAGACTTTATCTCCTCAAATGCTCTTATGCAAGACTGTGTTCATTCAAACTTACAATCCTTTTTTCAACAATTGAGTGATGAGAATCATCATTGTAGCAAAATTTGGAATTTATTCCCGGTGCCATCCCACGTGACCTAACAACTTTGCTATTTCCTTAGCATTGGTTGGAGTTGCCAGCTGATCTATGATTGCAATTTTTCCGAATCTGGTCCACGTTGCTTCTTGCTGACCACGTATCCAAGTAGAACTGCCCTCTCAACACCCAAGAAGATTTTTTTGGGATTCAAAGCTAACTGCATTTTACGACATCTCATCAAAGCCTCCCTCACACATTGTAGACGATGAGTTATGCTAGATTGCGTGATAAAGTCGTCAATGAAGACTGTTATTGATTTGAACAAAAGGTCGGAGAAGATATACGTAACTAATCTCTGGAAAGTGGCCAGAGCATTGCACAATCCAACCGGCATTGCCATCCACACGAAGGTTGCTCATGGAGTCGTGAAAGTTGTCTTCTGCACATCTTGCAATGCTGTAGAGATTTGATTGTAATCCGAATATCCATCCATGAAGCTGTATCTAGCATGTCCATCCACTTTCTCTAAAACTAGCATAATAAAAGTCAAGGACAAATTATCCTTTTGTGTGCAAGCATTAGTTTCCTATAATCCACACATAGCTCAACTTGTCATTTTTTTTCTTCACCAAAACCATAGGGGAAACCCAATCTATATTTTCTATTGGTTTGATAAATCCTGCTTGCAACAATCTTTCTAACTCTGCTCTAATCAATAGCTGCAATTGTGGATTCAATAGTGGGTTTTTCCTTCTATCTAACTGGTTGAGCATCTGTAATTATAGAAATACGATGCTCAACCATCTTGCGAGAAATTCCTTTGAGTTCATCATATGACTGAGAAAATGTGTCACTAAACTCCTACACGAGTTTGCAATACTGTGTGATCTCGTCATTCTCCAGTTGATACTCTATTTTTATCTTCCTAACGCTTCCATTGCGCATTGTCACCTCCACATATTTCTAAAACTTTGTTCTTCGGTATTTTGATACCAATCCAAAGGTATCTTCAGATACTCCTTAATATCCTGACCTGCTATAATCCCTGTAGATATGGTTTTGAAATGTAACGGATTCTCCAATTTTGAGGCTTCAAGCTTGACATCATCTCTTGAGTTCCATCCATGTGCACTACTGCCATCTCATGTTTCTTTAGGTCATCTATCCACGGAGTCAATCCTTTCTGAACTCATTCTTCTTTCGTGAGCATCTCACATGGCTCTAACAGTGATCATACCTTTTTTGGTAAATTATCACTTTAATACTTTCTATATTCGCAATGTGAAATCATCATAATATCACATCCTGAATCAAGATATTCCTTCCACCACCTATTGTACTCGTCATCACTGTCATAGTTGTAAAACCTATGACCTAGATTTGCTCAACCCCAAAGTTACTGTAATCTTCTTGCGACCTGAATTGACAACTCCCACCAGGTGTCATTTATCTCTACCTTTTCATTCTTTTCTACTTGTTCATTTGAAAAAGTAGTGATTTTTCCCCTTGTCAAGCTGCCTATTTGAACCTTGGCACCATCTTCCCTTGGCTCATATGTAATAGAAGGTTTAGCTACTCCTCAATGCACTATGGCATGTGCCATTCTCAACCAAGGCCTACCCAATAATATTGAAAAAGGATACTTGGTTTAATGCATCTTGATAACATGAAAAGTGACTATATACTCTTCCCCTCCGGTACTGATTCTACACTCCTTAATCATTCCAAGAGGTATCGCATAACCTTGATTGGCCATGTTGATAATAAAAGGTGATGGTTCTATCAAACTAAGGCTAAACTTCGTCATTGTATGTTCCGGCAAGATATTCAACCCACTTCCTCCGTCAACCAGCACATTGGGCACTACCTTATCAATTGTAATTGCATCTATCTCTACTGCCTCCACATCTCAATTTTTCCACTGCCATTGCGCTCTTGCTGCCACCATAGTCTTCATCTTCCTTGTTCTTTGTGTTTATGACAAACATTTCTTTAGTTTCTTACAAGCCATTGGTGAAATCTCTAGTAATTGGCCAAAGATGATGTCGGCTTTGAGGGTACTAAGATTGGCCCATAAATCATATCATGCTTAACTTCTTCATCTCTCTGGCTCTAATTATTTCAAATTCTTTAACAAGTGTATCAGGTTCTTCACACTCACTTCCTTCACTAGTTTCTAAAGCACAATTCAAACTTGAATTCACTTCGTCTGGCAACACCTCATTGTTGTGCTTTAGAGCCGTAGCATACTTTCTAGCTGTCATTGCTACTCTTTTTAAGTCCGAGAGATGAGGAGCATCATCTGAGTAGTATTCATCCTCTTTCTTTATTTCTTCAATGGCTTAAAGCTTGTTTCGCATCCACCTTGTGGTGACTGAAAGTGCTGGAGCTTTGTGCTTGGTATTTTCCTAAAAATCTCTTAACTCAAAAGTTATAACATAAGCATACGAAGGTCAATTGTTGTGTTCATCTTCATGTGTCTATTGAGGAGGAGCAGACTCGTTAGGATCTGGATGTGTGGTCACATCCATATATCTAACATCCTAAGAAGTTGACGGACCTTGATTGGTTGATGGACCTTGACACTATTTTTGTGAGACGGTGAAGTTCTATCTTGTATCAAAATGTAATCATTAGCCGTCTGTAAACCTACCGGCGAGTGGTCAATTTGTCGTGTGTTTCCATAATCATAACAGAGGTTTGAGGGCCTAAGTTCGTTACGAGGTGGTTCTTGTAGTCTAACACCTTTCAAATTGTCTTTGGCTTGCTGATGAGGATTGGTCACAAGATGGAGTAATGTGATGAACTTGTCTGGTTAATGACATTTGTCAAAAGAGTGATTTTCTCCACATGCGCTACAGTTATAACCCTATACTTCCGACCAACATTATCTAGGGAAATGCCACCTTCCACAAAAAGAATGAAATTACTTTCTAGCGCCATTATGCCGTCCTTGAGCTCTTGGAGTCCTCCTAAAGTTACCTTGGCCATAAAAATGTTTTCTTTGACCTCCATGAGTAAGTGGAGATGATACTCCTGCCACCCTCTCATCACGATGTCTTGTCATGCCTGTCCCATCACACAAAACTGTTTTATATGTCCTTGTTGCTTGCATTGAACGCTCCACAATCCGGATGCGTGTCTTCCTGATTCTACAGGAGGTGGGGTCTTAGTTGCTGACTCCTAATCATGACCTACATCTGATTGGTCAAACTTTGAATTTGTTTCATCATGGCTTACTAAAATCCTATTAGGCTGGCACCTATTCTTCTCTCTACGTTTTCAAGTTGAGAGTACTAATGAGAAGCTGCAACTGCTAGCAAGGGCACATGTTCTCTAATTGCTAAAGTAATGGGACTCATATCAGTGGGTGGTTGTGAGATCTGATTGCCATTCTTTCCAACTTTCTTTATAATACTTTGGGACTAATGAGAATAAATTGAGCGATTGACTCATCTTCCTTCCGCCATAATTTTTCATAATTCCTGTCAATATGCTCTATTTTTCTAGCAGCTATCTTAGCATATATTAAAGTTCAAGGCTTCTTCTCTAACACTCCTCGTATTATACCCGCTTTGAAAAATCCTTGAATGAAAAATTGTTTTAGTGTGTTGTTGTTAAGCATTATGACAACTAAACGAGTACACACTAAATCAAATCTTTGAATGTAAGCAGAGATATATTCATCTCTTCTTTGCTTCAAGGAAGCTAATGCTCTCAGGGTTGTGTTTTGTCCTCCCTCAGGTCTGAATTCATTCAGAAACTCTCTTTGCAATCGTTCCCAATTCACAAAATGTCTTTTCAAATGATCCCTATATCACTCATAGGATTTGACTTCTAAAGTGAAGGGAAATCACACCAAGCAATATCTAAGGTCAATGATGAGTGAGCTAGCTAATCTTTTAACGTATTTCTTCATATGTCTTGATGTATCTTCATCCTTAGACCCCCCTGAACTTAAGAAGGTTAGAAGGCATATTTAATGGTGCCAAATTCTGAGTAACAATGATTGGAAGATCCCTTGGCCTCATCAATGGATCAATTGGTGAAATGGGGGTAGGAATCTCTCTCTCCATCCCGGGTCATGATGGTTGAAACGTCTAACTTTATTTCTTTATCAACTTCTACAAATATCATTCTCTAGCTTTATTAGTGTCACATGATGTGTGCTTGGGAAGAATTACTTCTTCCTCATGTATAATCTTAATTTTTGATTTTTCTAAGAAGATATTATCATAAGGCTCTATGTCCAGGCAAATTTCTATGTTTATTTCAAGTTCTTCCTCATTTTCACTAATGCTTGCTAACCTTTTTCTACGTGAAATCTTCTATAGTCCACATGCTAGATTTGGCTTATGGGAGCAAGTACTACCTTGACATTACTAAAAAATCTTTCACCCTGTAACACTAGGGTTTAGAGAGAAGTTCACTCGAAGATAGAAACGTAAACTCTTAAGATGAGAGATACCAACAATGGTTCTCCTCTCCCTTATATAGCTCTCACCAACAAGTACAAGGTGATAAGATCTAATCCCCACCATCCATACCACTCCTAGTGGATGGATGACGTGGCGGATAACCCTAACAAGCACACGGATCGTTGACGTGGCGCACCCAACTAACACACTAACTAACACACTCAATCCTTACATACAAGCACACGGATTGCTGACGTGGCACTGTCAACTAACACATCCACTCTGTACCTACCAACTGCGCGGATCGCTGATGTGGCAGCTATGACTAGTGCACACTAAAGTATCTACATCCATATTCAGAGTAACCTCTACTTTAGTTCTAACTAACTAAAGATGGTTACAAATCTTTCACCCTTGCTAACCACGCATAACACTCACTACTTGTATCTATCTAGATTTGATAAAAATCTGAAAAAATTGTGTCTACAACTTGCAAGCCACAATCTCTTCACACAAAAAACACATACAAACAATTTTTCAATCCATCAAAAGTAAACAGAAAAATAAGTGAGTTATTCACTTATTATTCTAATTAATTCACTTATTTTTTTGTTATAAGTGAGTTACTCACCTTGCACCGCCCTATCCATTTTTTGCCTCCAACTTTTGAACTGTTGCCAGCTTCACTCTTGGCAGACGCACCATTTTATATGAACTTTAAACTTCCACCCTTAGCGTTTTAGTCAAGGTGAGATCCAAGCAAACATATCTAATAACTACCATTTCTAAACTTCCACACCAGCTACAGAATGCACTTCTTCAATGCAGATAACTGCATTGACACTAACACTATTACGAAGATCTAACACCCCAACCGAGCTTGTAAACCAATCCCCATGGCCACTACCCATCAGCTCCTCAGATCCTCGCTCTTCTCTTCCCCAACTCCACAGAACACCAACGAAAGGCAAGGTAGAAAGTGTCACTTATCCAAAACACCACGCACACTCATCGACTCTTGTACGATCTCGTCCCTCGCATTCCGTTCCCAACACGAGGCCGCTCTCGTACTCGATTGCAGCAGAATGCTTCCACGTCCCGCCCCGCTCGCTTCACAAAATCCGATCTCCTCATGTCCCGTACTCGTGCACTTAGTTCCTGATTCTTGATGCAGACTCAAGATGTCGTTTACATAATAATATTAAACTACATAACGTTACTAACATCTTACTATCCCTGTTCTATTAATTTTTTATTTTTTTTTCTTTCTTTGAGTGATGTAATACATAACTAGTGCTAAATAACTAAATGAGACCATAATTGAGATCACACCACAAAGCAGACATACATTGTAACTTTTCATTTTGATAAATCAAAAGCATAGATTGTATCTTCCACTCTTGCTTTTATAAATGTGTGAATTGATGGTATATTGTCACAACTCTTATGCTTTTGTAATTTACATGGTGAAGCAGTGTAACCACACTAAAAATTATAGAAATGACTAAGGTTAAAAATACATTGTCCTACTCTTTACGAAAGCTGTCCCATTCACACTGGCCGTATACAAAAGCAGGATCATTGATCAGTTGATCGCTACAAGGAGAACGACTTGAACAGGATTAGAGAATATGGATATGGCAAGTCATGTCATCTTGTGGGGGACACATGATGGTCAACAATATAATCCGCCGGACAATAGCATTTAGACTTCCGATACACGTGTAAGTTGTAAGGCGCGACGTGTGGACTACAGAATTCGAAGCAGAGCAAGTCGAGGAAGAAAGCGAGCGTCGTCGTGTCGCCCATTCGCACTCACTGGTGACTGGGCATCCAATTCTTCAGACCTTCAAAACTTCAAACTCAAGGATCGGACGAATTGTCGTCAGAAAACAAAGTCTAAGGAAGACAGAGAATAGGGTGCAGGTTTCTGAATCATGTGGAGGGAGAAGATAATTTCGCTTTTGATCCTGTTCGTCGTTGTGGGTTTCCAGTCCATCCCTGCTGCATCAGGCTCGCCGGTGGGATTTGATGTTAGACAGCATTTGTCAACTGTAACCAGGTCAGTGTGGATCGATCGTTGAGAAATTCTGTGTATCTGGCAGAGATCGATGTCATTTGATTTAGTGCTAATTTGCTAGGTTTTGGATCGTGAGTGAAATTAGCTAAAAGCTGAATTATTGCATACTCATTATTCCGTAGGTACGAAGTTGGTAAACACTATCGTGGAGGAAGCGATGAAGCTGTTCCTCCAGTGCCTTCAGGATGCGTCCCCATTCATCTTAACCTCGTGGTACGTGGTGAATCCTCATTCATGTTGGTATCATTCACGAGTAGGTAATCGTGAATGGAAGGACAAAGTTACAAGCATACGCGCAGCAGCATTCATGATCAGATTTTCGGTTCATGTGTTACTTGAGACGAGCATTTGATGTCCATGTCGGATTCTTTATGAAAGCTGTGCTTTGCAAAGAGCTGAATGCTATATACGGCTCGTTATTAGATGCTGCAATGAGTGAAATTTTGAATGGTCCTCGAAGCTATGAATGAATATGTGAAAGAATTGGAAACGTATTGTCTCTCAAGTGCAAAACAATATTATCTCAAATTTATAAGCTTAGATGTAGCAGACTGTACACTCTACGCTACCTAGGATTAGAAACATAGATTTTTAGCAGATACTGTGGCGATTTTTAACATCCTTTAGTAAGCCAGCTGAAGCTTTCTGTTTCAGAACTGCTATATATACGTGCAAGGCAGTCATTTCATATTGTATTTCTCTTTATTATTTTTCAACTCCTTTGTTGGCCTTTGGCAGCACTGAATGTGTCAAAATTAATCCACAGTCAAATCTTGCCATTCCGTCGTACTTTCGTATCCACACCAGTGGTAGCCACTTGATACACGCTCCGTTTACACTTTGACTACAGCCTTACAAAGTCTGTTAAGTATACATAAAATCCCAGCTTTCTCATGACTTCTCCGGTGACTTCATGCTGCCTGCTAACTCTCATCTTCCAGAAGCATAGTCTTTTCCTTTTGAATTTCGTCTGTCTTGGGTTGAATTATGCACCTGTTCGGCGTTTTCTCTCAAAGACAGACATCGGCATAAGTCTTTTCTTAGAGGCTTCATGCAAGTAGGTTGAATATATTTTGTGGAACTATTTTGCTACTCAACTGCAACTTGAAAGTTAGTCTTTGGCACACTTTTTAGATTCTGTCGAATCCCCGCGTTCGTCTTGAGTACTTGTTCTTGTTCTATACATAAATAGTTGTACTTCGTTTGGTTATCTCTAAAATTCTTCGTGAGGAATTTACTACCAATGCAACTAGTCGCGTATTCCAGGTATACAGTAAACATGAAAGCTGAAAGATAAACGTTTTGTCATATTTGGCACCTACGCTTTGTTCAATGTGTATCAAAGGTTTACACCTTAATTTTCTTTCATTTTTGTAAACTGCTATTTTCAGGCTCGCCATGGGACTCGGGCACCTACTAAGAAACGCATCAAACAGCTGGATGAGCTGATAGCAAAAGTCTCCAAGCTTGATCGTAAAGACGGCTCTAAGGTCCCTGCTTGGTTAAAAGATTTTCACTCTCCCTGGGAGGGACGCACTTATGGAGGAGAACTTCTACCAGAAGGTGAACAAGAGTTGTATGAGTTGGGACAGAGACTTAGGGAGAGGTATCCAACTCTTTTCCAATATGACTACCACCCAGATGTATATCCAATCACTGCAACTCAGGTTCGTGATCAGTCTTCGATGATAATCTGCTTTTTCTTCTGCATTTTCATTAGATCTTTGGACGTATCAATTGTTCAAGTTACTGCCCTATTATTTCTATCGTTGCTGCTATGGTCTGATCGTGATTTTTCAAATGAGTTCTCTGTATCTTCTGAAGACATACAATTTGCATTGTCATGCAGTTTAGTCTCGAAGCTTTGCAGGATCATATGATTTCGGACATTATTGCCTGTTTCCAACTCAACTATGACTGGTGTAGAACAAACAGATTTGTCAAGCATATACGGAACATAATCTCAGTGATAAGCCCAATTGGCTCTTGACTTCTCCTTTAATCATCGACAGGTTGCTAGATCAGCAGCTAGTGCTGTTGCTTTTGGAATGGGTTTATTCGAAGGGAAAGGGCGTCTAGGAGGAAGCAACCATAGAGCTTTTTCTGTTATTACGGACAGTCGAGATCGGGACATTCACCTTCGTTTTCACGAATCCTGTATGGCTTACAAGGTAACTTTCTTTCGCTCTTCTTCCTCAAATTTGCTTTTCATGCTACCAACTCGCACATTCACAAGTGCACCTAAGCAGTTAAAATGCTTTGCTAATTTGGTTCATTGTATTGCCTACATAAATTTTACATATATTGGAGGTGTGGAAAACTTTTTAATTGTTCATTTTACAATTTCAGTCACTTACAACTATAGTTGGACTCTACCAGGAATCTAAAAAACTCCGAAAACCAGCTGTTCAAGTTTTTCAAGATGATGTTTACCGCCAGGTGGCAGCTGCAGTCGGTCCAAGATATGAACTGGATTTAACACATGAAGATGTCGAAGGTTTCTGGCTTCTTTGCAAAGAGGTGATATTCTTTTGACTATGTTTCTTATACATGATAACAGTTCTAGTCATGAAGGAGTTGTTGAGTTTAGTATTTTTTGTAGCTGATGGTTAGGCGAACCCAACATGACCTTAAAATGCGATGGATGGAAACAATCGATGATGATTGTCTTCCTCTGCCAGGATTAGGTTGCAAGCAGGTGTGCTATCTTGGATTCTGGATCATTAGTATTCAGTTGAATTCGATCCTGTTTTGCTTATAGCACATATCATAAACACAACAGGACCTGCTGCCCTTTTCAAACTGCATTCCTCACTAATCAGATGTGATGCAAGTTTGCTACCCAGCGAAATTGACGAAGAGGTGACGGCAGTTTGATTTGTTGACAGTATTTATTGCTTTCTTCAACTGATTGTTCTTTATGTCCATTTATATATTGGAGGTGATAATAGTGTACATAGCAGTAAAGTATTAGGAATGAATGTAATTTAGGTTGGGTTTGTTGTTTTCAGTGAAGCTTCCCACTTTTTATATAGGAGAAGTTAGGAAGAAGGAAAACAAGACAAGATATAGATATGGAAAGGAAAAAGCTTTGAAGTCATAAGCTTCGTATCCAGTAGATCGGCCCGACCTTATTTTTTCTGTGATGATTGGGCCGATCAAATGGATACAATCCTAACGACTTCATAGCTTTTTGATATGGTTTAATTGCTACTCTGATATCACTTGCATAATTTCATAGTTTTAGTTATTAAAGATCACCTTTCCAGTCCTTCAATTGTTCTTTCTTCTTTATACAATACCAAAGAATCTAGATGAAATGCAATTAAGAAACAGCTCGACTTCATCAGAGTTTTTTTTTTTTTGGGTGATCTTTGGTGGCGATTGTTTCTCGCTTCTATTCTCTTCTGATTCCTTATATTTGGTTCATATTATTTCTTTCGATGTTATGTATTTAGTAGACGGGTTAACCATATTTATATCGCGATTATTAGACCCTCCAACCCTGATGACTCCTGTAACAGAGAGAAATTGTCTTTCTAGGGGCAAATAAGCACATGAAGACGAGAGTCTAAGACTGCCTCTTGGGATCAAATCTAGGACCTAAATGATACCGATTATAGGGTTTATGTTGTTGATGATCTTCTGAAGAATCTGGCAAAGTTTATCACCAGGATGATCTGAGCAGGATGAGTAATCTCCAATGTGAATGCTTTTCTGTTGTTTGTGAACAGGAAGCTTCACTGCTCAACATTACCGACCGTGCGTGTGGACTATTTAACGCTGCGGAGGTATATAACCCTGAGAGGATGATTGGTTTCATTTTTTGTGAAATTCTAGTGCACCACAAAGTTGTAAGAATTTGGTAGACAAAATAGTACACGAAGCAGGCGGTTTAGTTTATGTTGCCTTCAAGATTTATGTACGTATGATGTTAATGGTGTTTTCTATACTTTGTACACAGCTGATGTTGTAGTGCTTTTGACAGGTTGAGCTTCTTGAGTGGGCTGACGACGTACAAGCACATCACTTGAAGGGATATGGAGAAGCTATTAATTATCAAATGGGTGTACCCCTTCTCGAAGATGTAGTTTCTTCTATGGATCAGTCAATCGCTGCCGATAAAGGTTCTATCTTTCGTGCTCATGATTGTCAACATAATCCTTGCTATGTCTATTATCATTTGTCCATCTCATTTCAAAGAATGTAATCTGCAAGAGTTTATTACATGTCATTCGAGGAAGAAAGTGAACAGAAAGTTTTGGTGTTGGCATTGTTTTCGACCATGGCAGGTACTCAAAAGAACGGGGCCGTGGAATCAGCCAGACTACGCGTGGCACACGCAGAAACAGTCATACCTTTCACCTGCTTGCTAGGTTTGTTCATGGAAGGAGGAGGTAAGTGATATGGGTTTGGATTCACATTGTTTGTAAATCAAAAATTTTGGATTGGGCAAGTTGAAGATGTTTTCTTACTCATCATGATCATCTTCTACAGATGTTGAAGAAGACGGAATAAGAATCTGATGCGTTATTCATGTATATGTGAAATATGAATCAGATGAAAAATCAGCAAAATGTTGATGTCACTTGGATGATGGTATCGGGCGATACTGTATTTCTTTAACTATTTCTTTTTGAATATGTCAGATGTGAAGAGTTTACAGAGTGAAAAGTCCATGAAACATCCGGCACGACCTCCTCATCAGCGTGTGTGGAAAGGGAGTGTTGTTGCACCTTTTGGAGCAAACACAGCTCTTGTGCTTTACAAGTGTCCGAAAAAGGCGGAGGGTACAGTAAGTTCAGCAGAAAATGCTTCTGAGTATCTGGTTCAAGTATTGCACAATGAGAAGCCAATCTCAATGCCGGTACGCTTCAGTTCGATTTTTGAAGAATTCAATGTGGACCTTGGATGTTCAGTTTTTTGTAGAAGTAAGTTGTTTTTTGTGCCGTCCCAAGTGAAATTTGCTCTCAGAAAATGCGTAACTATGAAGAACCAAGACTCTGTGTTAGGCTCTCCTCAATATGCTGCGTGTGAGATTGGAGAGACTTGAATCTTTCAGAAAACTAACCTTATCCAAATATCCAATCAGGCTTGTAATGGAAGACACTTCTGCCCGTTCACAGAGTTCAAGGTGAGTGCAACATGACTTGTGCGTTTGATTAAGGATTGAAGTTTGAGTCGTAGAGGTTTAGCGATAAGTATCTTTCGCGCTCCAGTCAGGAAGTGGGTAGATTTGTCAGTTCTTACGGCTTCAAGGCAAGTAGTGGAAGGATGATTCTGATCGAAGAGGCCGAGTTGAGCTTATGTCATACTGAGTCGTTGAACCGAATTTTTTTCACAGGAAACTGTTGCGGGCCCACACCTAAAGAACACCTTCGAAACTGTATGTAAGGTGGAAGTGACCCCGCCGAAAATATCGTGGCCACGAAGGGTTTACCAAAGAGTTAGTCAAATCTTACAGTGGCCTTTTCAAACAGCTAATCTTAATTCTCCCGACTCACGTACCTGTAAAGCATACTAGAATAGTTCAGGGGAGCTTCACACCTGGAAAAGATTTTGGAAGTTGTTCAGGATAAATGAAACATTGATCTCGGCCTAGATACTGCTCGTCGTAAATGAAGATTTTGTCTCACCAGGTGAGAAACTTAGTGTTTGGCAGGAAAAGTGGAGGTACAGAAGGTGAGTGTTCAGGAAGTTCAGCCGTAATTGACGTTTATCTGATATCTATCACCAACAAGAAGGGGATAGGAGCTTTGAAGCCTGAAGTAGATGCCGGGCCTCAAATCTACAGTGACGAGTGAATGAAGGTGCATGGAACGATCTTTACTCATGTGAGATAGTATCTTCGATAAATGTCCAGACCTTCCACCCAGCAAATATTTCTTCTTCATTCTTATATCTCACGACTAATCTCTCGCAAATATTGGATTCCGTGCATCATTGTACATGATGACGAAATAGTATGTTTGACTTGTGGGGATCATTGATTGTGGAGAGATCTGGCCTGTCGTGAAGCATGAATCAAGAATCAGCAGTTTGGAATCGACAGCACTGGGCGTAAGCCCTAAGTTTTCTCCGAAAGTCTTTGCTTCTTCTCCTGTAGTCCAAATGGATGTAACGATTGCTTTTCCATCAAAAACATCGTGGTCGTGGCATCGCACGAAGGAGTTCGTCTTTGACGTCTTCGTCAGGATGGAAGATAGATATTGTATGACGTCAAGTAAGACCACTCATCACGAAAGTCAGCTCCAATTTGTAATGCGATGGATGGAGTCGGAAATGTCTTTGTGAAGTGCGGAAACACTTCTTTGTCAACAATCATTGTTTCTCCTCCAAAGGCTCTTTTCAGTGGGAAAAACCATTTTGGGGCTATCCATACGCACCAGTCCCTTATTGCTAATCTCCAGGATTGTCCACCATGGCCAATTTCGTAGATTGGCAGCAATAACATTCTGACTTACACAATTAAAAATTCGAATTGCGGTCAAATGGAATTTTCGGGAAGGCATGATGCATAACTGATCTTTGTCGAAAAGAACAACGGCGAGAATACTTCATGCATTATTCGGTTGACCTAGGGGACGTGGGATTTGCTCCGCAACGTTCGATTCAGGTGTACAATAATGAGTCAAGAGACCTCAGGTCAGCGAAGCGATGTGTGTAATGCCAAAGATGCAAGGGAATGGAGTGAAACTAAAGTCGTCGGCCGCACCATCAATAAGATAGAAAGCGAATTATCAATCCACACACTCTCCTGCATGCAACGGCACGGCGTCCATTCGAAGAGTAAGAGTGAAGCATTCTCCAACGCCTTTTGTCATGCATCTTCAAGAAAGATCTACAGTTGCAATGCAGACAGACGATCATGATGCCGAACTCTTCCTCTAGCCCGGAGCACTTTTTCCCCGCCCTCCTTCCGTTCCCTTCCTTTCTTCCTTTCTTCCTTCAAAAGCAGAGCTGCACACCGAGCTACAACGCCAACGGTGCTCCAGACCCCCCCCCCACCCTACCTACAGAATCCTCGTCCTCGTCCGAGGACGAGGAGCGTTCACACGGCGCAGCCGTTCACGACCTTCGGGGCGGACCGAGGAGGACGGACCCGGAGGCGGCGTCCTCAGGTCCGGCGCCGGAGCGACGTCAACCGTGCGTGGTAGGACTGGGGAGCAACCGAGTTCGTCACCGCGTCACCGTCGTCCGTCCGGCCAGCGGGAGCGGCAGTGGGACTGACTGCACAAGCGGATCAGGAAGAGCGAGAGAGTTAGGTAACTTAGGTGCCGTTCAATGAATACAAAGTCAACCTTTCTGTCAGAAGACTTCTTTCACAAAAGCATCAAAGTCAAGTCTCTACCTACCGTCCGAGCTTTTCCCTAGTCCAAACGGACAGTGTACATCGGATCGACGCTTTACTCCCCGTCTCCTCGCTGTGCCTTCTCACACTGCGGCCTCCGATACCACCTCCCCCTGCTTCGCACTGCCCTCTGCGCTGCTTTGTGCTCACGACCAACGAGCCGTCTTCCTTGAGTTTCCATGCCCCAGTCCAAGTTGACTCGGTTGCCCACTTTCTTATTTAGTATGCAAGTTGTGGACAGGATTATCCAAACTTTCAACATCAACTTGCCATAACCAACAAACGCAACGTCTTAAGTGAGAGAGTCCAAGCGTGAAAGCAATGGTTTTCATTCATTCGGTCCTTCGGTAATTTGGTCCGAGCCTCGCAACTGAATCCCAAATGTACACATTTTTAATAATTGTTAAGATCATTCTCGATATGAAATAGATTTTTGAAAATTATATTTTATCATTTGGTCTGAAAACTTTCACAACATGGGTTAATTTGTGATCCAATCCAAACGGATAAAACATTCTGCAGTTGCCACTTGCGCAGAGCATAAACTAGAAGGATAGTGAGGAATGCCTTAGAACTGCGGTGTTATTTGGAAGAATCGAGGCTGCTTTGTCAATCCCAATATCTCACTGGACACGTCGTTTGATAGTAAAAGCTAAGTTGATATGAACACGTACCAACGGGCAAAGCACCCGAAGAGATAATAGATCTTGAAAATATTATTCTTCGTCTTAGACCTCATATTGAGATATTCCACAGTGAACATGTACTGCACGCGACCTCCAAGAAGATGGACACATTCATCAAAAGCTGCCATTCATAATTTACAGTTATACAAAAAATGCCCTTAAGGATTTGATTCCAGCTGCGGAGCCTTGTGAACTTTCTTTCTTGGCCAGCCTTGTCAGGGTCGATCCACATAGAAATAGTCATTGTAAAACTCAAAGTAAAGACACTAGAAGATACAAGGGGATATATGATGTCGATATTGTGACAGTTAGGATATTAATAAGCATCTTTTCTCCTCAAAATGTGATTTATTCTTCATTTTACTTGATTGCTTTCAGACTCACTTTGATTTGATGTATGAGGGCAATTCAAATCTTCTGAATCAACTGGGTCTCTATGACCTGTCAGAACGTGAACTTTCAGATCTGATTGTAATGAAATCGGTGAATGATAAATAGTACGATGAATCTCGAGTTCCAATACAGGAAATGCATTTACATGTGAAGAATAATGTTAATTGACATTTTAAGAAAATTTCAGAAAAAAGTTTAAGGATCAATGATTAAAATCACTCAAAATAAGGTCCAAACAATTTCTCATGGTCACTTATCACTCAATAAAATAAGTTACACATTGATAATATTAATTTTATGATTTTAACTTCGCATCCAAGTTCTTTCACATAGTAATATCATATCGAACTATTTTTTTTGTTTTACTTTGGAAAAAAGATATATGTTGAGTAAGTTAGTTCTCATGCACAACGTTACAATCTACGTTAAGTAACAATGCAAAGTTTCCTTTGAATAATGATATAATTTGCTCTCGAGCTGATATCATCATATGCGTCAGGGTGAATTCTATGAACATATTAAAGAACAATCCCAAAAAACAACTCTATCCAAATAAGATTTCTTCACATGTCGGCACGTAGTAACAGGTAACACTTCTCATTTATCTGATTTGAATTGAAAATTCGATTCAATAAGTTTTGAAATCATCTCATTAAATCAAGTTTACTTGATAAGATTTCATTTCTCCAAGTAAACTATCATGATTCTAAACATGAATGAATATGAGTTTTACATTATTAGATCAACTAGATTTGATACTTTGAAAAAACACGGTTTCAAAATCTATGCAAACCTTCCTTGCATACGGTATACGTTCCGTTCGAAATACTTTGACCTAAGCTTATTTTATGTGAGAATGAATATAAAGTGTTGATAAATTCCATTTTGAAATGTAAAAAAAAAACTTGAATACATGATGTGTAGTTAAGCGTAATCAAAATCTATTAATACATCATAAAAGAGCCAAATTTATACAATTATTGTACCTATAAAACTATTATTCTTAGAAAATTGTCACATTAACATTTAAAATTTCTGAAAATGAATTACTGGCTTCCAAAGCACATTGGATGTTTTGAAATATCTCAGGTCAATATTTGATCTCATAATAAACAAATGTAAAATAACATTTTATCGATTAGAAATCATCAAAATTTGACTAGAATAGATTTAAATGATATAACAAACTTTCAACACACAAATGAAATTCTATAGGAAATTTTTGCAGCAGATTTTTGAAATATTTCAATAAGTATGTATAAATACTTTACTCATTTAATATATATATTGGTAAAAAAGCATCAGCTTAAAACATGGTAAACTGAAACTAGACGTAATCACGTTCAATTTGATAGAAAGATTCCAAGTTCATTGCCGTTGGAAAAAAAAGAAAAATCTATAAAATACATTCTTTTGCTCAATTTCGTTTCAATTTACAGAAGAATAAAGAACTAAAAGATTTAAAGCATTATTGAGAATAAAAAATGGATTTTGAAGATTTTAAATTAAAACAATTTAATTCTCTTAGTTCGTATCTATACTTGTAGATGTATCTTTACTTAAAGTGCTCTATTTTCTCCAAGACAAATAGAAATATAATATTCTATAATTTATAGAAGGCGTAATTAGAAGTTTCAAATGGTGAAAAAAATTATTCTTAATTTTTGAACATAGAAATTTAATTGAATTTTTTTCATTAGATTTCCATTGTCAATATATAAGTTGAAAGCAAAAATTTTATTACAAGTATCTTGTTAATCCTAGAACCAACAAAATCAAGTTTTTATCTAATGTTTTTTAATTCATAATGTCCAAGTCACACCTTGCAAGCATAGTCCATGTGAAAATTGTGGTTGTTATTGCAAAGTTAGAAAATGAACTAATTTTTTCAAAAGTCAGTTATTATTATTATTTTAAAATGACATTTTATTTTTTACTAATTCATGTTGAAACTGATATTATGTTCCAAATGAATTTAATATATTTACTTTGTATGCTATGAGAAGTTTATATCCGTATGAAACTCTTTGAACATTGATTAGATTTGACAAAATTTCATGAAACCCCTCCGTTACTTCCTATTTTAATTATTTTCGCACTTTATTCACATTAGCATAGTCACACGTTGAACAATTTTTCACTCTTTACACATTTTGTTAGCTTGAAACGGATGTTATCTTTTGGTAGGAATGTTTCTTCAGATTATCGAATTTTTTTAACTTGATGAAGTAAAGTGACATATGTATAATTTTATGAAAACAAAAAAGTGAAACGTAGAGTAATTTGATTTTTATCTATGATTTAACATATGGTCGAGTCCGACGGAATGGATTATTATTTGAATGAAATGTGTTTTCATGTATGAAATGATACATGCACTTATAATTCCCTCAAACGTCTCATCTCCCAGAGGCTAGAAACTCTGAACAAGATCGATACTTCCAAAATCTATTTAGGCTAAGCCTAATTGCAAAAAAGCACATGCACAGTTCTTGCATTGAATATACTTTTATGCTTACGAATGAGCATCTTGTTGTGGCATCAGCCCGAAGTGATCAGAACATTGTGGAAGCACAATGTTTAAAGGATCAGTCAATTTTTCAAGAAATTAACGATTGATATATATCCCTCTTTTAATTTTAATTTTTAAGAGTAACTCTTATTGTATTCATGAACATTTTTTATATGATGTAGAATTCAAGTTCCTATGTAGTTATCTATTTCTGAAATAAAAATTTCAATGATTGTTTCATATAATCTGTATTCATTCTATTATACATATATATAAACGATAACCTTAAGCAATTTATTCATGAGGAAAGTTTTGCGGGTGATGAAAATCTCACACATGGGTATGACGGGGGACGGTAGACAAGTAGAGTTGTGTGACTTGTGCGCGCATCATTTCGGTCTCACATCGAGCCGAGCCAGGAGCAGACGGAGGGAGGTACGGAGCGATGGCCAACGACGCTCGAAAACGTGATGAACTTGGTTGCAATGAAGGCAGGTTCAGTTCAAATAAACGAAAGGGTTGGACCTGATTCAGAGAAGCCGATTCAAAGGCTGTGCAAGAATGTCAAACTCGTCATTAATCTGGACGTTCGAGTGCTGGTGTGGATTCGCGAAAATGTCCACCCGACTCTGAGGCGGGAGAAGGGAGAAGCTGAAGGAAAGTGTAAGTGTGCCGGGCCTGCTTTCGACTGTGGCGGATGCAGGCAGGGAAAGATACTCGGGCTTTGCATCTGGTTTCACGTGTTCTGCCACTGGCACTCTTGTGCATCGGTGAGCTCATTTATAACCATCAATTCAGCCCAATCTGTTTCATGGCGAACGCCCACAGAGTCCTCAGTATCTAAAGAATACACTGCAAATGTGGAAGATCGGTAGTTTCCGAGAGGAGACTAATGGAGTCATAATAACGTATGATTGCCGCGCAGAGACCTGTAAGATCCAGGCATTTGACAACAGCGTATGCAACACATGAAAAAGCGATCGCCTCATTAAACATCCTCCACCCGACAACACTACCGACGGTCAGCACTCCATGGAGTTGCAAGAAGGGAGCGAGCGAGTGAGTCAGTCATGCATCCATCCATCCGAGTGAGATCCGAAGCCGGGCAACCGAAACCTCTGAAAAGCTCTGCGTCCACCAACTTTCAGCGCTCTCGGAAACCAGAGTGACTCACGAGTGATTCAGCCCCGGGCCAGAACATGAAACTTATCATTTTCTGTGATTTTCTCGGATTAAACGTCGCCTCTCATTGTTGTCTGCTCACCTACTATAAACAAAGCGCCTCGCATTTCTTAGGTTTTCTACACGTAGATGATATGGCATATGATAGACCCGGGGGGAGCTCCAGGTCCCAAGTCGGACGGGCTGGTTCGGACATCGGCACTTGACGTCGTCGGAAAGCCAGCCAGCGAGCGAGCCACAGGAGTTTTCGCAGCTCGCCACATTGCCGCCTACGACTCGGCTCAAGGAACGAACGCCTGCCTAGAGCGAGCGAGCGAGCGAGCGAGGACTTTAGATCGACAGAGATTTCGATCGGAGCTTTCGATTCCCGCTGTCCTTCGAAGTAAGTACGCAGATTCCGCATGCCTCGGTCAATCTGCTCGTCTCGAGCGGGACTCGCGTCGTCGGGGCAGAAGAACTTTCGATACAAGGCGGGGGCGCCGGTCATTATGAGGACATGCATGTGTCCACGGCTGCTGCCTGGGTAGAGTCGGACCGGCGGAGCTGGAACCGGTGATTCCGGTCCGGGCTGGCGACTCCTTGTCACTAAACCCGGGGTTACTTTAGCCGTACTCTAGCGGAAAGGGCCGTACATGAGCCTGGGGAAGTTCCAGCGGAGGCTGGAAATTTCGGGCGAAATGAAATTAATGGAGGGATTCAAACCGCCATAAAATAGTAAGAGCGTCGAGTAATGGAGGAAAAGGCAATAAAAGACGACATGTGGAAGAGCACAACAACTTAGGCAGAGATGGCTTTTATTGTTGGCAAAGAGGGCCGTGAATAAAGAAGGGGCGCCAACCCGGCCCAGCGGAACGAAGGACAAATTTAAGGCAGTCGCGAGCGCGACGACTTTTTCATTGATGGGCGCCTGCCCGCGCCTCGAGCCGGGCGACGCGAGCGCGCGAGGCGATGTGCGACGGGCGGGCGGGCGGGCGGGCGATGGATGCCCCGATGGATGGATGGAAACCTCGACACCGCCAGCGGTCTGTTGCTCGCTCGGAGTAGGTGGCGCCCATTATGCCCCCTTTGACCCTGGCTCGAAGTCCACTCTCTCTTTCAACTCCATTCTCTCGTGCTTGCCGATGCCCACCCTCCCATCAGTTCAATGCCCGACAACAATCAATAACCTGCCGACTGTTCGCGTTGATTGCCCTCTCTCTCATGTGCTCCCCTGCCTCGCATCGATCGGCTGCCATCGCCATCGCTCTCTCCTTTCCAGCGATTCGATTCGTTCAGGCCGGTTCGGATTTCTGTGCGGTTCCATCTTGTTCTTCTTCTTCTCCCTCGGAGTCTATCCGCTCCTTTCCCCACGTCCCGAACGAAGAGCTCTCATGGCTTAAAATATATTCCGTACCTGGGTCTCATCCTGCGCATCGTTTGGTCTTTCTATTCTGGAAAAGGAGAGAGCCATAGAAAGGGTTCTCTCCTCGATCACATGCACGGCTTATCGAATCCATTTTCCCTTTGGGTTGGGCCGAGGTCGATGTAATATACCAACCGAGAACGAATTGCGAGTAGTTGTTGCAGTAACGATATGTATCCTTGACAATTTTCTTGTAATGAACGTGGAGTTTATTATACACTACATATGTATGAATGTAGATTCAATCTTCAAATCTCAGCTCCTTGGTTCTCTATTAACATTACGTTAGGATCATGGACACCGGCTAATTTCATTTACAAGTCTCGTTACTACATACGAGAGATGTTTGAATATGGAGACATGGCATGATTTTGCTCTTTCATTACATTGAAAGTCTACCATGTAAGGTTAGTAGTGTTTTAACATGCTCCGGGGCGGCTAGTTATCACTTTGGGTTAATTAGTACTCACATTACTATACGGACTTCACTCATTGATTCACTCGGGTTATAGGGTACGTGAAAAAAATATATGCAATTTTCGGTATTTCTTATCAGCCTTAATTTTCCCAAAATCTAAAGCATATTTGTCCCTAGCATTTTATAGTTTCACAGTCTCTATATTATCATGCTAGATCCGGTTTCGACTCCCGAGTTCATTAGACACCTCCAAACAAACTCGACTGAACCAGTAGCTCGATCGAAAGCAACACGAAGTTATCACCCACAAGAAGGAAGCTACATGGAGTGAACTCGCTGGTTTCAATATTGTAGAGTGAACTGTTCGCTGTTAAGTGCCGTTGCGATTTTGGTCCGACAGTAAACATATGACCTTTGAAGTGCTATTTCACTTACGTTAATTAATATAGCGGCATGTCCGAGAGCAGTTTGGAATTAACCAACAGTTTATTTTCATTGCACGGACACTATAACCCAATGAACCAATGAGTGATGTTCTTGTAGAAGGATGAGAGCTAATTACCCTAGGTGAGTGATAACTCGCCGTCCCATGCCAGTCAATTGCTTTTAGCATCATGAAATTTTTTGTACCGCTAGAGTTTATTTTTTATATATACCAGTCCGTTAATCTTGGTTCAACCATGCATTAAATCTTCAATGTCTTCATTTTTATTGAGATATAGTTTCACCTTGGTTTGATTCATTCATACAAATATTCAGTCATACATGAGCTGCATTATGCATCACTACGATTTTGTTATTAATATTATAATGATGATTATTCATGATACCGTTAGATATTTGATTTTTTTCAAGATTACGAGGAAAAAATGGTATATATTCCACCTGGAAAGACGGTTGATATGCAATTTACTTTTTTATTTTATTGAAAAATATATTATAAACTACTGCAATTGGAGATATTTTTCTAGTAGATAATATATATATGATACTCTTGGATGCTGGAGACATTTGATGATTACATAATTATTCTTATAGCTATGAAATCATATGTAGCTATTTACACCATGTTAAGAATTATAAGAATTTCTTTTTACTATACCAAAGCAAATTTTTATTGATTTCTTAATTTTTCTTTCATTGTTTGACAAAAAAGCAAATTAAAAAAATTTAAGAAATGACTTATATTCAATTTATATGTGTAAAGGAAAGAATAAAATTATATATAACTTTCCCAATCTTATCGTATAATCTACTTTATGCAACACGAATCCATTTGCCATACAAAGAAGCCTGTGCAGACCATATGAAATGTATTACAAAACTTGTCGGAGTATAGAGTTAATATCCCATCATGGGATTCCTATGGATGCAGTAGTCAATAATGTCCACTGCGGTGCGATGGGGTCATAGCCCCATATTCTGAACCTCAGGTTGCAACCACGAAAGGAGTCGAGGAGAGGTGGTGTTCCCCTTTTGGCCGATCTACTCGGAACTTCCCTTTTCCGCGGAGAAGAAGCAGCGAAGCGTAGGCTCATGGGCTGCTGCTGCTGCTGAATGTGATCTGTCCTCGAGCAGATCACTGCACGCGAGTGCTTTAGTTTGACTCGGGGCGAGAGAACTGCGGTAGAGGTATGTTCCCCTTTCGACGACTGCACGCGAGAATTTCAGTTTGACTCGGGCCAGGGAGGCCGAGGGGGACGACGGAGAAAAATAGCCTTGTGATTCAAGCGGCAGGGCCAATTCCCCCCAGGGCCGGTCTTGGTGGTGGCCGCAGCGGCACGGCCAACCCGAGCGGCCGAGCGGCGAGCCCCATTTGCAGTTTGACTCTCGACGACTCGATCCGAGCGGTTTGTCATTTCCGGCGCTTCTTCTTCTGATTCCGCGCGGCCGATTGTCCCGTAGTGGTAACTAGGGTTCGGGCAAAGAGGAAAGCGATAGAAGAAGTAGAAAGCGAAAGCGATGATGGATGCGGTTGTGGATGCGGTTCTCTCGCTCTCTCGCTCTCTAGCTCGCTCGCTCTACGCAGTTGGCGACCGGCAACGACGTCGCTGCCGGATGTGGCTGTACAGCGCGCTCGCGCGCGCGCGCGCGGTGAGTGGCGGTGGCGCGGGAGGTGGTGGGGGCGCCCGCGCGCGCGCGGGGTAGAACTCCGCGCCGGTCCTACACACACGTTGAGCGTGAGAGCGCGATCGAAGAACATTCCGAATCGACGGCGCGTGGCCAAAATGAACCCCACCACCACCATCGCCAGGCCGACCCCCGGAATCGCAGAACGAACGTTGCGCCTTGCACAGGCAGGAGGGGAGGGGTGAGGAAGGAAGGAATGGTAAGGAACGCGAATGGAGGAGTTCCTTCGAAGAGGAAAGGGGACGAAGCGCGCACGAGACCAGAGTCGTCGTCGTCGTCGTCCCGAACGAAGAAGAAGGTAGACGATGTGGGTAGCCTCGGTTTGGTCTGGGGAGTGTCACGGAGGGAGGGAGGGAGGGAGAGAGAGAGAGAGAGAGAGAGAGGAGAAGAGGAGAAGAGGAGGCAACAAAGGAGGGGATTGTGTGAGAGAGAGAGAGCTGCTAGTTCGCCGGGCTAGGCTGTGGGGGATGGAGGTGGTGGACGACGGGGTCACGGATGAGGCGGGGCGCAGCAATAGGCCCGAGAGAGAGGGAAGTGAGGGAGGGAGGAAAGGCGGGGCGTTGACTTAAGGTGCCCCTATCCTGGTGTGTGCTGCTTGCTTGCGCGCTTGCTGGCTGGCTGCCTTCGGTTAGCAACAAAAGGGAAGGATTTGGACACCACAGGGGCCGATATGGTATGGTCACGGCAATAGCAGACGATGAAGGCCATCTTTGTTCTTTCCACAAGTCCAACTCCCAGAATTTGAAGCGCAGGCGCCCCCCGCCCAGCCAGCGCAGCGCGCCTCGACCAAGCCTCGCTGCAACGAGCCGAGTCGAGCATACGCCTTGCGCGCAGGTCGGCGTCGTCGACGACGCACCGATTGATAGGTCGGTCATTCCTCAGAGGAAGGACCGGGGAGAGAGAGAGATAGAGTGCATCGAGCAGCGCGTCGAAGATCTTCACCGTCTGATGATTATGTCCGGGAGAGGGAGGCGAACTCGGGCTCTCTTAAGTCTGACGATGGAGCCTCCGTTCGGTTGCTCGTGGGTCACTAGGATCAACAGAAAGAACGTCCGCGTCAAGAGATTGGATCCACCAATGTCTGCCTTTCTGCCATACTGGTGACTCTTTTCGTACATGAACACTGACAGCGGATGCTTTCGCCCTCGGAGCATCGTCTCGGTCCGTTTAGGGCAGGCAGGCAAGCAGGCAGGCACGCAGGCAGGCAGGCAGCGAGGGAGCGACGGTCTTGCTCTGTTGGTGTGTGGGTGTGTGTGTGCACTTTCTCTGCGGCCTTGATCTTTCCTTGAGCAGAAGGGAGGTGTGAGAGAAGGAGAGCGAGGTAGAGAGATAGAGAAAGGAAGAGCGAGGTAGAGGCGTTGAGGGGGCAGGGCGACATCTGTAGTTTAGTATCTGCAGGCCGGCGAGGAGCGGAGGTGGGGGGGATAATATGCAATGGGATCCGGTGTGTCACACTTGGTGGGGTGCTTCATTCGCCCTCGAGATGGTTCTTCCGACGGCGGACTGGGATTGCAATTCTCGGAGCCCCTGGATGAAGGTCTCGGCCACTCCTTTTGCTACGTACGCCCTCCACCTCTCGGCTCCCCTTCATTAATTTCGCCGGAGAAGTCCGACGAGTTCCCGCTCACGAATGGGAAAAATCCCCCGGTGGTGACTGTAGAGGCGGATGAAGCATTTGTCGATGCAGCCGACTTGTCAAGCTCCCACAAGGTAGGCGACTGTTGCCCTGTATGCTTTCTCCCTCTGCAGCATTGTGGATTGATTGCCAAGTCGTCGGTTTCTTCTTTACGAACGCGTCGGCAGTGGCCTTTTAGAAGTTTATGAAAGTCTGCGAAAGCTTGCAGTCCAGCACTGCTTGAAGCCTTGGTCAGCTAGCTTGCCCCCCTGTGTGCCCCGTGCCTAGCGTTGACGGAGATCTCTTGTCTCTCTCGCGAGTTTGGGTTTTAGTAAAAGTTTGCACTGGTGTTTGTTCATAGGAGGAAAAGACGATTTCTTGCGCCGAGAAAAGCAAGGCTACCGTCGAAAGATTAAAAATTCTGCCGGAGAAGACGAAGGCAATCACCATCGACCAGAAGCCTAAGAATGTCTCGGAGACCTCTTTCAAATCTATCTCTGGGGCGTCTGTGTCCGCCAACACGGCCACTCCTCGCTCAATCCTCTCATGTGAGCAATTCAATTCATTTTCTAACGCTCTGTATGATCGAGCAGCCGCTTTTGCCAGCACTTCCTCTTTTTCGGCGCTGCCTCTGCAGCCAGTCCCAAGAGGATTCTCGGGCCCTCTGTCCGGACCTCTTGATCGAGGTTTCGCCTCGGGGCCCCTCGAGAGAGGTTTCATGTCGGGTCCGCTGGAGAGAGGTTTCATGTCTGGTCCCTTGGAACGAGGGTACATGTCTGGTCCGCTCGATCCCGTCGACAGAACTCATTTCTCTGCTCCCCTAAATGGGCCTTATCATTATTCTAGCGGCTATTTCAGAAAGAGGAAGAAGTCTCTCGTTCGATTTATGAGGAGTATGAGCGGCCCCATGAAGAAAGCCTTAGCCCGAACTGCCACCTCTCTGGCCAAAACCCAGAGATCCATCGTAGCGCCCGTGAAGAGTTACGTTTTCAGGGAAAATAAAGAGATCAAGGACAGTGGAGACAAGGAAGCCGTCAAGGCACCTCGAAAGTCTGTGGACTCGGCCGAGAATGTCTGCTACACTTCTTCAGAACTTGATTTGAGGGAAGGTGACAATCTGCAGTGGGCTCAGGGGAAGGCTGGAGAGGATCGCGTTCACTTGGTGCTCTCCGAGGATCATGGATGGCTCTTTGTGGGCATATACGATGGTTTCAATGGTCCAGACGCACCCGATTTTCTCATGAGCAATCTTTATCCCGCTGTCTCTCACGAACTGAAAGGACTCCTGTGGGACACGAAAGAAGAAGAATGTACGGGTTCAGCGGATGCGGAGTGTGAGTGGGAAGTCGTCGGTGCGAGGCAAAGTGATGGAGGAGAAACAATTGCAGCTGAAGATATTGCTGAGCCGAGGAAGGAGAGAAGTCAACGAGAAGGAGGACGAAGGCGAGGCTTAGGATTAGTTAGAGTGGGTCAGAATCGCAGATGGGGCAGGCGGGCCCTAAGTAGGAGTAGCGAGAAGGTTATAAATGAATCCGAGCACGACGCTGGAGGGGACATACAAAATTTGCGAGTAGATGGCACTTGTTTTCCAGAGGAGTGTGAGGAGGGGTCTTGTGCAAACGAGATTCAGTCAGGTGTGTGTGAAGCCTGTTCCGTGGACCCAGGCGTTTCACACTCAGGAGGAGCGGATTCCTTGCCAGGGGGTGAAATTAATCTCTCTAGTCGAGGAGATGAAGCGGCTTCCCCAGTTCTCGCTTCAGGCGGTGCTGAAAGGAGACAGAAAACATTTGCACATGAGCAGGAAGGTAAACTCGCCGAAGACAGGACGAATGGCGATGATGAAGCCCAGGGTGACCCGTCTTCAGAGCAGCTAGAGTCCACGTCCGAAAGCTCCTCACATGCAAAGGATCCGAGGCTGAATAGGAGGAGACCTTCTTCGGGATTTAAACTTCGTCACGGTCACGAGAGAAGGAAAGAGCAATTACGAAAGTACTTCCAATGGAGGTGTGATTGGGATCAGGATAAAGAAGGGACAGTACAGAAAGTACACAGTGCGAAAGTAGGTCAAGAACCTGACACGGTCGCTGACGAGAGGACTTCTGATCACTCCGCCATATTGAAAGCCTTGGCCAGGGCTTTGCAAAATACAGAGAATGCTTACCTTGACATGGCCGACAACGCTTTGTATGAAAATCCTGAGCTTGCACTTATGGGTTCATGCGTCTTAGTGATGGTTATGAAAGATGAAGATGTATATATATTGAACGTGGGAGATAGTCGAGCCGTGTTAGCCCAACATCCAAGAGCAGAGGCCGTTCTAGGAAAAGCCTGTAGGAATGGAGCCCATGGGAGTGACTCAGGTTCAAGAGACTCTATTCTTCGGGTGGAACTTGAGCGCATAATTGAAGAGACTCCTTTGGAGCTCGAGGCTTTAGAATCGGCTCATGAAAATGGCCGTGTCGGTGGCCCTCCACCCCTTTGCGGAGCGTCTCTGTTGGGTGCTCTCCAACTTACCACAGATCACAGCACGAGCATCGTTGAGGTGAGTCGAACAAGTCGTGGCGATTCATGTGTGGATCTCGGTTCCTAAGGGTATTGCAAACGACTTTCTATTCGAACCTAGCTCCGATTTGTACCAAGAAAAGTTAATTATCGCAGTAGATTTTTTCCCTTTCATATGTGGCCATTAGCCCTTGGGATGTGGAGACCTGAGTGCGTATGCGTAAGATCATTCTTCAAAAGCAGAATACATTGAGTTATTTTGGCAGCTTTTGCGGTTCTCCTCTTCTTTGAAATTTATGTCGAGGTTGAGGCCAAGTCTTTTCATTTGGTTCACGAGTATTGTATGTCTTTATATGGAGACGATCCTTTCCACCTGTTTTCGTACATCAGCCGTTTAAATCCTTCCCCCCAATTTATAGTGGCTTGTACGATGAAGGTCTCTCAGGTATAGAGAGTTCTTCAACTTTCGTTTACTTGGCTTGTTCTGTGGATATTCAATGACTGATTAGATTTTTTCCTATGGGTGTACAGGAAGTTCTCAGACTCAAGTCAGAGCATTCTGATGAGGACACAATCCACAACGATCGTGTCAAAGGGAGACTTAAAGTTACCCGTGCATTTGGTGCTGGTTTCTTGAAGCAGGTAAACATTTTAATTCTGAGATGTCCTCTGAGATGTAGACTGTGTTTGGAGGTTTAATATTACTGTTATCCCACGTTATATAAATTTTAGGAAAGGGTTGCACGTGGATATCATAGTGCGCGCTATGCCACATACCAGTCCTTATACATATATTTTTCGATAGCAAGGATCACAGATTTAAAACTGCTTTCGTTCGGTTGTAGATAACTTCTTACCGAGTGTGACGCTCGCGAGTTTCTTGTGTTGTCAAAATGAATACAGCATCCATATTTTTCTTCTCAACAGAGCCGGTTATTAGTAATGATTTCTAACATGTATGTCGGATGTAACAGCCGAAATGGAACAATGCTCTTCTTGAAATGTTCCGAGTCGATTTTATCGGGACGGCTCCGTACATAACATGCACACCAGCTCTCTATCATCACAGATTAGGTCCTCAGGATCAATTTTTGGTGCTTTCATCCGATGGATTGTATCAATACCTGAGCAACGAGGAAGTGGTATCACACGTGGAATGGTTTATGGAAAAGTTTCCAGATGGAGACCCCGCACAACATCTCATAGAAGAGCTACTGTTTCGTGCTGCAAAAAAGGCTGGTGAGTTTAAACATCGACCATCATGGCCACCTTCATTTTAGTCTTCTCCAGACAATGACCATTGTCTGGAGAGAAATTTGAAGTGCATACAGTGCTGCTAGCCTGCAAGTTTTCTTCTTCTATAGAGAACGGTAGGGAGGAAGCATGTGAAACTTCTCTATTAGCCAGCAGTTCGTGAAATGGATGGGTATATACTTCGACAAGGAAATGCTGAGTATGGTTCCTTGGGTAGCATTGTCGCATTTCATTTTTCAAGCAAGAAAATTAACATTGGTCTTGTCCTGGCAGGTATGGACTTTCACGAGTTGTTGGACATTCCTCAGGGCGACCGCCGCAAGTACCATGATGATGTATCCGTGATTGTGATTTCACTCGAAGGAAGGATTTGGCGATCATCAGGTTAAAACTGGATAACTTGACATCAAATGACGGGAGAAAGAAAGTCTGTTAAGGGTTTTTCTGAATACCGTTGTTTGTGGAAGCCATTCTCCTGTAAAATTATTTGGAATAAGCGAGGTCAAGCTCAAAACCTCTTCAGAAGAAAGAATCTGCTTTTGGGTAGAGTTTTCCACGAGAAAGAGAGATGCATGATACAACGATCGATCTTTCATTCGTCTCTGTAACCTTTTTTTAGGTTATGAACTGAGTATCTTACCTTGAGCCAATGGTTACCTTGTCAGTGAGTGAAAGCTTTTAGCTCTTTAGTTAGACAGAGGCTGCAATAACTTTTCCAAGATTTCTGGCTATGAAAGGTAGATTGCATTAGACGGGGCGAAAGAATGCCTTTTAGTGTAGAGGGACGAGGGATGCCAGCCAGCCACCAACTCTGTCAGGTGAAAGGAGGAGGCAGGGCAGCATTTGTAAGCAGTTGGGCAGAAGTTGAGGGGTGAGGAGGAAATTTGTAACATAGTGTCACGCTTGCCACAAGGGCGAAGTGTAATTGGTTCGTTTCACAGTATTGTCTTGTCAATGTCTAGTAGTGCCACTGCTCTTAATCATAGCAGGTTCCGGGTGCTGAGTCATATCGCCGTAGAGTCTCTCATGTCCATCGAAACTTGGATCCGAGTGGATGAACCGGTCGTAGTACTGCAGATATCTATGGGTTTCACCATGCATGTTGCACCGGTTGTAGGTCTTGTGCCTGAATTTACCTTCTTGTAGGCCTTGGATTTCGGAGCTTGTCAACTGTTCTAGTTTGAGAGTTTACTCGAGTATAGTTCACCTCACGTTAATGTTCATCTGTACATCAGAAATTTGTATGTTTTTCTGGTGATGAGATCAAATGACGTCGTCCTGTCATGAATAATTTCGACGGTGAAGTTCCAGAGCGTACAAATCTATCACGTAGGCGTTTCGGATAGAGAAGCGTGAGCCGTAGCAACTTTGAACAGATGTGGTGATTTGCAAGCAACGTCGAGGATGCGAACGGCCTGTGTTTGTGCATCTCTTTGTGGTCGTGCAGTCACTTTCGTTATCCAATTGACGTGGGCGATTGATATTTATAGGTCAGCAGTGCCAACTCGAACTCCTAAACTCTCAAGAATGTGACGTTGAGGTGCACGAGGCACAAGAAGAGCATCACGAAGACTGTGAGATCTCGAGCAAGACTGGATCGATGTGGAGAATGAAAAAGTTGGAACCATGGGCTCGTTGGTTGTGCACACCATACTACTGAAGTAGTAATAGTCGTTTTTCTTGTGGCTCTGTCGGCACTGTACAATATTTATGAGGAAAGACCAGCTCCGTCTTCTTCGAGCATCTCCGTCGTGAAGCATACAGATGTAGGAAGAGCTAGACAGGCCATAATGTACCTCTGCCCATTCCTACCCTTCATTTTGGCATGTCAAAGATGTAATTACCAGCATTAAACTAAGCACACTCATCGAGGGATGTAGTTTAAGTAACATTCTTGCACACGCTTGAAAGGTATCCCCGTTTCGTGTATAAACAGAATCAGAAACGGGTCCACTTATCGTGCCACTCGGGTTCTTCTTTTCATAGCAGCTGCAGGGATCCTCCTGTCCCTAGTTAGGACTTCCCCACCTCCGAACCACGCCCCATTATCCGATACATGTTCCGATTACATAATTTTGTTGAAGGCTCGAAACTCCTGAATTGTATGCTCATCTTTCAACTGTATTTGGTCGAAATCTCTGTCAAACAGAGGCCAGGCCGAACACCAGGCCCAAGGTCATGGAATCAATTCTTATTCAACGAATTGCACCCTCGTAAGGATGTGTCTCGTACTGCTACACGCCACAGAATTGTTTGCAGCCAGTAATTTGGACCATGCACCAAGTACTGTGATTGAGCGATGGCTGGATAATTTCTTATTGAGTGGGGATACAGTATATCTCTGAAAGCATGATAGTACAGGATTCAGATGAAAAGGAGGTGGAGGAAGTCCCACATTTAATTACAAAGGATTCATCTGACTCTGTCCATGCGAATAATTCTATGTCCGGCTTCAATCCAACCTCCCTGACGATCGGTTTAATTCGCCTCTGAACATCTGTTGACTTCATCGCAGTAATCATCGCTCTTGAATAACATTTGCATCAAATCTCACGCGTACTGTCACTCTCGAAGTAAAGAAGCATTCTGAGTGTGCATTGAAAGCTTAATACGGTACAGAGCAGAAAGGAGGTTATCATTCGTGTCCGATCTTCGATCGCCTGTCCACACGCTCGACCGAGATCTCCGAAGTCAGCGATTTCGTTCACTGTCTTTCAAAGTACAACAATCATGATTCGAAAGCCTCTCGAGAGCAAGTTATTAATGTGTTGACCTCGTCTAGTGACTGCGCACAATGGGAATGGAAGATCGGCCGTAGAACAGCGCAGTCGGAGAAAGCTCGAGGGTTTTCGTAACAAGCATCAAGTGTCCGTGTGTTGGATGTGCCGCGTTCTTTTCATCGACGACATATTCGGTAGCAGATGCTTCCAAGACTGTTTCGAAAAATGGCGCCATGTATCTTTCCGACAATCGAGGCTAGATTGTAGCAGTCGTTCAAGAACAGACGATTCATGAGTTCTAGTTTTTTCGTTCGGAAGGCAGCGCGCTGCATTGCAAGGCGAGTAATATCGAATGCACCGATTTGACATCGCTGGTGTAAAATCACGCTGTGATAATTGCGCAGTCGTGAATTGGGTCGAACCAAATCAAGTCGAGACGGATGAGCCGAATTCTATCGGTGGTTGCTGTTGCTGAGTGTTTCTTCGCGACCTTCAGACCAGCACTAGCTTCCGAGAAGCGAGTGAGGACCGCGGGAATATTAGGGCAGAGACATGCAACGACCTGATTACCGATCCAGTCGTCGCGAACGAGCTGTGCGCGTTTACACCATCTGCGACGAGTCGAGGTTCGGCTGTGTTGGAATTTGATCGATTCATAGACAGCATTGTATCGTACTGGAGGGACGGCTGACTTTGGCTCGCTTCTGTCGATTGCCTGATCGATTCTCTCACTGATTTGAAACGCGTTTCAGGTATTTGATCGTCAAGAATGTTCCTGCTCTCGGGTGCGTAGACGAGTTGGTGAAATTGTTCGGACTTTACGGCCCGATTGAGGAGTGAGTTCATCGCCGGCCTGCCTCCCGCAGTCTTTGAATGGAGCTCGGATGTTCATGATGCACGTATGCTCCAATTGTAGGTCTTGACTTGTACTCACTTCCACTCATTCCTCGTTTGTTGCCAGGTATAGAACTCTGGACGAGGAAGACTGCGAACCTTTTACGGACGTGTACTGGATCAAGTACTCAAAATTGGGCAATGCTACGTACGTTCCTGCACTCGATTCTATTCTGCTCTGTCAGCAATCTCAAAATTGATCGTCAAGTCGATAAAATCGCCCATAAAATCGAGTTGTCACTTGAGTGTCGTTGATATATTAGCGTCGCTTTTTAGACTCGGAAGAAACCTCGTCCTTGTTTGCTTCTTGTCATAATGAGTATGCTGATTATTCCTCCGGTGAACCTCGTAGATTTGCAAAGAGGAAGCTCGATGATTACAAGTTCCTCGGGAATCTGCTGGAAGTTTCCTACGCTCCACAGTATGAGACTTTGTCAGATACGAGGGATAAATTGGAAGAGAGAAGGCGGACTGTTCTGAACAGAATTCGTGGTAAATTGTCACCTCAGATCTCGTTCCGACTTAAAATTGATGGATGCACGACGTAGATGGAATGGGCACACATTTGAGCTGTGAGCTCACATTTTGGGCAGTCTAAAGCTTCTTGGTGTCCAGCTTCGTCGAGGCTTGTTTCATCTGTGTCTGATGCACCATCCGAACAGTCACCTTAACCAGGTCAGTTGTTCTGCAGTGAATGCAGGCGGTCAGCATCAAGCGCACAGACCTTTCCCCACTAAGCGTTCTCTAGCGGAGCCACATGACCCTCTACTAATTCACTCTGGGGATCAGGCCGAGGGATCAGGCCGATATGCACCCCTTCTACTGGAACCTTCTTCAAGGTCAGCACGCACTCTCTGCCTCTGGATCTGACTGAAGGGAATGCGAAAGGAATGGTCGTTTAAATTTGTCTGTCATATGTCTTGATCTAATTTGCCAGCAGAAGCAGGACTGAGGACACAGGCTACAATTTGGAAGGGCGTGAGCTTGTTTGCAGGCCAGAAGTGGAGGATGTTGCGAATGTTGAGGTAATTATGGTGCCCTGGCAGGATCTGAAGTTCTGCATGTCGCAGCAAATCAGAGTCTTTTGAACTCTCGTGTGTCCATTTATCTACCAGATTATGAGATGGCGAGAAACAAAGGCCATCAGAATGGCCCTCCGTGATGCTTATGGTAGCAGTCTGATGCTGCAACCTCTAGAATGTATCTCGTTGATTCCCTGTAAAAACCTCTTGAGTTTGGAATAAGCTTGATTGTGAAGATTTCTGATGGTCTCAATTGGATGACAGTACTTTTCGTCGCCATCTATGACTGCAACCGTTCGAAAAGTGCGGGAGACCCTGGCCAAGGTAGGCAATCGCAGCGGATTTCCTTGAACAGAAAATGGGCAGGGCTGTCATTGTTGGTCGCATGCCGTATCATTGAAATCATACTGGATTACGTAGTGTGCCTGATTCACAATCGTGGTGTGTACGTCAACCAGATTGAAGCAACCTCGTTACCGCAAATACGGACTGGAACATCGGAAGATGACAGTAGTGTTCCTACTCAACGCATCGAAGCAGAAAGAAGTGTTCCTGACGAGTCTTCTTCTTTGCTCAAAAAGCGTCGACAGGATTCTCGAAGAAGGATATGAAATGCAAGTTGGTCTGAACATGTACCACAGCATTCGTCCACAACCATTTCTTTCTGTCTTTTGTGCAGGAACCTCTTCAATTAACGTACTGTGATTGCCATTTACTGGTACTGTAGACCGATCTTAAATGTAAATTCCAAACGAGTTATTTCATGGTGGAAACCCCATGACGCCCAGGGAGCTCCAATCGGAGACTGAGTTGATCCGTATTATTGTAATAGTCTAGAAGCCATAACTTGGGGTTTGTTGATTGCTCGATCTGAGCTGCTAGGAAAGACAGTCTTCATCCATAAGCAGATGGTATGACAAATGGGGACCGTCCTCAAATGTGTTCGTCCACCAAACAGCGACACCCTTCAAATGTGCCCGTCAAATGTGTGGTGATTTACCATGCTACATTCTTTAGTGATTCACGAAATGCTGGTAACTGCTTCTCTCTGTGTAAAGCCTGGATGAGGATGGAAACAGCAGAGGTACATCATCGTGGCCTCTCTAGCTCTCTCTGTATCTGCGAGTTCACGCCCAATTTGCCCAAAGAAGAGATACGTTCTCGTTCCGCAACTATCAGTGTATAATGCCCACAGTGACCAAAAGGAAACCAACGAATCCGACTACTCACTTCAGCGTCAAGGTGTTCCAAGATGTTCATTCTCCACATCCATATGGACGTGTTCGAGAATTCACTGTACCACACAACTTCTCTTGTGCCTTATGGAGAGGATTGGAGCTATGAGTTTCATGGTCGAGTTGAGCACCGCGTCAAGGCGAGTCGGAATCTAAAGGCCCCAGGAAGTGATAAATGGAGATAGATCGATCGTTTGCATGCACTTCCAAGAGGAGAATATCATATCATGAATCAAAGGTGAGCCCTTGCGAGGCTAGACTTTTTCTGCAGGTAATATTGAACAGTATAAAATGGTAGATGATTGTGGCATATTAAACAAAGAGTATGAAGCCTATTCAGAGTATTTATTCAGTGTTGGGGGTTCAGGGTTCAGATTTATGAGTTCGTAACATTAGTTTTGTGTAACCTTCTTCAGTCAATGAGTGTACATTGCTTCATGATAAATAAATACAAGTGTTATACATCGCCAGAGTTGATGCTATATGGCGGTTTTGAATGAGAGAAGTGACATGCCTGGATCCAGATAATTGAAATACTTAATTAATATTTCTGATGGGGATACTTATGGTGATACTTATGGTGATACTTTATATATATCATGGCATGAAACGGTACAACTATGACACTGAAGAGGTGACAAGAGGTATCACCATAAGTATTATGATGGGATACTTACTGGGGGTATTATGCTGATGCCTCTTGTCACCCGTTCAGTGTCATAGTTGTAACTTAGTTTTTGCTGGGCCTTCCCATTCTCTTACACTCCAGTCAACTGACGATGCCAGAAGAATGGATCGTAATCGATCAATTCATGAGCCGATCCTCTCACACGAGAAGACAACATTTGTGCACCAACGGGAGGACTCAGCGCATGCAGTGACGGACGTCCCTCCAGATCGGACATCACCGTCTCATGACACGTGGAGGAAGACCGCGCTCGCTTCTATCCATCTGGCTGGGCCAATGGCTTCGATCTGCGTTGGCCGCAGGGGCGATCCCCCGTTTCCTACTTGTCAAATACAGGTCGACCTGACCCCCGCCTCCGATCCTACGCGGACACGAGACGGGAACCAGCGAACGGAGCGGGCTTCGACTGCGGTGCTTCTTGAGATTGCGAACTTGGAGTTTGGGAAAAAATTGATTCCTCGATCCTCTGATCTTCTTGTGGGACGATGCAACCTGCAGCCATGTCGATCGTGTGCGGAAACCCCACGGTGAGTGTTTGCCTTTCGTTCTGCCCTTCCCGCCTCCACGGGAAATTGTGTTCTAATTCAATTCGTCAGAGAATCGCGCTAGAAATTTTCTCCTTCGATTTTGATAACAACCCCTGCTGCAAATGTGCCCGTGTCCGCGAGCACGTCATGTCTATGGGTAGGAGCGAGGGGATGTATTTGGGGCTGACGTTCTTCGGGTGTGTTGAAGTCTGCGATTTGGTTTCAGGTTCTCGGGATTTTGATGTTGCTCTGTTGGTATGTCGCTGGATGAAAGCACGGAGGCGTCGTTGTGGAGACTGTTTATTTTTTGTTCTTGGGGATCACTGATGTTAATGGAAATGTCATTGGCAGGTGTGTGCAGCAGCAGCCTCCCCGTCAATTGCTGCGCCAAAGCATGGTGTTTCAACGAGAAGGACGAGTCTCGCCCACGTGAGGGCGAACACACGCTTCCCGACACTGAAAGTGCAGGCGCAACCAGCGGAACAGGAGTTGACATTCAATTACGAGGGCCAAAAGACGACGTAAGAGCTTTTTGTTCCTATCACTATTTTACCGAAGTGCTATCGATCCTTGGTCGTTTCTGAAAGCGAACTGGCCTATCTTGTGAACATTGAGCTAGCACGAGATGTCGCTGGTCGGTCAGTCTCTGTCACCGTCTCTCTGATATAGTTCAACTCGAGTCTTACGCTGAAGTCTTCTTTCCTGTTATCACACTGATGGAGGAGATGCCCCAATATATTTCCTTCACTGTCACCGAGAAGTGTGGGTCCTTTATAATCGCTTTGAGGAAGTCTTCCTCGGTATTAGCATACTCGACCATCCTTACATTGATGATAGCGCTGACTCTGAAGTCGTGAACCTCTTCTCCATTAATTGATTACGGTCTGATCGAATTGTGATCAATATCTGCTCCATATCCAAGACTGCATGACTGTTCACTTAACTCAACTTGCGTGAAGCGGATAAATTTCAGTCTTTTCACCTTGGTCGGGATTTCAAACGAACTTTTCAACGAAGTTGATCTTGATGTCCACAATATGTCGTCTCCCTGTCAAATTTGAACAACTTCCGATGAATAGTCTAACTAATCGGAGTTCTTCCGACATGTCTCATTCATAATCTAATTCTAACTATTAAACTGCGATCTGGTGAATAACGCGATTCTGTGTGCCTTTGTCATCGTCCATCTTCCCATTGTCAGATTTTAGCGATTTCTGAGCTGAACTTCTTGCTTTCTCAGCCGGCTAGGACACTTGGCTAAAACTACACTGATCTTTTATCGTAATTATTTTGGAGTAAATACTCCTGTTTCAGCTAATAAGTATAGCTTATGATTTTCAGTCTCTTTTAATCAGCAACCTCAAGAGAAGAGAATGAAAGGGGCATCTCTTTGGTTTCATGGATGCGGCTAGATCCCTACAGCATCAGTATTACCATCGGCAATCTGTATCATGACACTTATGATGTCGGAATTATCTAATCTATCCTGCCTGGTTTGAACTGTCTACATGTACATACTGCCGGGGCATCTCTATATAGAGCTCTCTTTTATCCAAGAAGTATGTCAGTGCTTGGTGTTAATGTCCACCATTTGTGAATGGAAATATGCATGGAAATATGTATGTCAATCGTTCTCCATGTTAACATTATCACAGTTTTTTCTCTATTTATGGAGTCAATGGAAACACATTAGAGTTACATGAAAAATGTAATCGAAGATTTGATTTCTTCCTGCGAGGAGGTTTTATTTTACTATCTTTTTATAAAATCTGATTTCTTATTCGAAGGGTATTTCCGGCCGAGGCATGCGACGAGTTAGGAGAGGAGTACTGCGGAATGGAGGGAGTAGGAAAGGAGGTGAAGCCAAAAGCCCAGGCTATCAGCGAAGAGAAGCCTTCATCTGAGGCTGGTGTAGATCGTGAATACGAAGAATACAAGGGTGATAAAACGTAAGTCGATCTTCTGTCATTCATGTTCATGACGATTACATGTATATGCTTGTATAACCTTGTTATAGAAATACAAGTTACAAGAAACAAGTCAGTGAGGTACTATTATCCAGGTGCATGGATCTGGTAGTGGGGCCAATATCGGAAGGGTGAGTTGGAAGTAGAACTGTATGCAGGTTAGATTACGTATTCCTTCTTCGGTTTTGCGCTGCAGGTCATGCCAATAGTTTTGAAAGTTTCCGAAGGGCCAATTATCATGTCCCGGCAATGTAGTGGAGTGGCGGTTCAGTAAGTCATGTCTTCTCGGCAAAATCAGAAAGTCTTGAGTCCAGCGTTACAAGAAACTTTTGGAAAATTGTTCCGAATGTGGAGTTCTGTATCGATGCAGAAGCTGATCTGTTGCGACGTATCTTCTCTGGTGCAGAGTGTTCCCTGGTGAGGCTTGTGATGAGCTGGGAGGAGAGTTCTGCGACCCAGAGTATCAAAAGGATGTATTCCCAGAGAAGAAGTGAGAATAACGGCTTAGGTGCGGACTGTGGGCCCTTGTATGTAGCAATGTACATATGATGGTGCAGTGTTTACCCGTTGAAATATAGGGTCTAGTTGCGAGGGAATATCTGCACAAGACTGTTGACGCAGACAGTTTGTTTGCTGTAGAAGAAGACGAGCTCAAAATAGCTTCATGTCATTATAGCCAGGAAAAAATTGTACACTAATATTGAGCTTTAAATGCTTTTAAGAAGCGGTGTAGCAAACTCCTCCCTTGACTCTGGTGTTCTGATCTTTCTGTTAAGGCAAACTGCAGTGATATGTGTAAATCTGTATATAAACTCTTTGTGTGACTCTGCTTCTTATGCATGTGAAAACGGTTAATCTTACAGCACCAAGACGTTTACATCTTCCTTATACCATTCTGTGCGACTACTGTTGACAAGATTATCACACTGCATACTTTGTGAAGAGAAGAAAAATGAAAAAAAACTGAACATAAATATGATCAGAAAACTAGCATCATATACTGCATATTGAAAATATCCTTCAACAAACTTTTACTGTCTGTATACATTTCAATACCCATATAACATTTCCCATATACGCAAAAGTTAACTTTGACACTACCGCTCATTCCACCTTCAAAAATTGTGCACTATAGATAACAATCCTTCACACCATTGCGTCACAATTCCACTCAAATATCTTTTCTTCTACTACATCTACTTTACTCTGTTACAGTATAAAATCATCAATTAACATTACACCCACTGTTGTACAAAATTTGAGACAAATGAAGCAACCAATATCAAATGTTCTTCCTCAAGCTCCAAGTTGCTTTACTGATCGAATCGTAGCGCACATGTTAACGTTTAGTGATGATACGTCACAGTACTCGCCAATACATGTAAATATCTACGTTGTTAACTTCGTTTACATGTGAGATACATCCTTATAGTTTCCACCAAACGAAACATGAACCAAAATAGCTTACAGAATTTGAGACATGCTGTTGAAACCACTGAGTCTTTGATTAATATTCATCATCCCAGACCAAAACTTGATCAGAACATCACCCACGAGAACATTCTTGTGTACGGAAAAGCCTGACCATAATGCCATCTTCACCTGCCAAACTGAAGAGCAACGTTGTACCTCTAACCCGATCCGAACCCTCCTTGAACGTGGCTAGACAAATCTACGTCTAAACCCTAAATTCTCACACGACTTGCTCAAAAAACTCAGCCTGACATTTCGTCACCGCGCTTGGTGGCAGCAATTACGGCGTTCATCAGAGCCGCACGAAATCCGGCCTTCTCCAGTTCATGAATTCCTGCAATTGTTGTGCCTGCATGGAACATGAAGTTTGCAAATGAGGCCTGACGTTCACCAGGTCCCTTTGGAAGCCCAAATGCCTCGATCAGTGAGCCTACTTTCACTCAACAATCGTCTGGGCATGCTGCTATGGGCTCCCACTTCAAACGTTTCGATGTTGGACAGAGACTCCACAGTACGTAGAGATCAACCGAAAAGCATTTTGGAAACCAAATTCGATGCCATATGCCCGGAGACAGAAGATTCACGGTGCTGCTTTCTCAACCAGCTTACTATCCCAAACTACGAACAGAAGGTCCAGGATTCATGGACATTCTAGCGTATACTAGAAGGAATAATGAGTTTGACTAAATATTGATCACATAGCTCGCTGGAGAGTTACTGGTGCTCGTTGTCATGAACTGCTTTGGTCACAGAACTGACCCTCTTGATCACCTTGCTTCTCGGTCGATCTATTCACCGTTGTTTCCCTTATTTTCACTTCTGGTTTCTGGCGTCTTGCTCCTATGTAACAAACAAACATCTTTGGGTTGATTTCATGCTCACCTGCAGGTGAAGCCACCTCGTCTTTCAGCTGCCCGGGGTGCTTTCCCGTCTCAATCACCATCTTGGCTGCTCCCAAAACCTGTCGTCAACAACACCAACCAGGACTGCAATGAGATAGTCTGGCGCCATGAATACAGGGCCGATTGACAGAAGCTCTGGTGATAATTGAACTGGACTGATGAGGGTTAGTAAGGGCTGGACCGTTTGTGCAGCCAACGAACGCGCGACGTCTCTCGGAAGTCCCGCGGCCACTCCGCCATCGGCCAGAGCCTCGATGGCTATAAACACGTAAGCAGGCCCACTTCCACTGCACATGCAGAAAGCCAAATCCCGAAAGCTGCAGATGAGTAATAATTGGTCGGAAGTCTTTCAGGTGCAGACTAAGGAGGTGGAGGAGGTTTGGGGGTGGCGAATGAACATGGATCGAGAGCTCTAAGTGAGAGGACTTGATGCTGGGAAACGAAGAACAGAACACGATGGCGGCTCAAGTCCTTACCTGAGGCCTGTAACGGCATTCAGAAGACTCTCTTTGACAACGTGGATTTGCCCCAAGGCTGAAAATAATCCCTTGACCAGCTCTACGTCCTCCGTTGTAGCCAAAGTACCGGGACTGAGCGCTGTCCGAGATGAGCCGAACAAGCCGACACAATATTAGTGCAGTGCAGTGAAGAATCTTCAAGCAATCTGAGATCAGAAGTTTGACAGAACATGGAGACATCGAAGAACTGACTACTCATATTCCAAAGCCTCGTACCCTGGCCTTGGAGAGCTTCCGAATCAAGACCCTGGCATCACATTGATTCGTCCTATACTCACGGTCCAATGCTAGTCAAGGAGGAGTCTGAGATTCAGCAACATGCTGCAAGTAATCTTTCCAGATCCTTCAACAAACAAGTGACTAAGGATTCCTCGAGCAGCAGCACCTGGTAGGTGAGGACAATTGGTCTGCGAATAATATGCTTCATGGTGTAGATTTGTATCAGAGCACACCTGCTGCGGTTTCACCGACTAAACACGGAGTATTCGGCATAACCCTCACCACTCTCGCACCTCCAGCCCAAGACTGCAGTCACATCACTTACAACGTCTGAATTCGACTACACTAACCAAGAGCAAAGCTGAATTCAGGTCCGCTCTTCTTGTCAGGTCAGGCTGCGACATTTCTGTATCGCCACATTTGGCAAGCCTGCAATTACAGGTCCAATTTCGACCAGAATGATAGCGCACTAAAGAGAGCAGCTCATCTGAAAATAAGGAAAAATCAATACTGGAGAACAGGTGAAACCATGGCAAAACCTCCAAATCTTTTAGTGCGACACCCGCAGCGATGGACACTACAAGATGATTCTTCGTCAGCTGAGAACTCGCATCCGATAGCACAACCGGCACTGCAAATAGACGATGCAAAGGGCCTCAGAATCATGCGCGCCTTGCACAGTATATCTATCTGAACTGTATGCCAATTCATGATAATGACATTCAGAATGAACTCAGGAAACATACCGTATTGTGGCTTGACTGCGACGATGAGCACATCGCTGTTTGCAGCCACCTGTATAAACGAAAATGCAAACGGAACAACTTTCAATTTCATGGCTTACGTCCACAATCAAAAGGAAGCACTTGGAAGGAATGGCATAAATTGATTTCGTTCACCGGAATTGAAGTGGATTCTACTGTCAACTTTCACTTCTCTGCGAATGGACGCTAATCGCAGGAATAGACCATTGACAGGAGCACAGCATGGGGCAATTGATAGAGAAACAGAGAAACTCGTTCAGGTGACATTCAAGCATGTGACAAGGAAAATTGAGAGTGAATAAGACGAGCAAAGGTCTGCGTCTGGAAATTGAAGAGAAGAAACTGATCAGGTGCGAACTGGATTTGTTGAAACGCAGCGAACACACTCATCCACTCACATCGGCATTAGATGGCTGCACTGACACGCCGAATCCTTGGAAAACTTTTTGGCGGCTCGGACTGATGTCCGAAGTAGTGATGCGATGTGCAGGAATTACGCCTTTATTGACCAAACCCCGAGCGATGGCCTCTGCCATTTGACCCGCCCCGATAAATCCCAGCCGAGTACTTTCCGCGAGCTCGAACCCCATGGCGGCCCTGGTGGTGAGACCCGTGGCGACCCGAAGTAAATCCATGGCACCCCAAATTGACCTGGCAAAAGAACATCGTCTCCGAAATGCAATCTTGACAATCTACCTAAAAACAACTGAAGTTCAGGAATGAGCAGCTGCACAGGGCATCCAAACCTTTGGATTTCGTCCCTCCTGCTTCGATTCCTTTCAGTTCTTCGGAGGGCCACTCACTTCCCCACCTTTCACAGCAGCAGCAAACACGCGTCGAACCTCGAATATCCTCTTCTCTGCAGAGGATGAACGGAAGCAGGAGGGCGGAAGACTGTTCGGATCTTTCAAATTTGCAATCGCCGGGGCCTTCACTGGCTCAGAATCTGCAAATGCAAACACGAAGAGCTAGACCAAGATCCACTGGCTCCGCTCGAGACAAAACCCATGTCAGCCCAGAGCACTCGTGGGCAAGCAAGCAGACAGATGAGAGTCGAGCGGCTCCAGGCCGGTTTCTGCCACAATCTATTCTGGGGCCCGCCACCTCCACCTCCACCATCACTAGCAACAACTAAACCTTCGATCTCTCCTACCCTCGGGTCTAAACTACTGGAGAGCAGAAATGCACATAAAAAATGGACACAACCAAATCGAGCGCCGCCGATAAGCGCGCGTCACGTCTCCCCGGCATCTCGTCGCATCACATCGCACCCATAATCTGACGGTGTCTTGAGCACCATTCTCTGCTCGCAGTCCTCTCTAGGTCGAAATTTCCGCTTTGAAGAGAGCCAGGTGACAGAAGGGAGGACGCCAATCTTCTTCCGCGTGCAAACCATCTCCGCAATCCCTTCCGATCTGTGGACATGGAGGTTGCTCCGTTCGTGGTCGATGAGGGTTTGTAAACTCGGTGCTTACTGGTCCTCTTGACGGTTTGAGGTTTCATGTTGCAGAATGTCGTCTGAAGATCGATCGATCTATCCACGACTTGCCTGTAATTGCGACTGTCATCGTGAGTTCGAAGTTGGCATGCGCTCGAGAGAGCTGCCTTTGTGCCAGTGGTCGAGCTCCTTTTTATCGACGAGCAAAGCTGCTCGCTGCCGTTCATTTCGTTACTTCTATGGAAGCATTGCAACCTCTGAGCCGACCAGACAAGTGACAGGACGGGCCGTGGCCTTTAGGCAATGGAGGCCGTGCAGAAACTAACGAGAAGAGTTTTTTTTATGTCCCATGGTTGAGATACCAACGAATTCCTTTACATGGACAACAATCGAAACCTGGACTTTCGTGGTGTTCGCTCACAACAGATCAGAAGTAGTAGACCCCGAGCTGGTCCGCTGCTTTCCATTCACATTGCATTTGTTTAATGGGTGTGATCACGAGCATGGTGAGAAATTCCAAACCCTGAGCTGTGAGGTGACATCGCACAATTGACAATATGATTGTAGACCATAAATTTGGAACTGATTAAGATATGTGAGTTACCTGTACTGATTTGAGCTTCTTATCCTCATATGGAAAATTGTTACATCCATTATCAAACTGATGATTTTTGTATATTATTTTTCACTTCAAATCGCACACGTCTAACAAGCATTAATCATATGAGTAACCAAATTTCACCTATCTCAAATTAGGCCAATTTCACATCTCTTAAATACTGGAGGACGGCTTTTGTTCCTCGATCCAAGATCGGTCTCCTTATGCTGCAAAACAACTCACACGTGGAATATAAGCTTATTGCTGTGATCAGTTTCTGCTGACTTTAAAAACCAGAAAATAAGTGGATGCTGTCTTGATATCATTTTCATCGATATGACAATGATAACAGGACGGCAAATTATGGCTTCACGCTTAGAGGAAGACGAAATTACACACAGAGCTATGAAATTACAGATGTACGAACAAGCAGAGAAGCGTCCCAAGTTGGATGTGTAGACGACCTCCTGCTATTGACACAACACAAAAACGTGAAATAGTGTTGACCATTCTGCAAAATGATATGAGAAGTATACCTTCGCAATGGATTTCCTTCCAGCTTCAGGCTCCGCATGGTTGGTTCCAACAAGCCCTGATTGTAAAACACATACAAAACTTAAGTTAGATGTGAGATAAAGAATCTACTACCTGATCGGGATCCATACACACTCAGGGATTAACCTGAAGAACAACAAAGTGGGAAGGTGTTACGAATTAAGAAAGCACACTTACAAGTTTTGGGGATAAGGTTGTGATATTGTTATTGGCAAGATCAAGCTCCTCCAATTTCGTGAGTTGGGACAGCGTCTGCAAGCGGGAAGATCACCTCAATTGGAGAAACAATTATATTTTGAGCTGTAGAAAGAGTCGTGTTCAGTTAAACATAACATGATAGAAAAGCTGTCATATACGCACCTCCGGAACAGTTGTTAGAGAATTTTCACTCAGGTCCAAAATTCTCAAACCCAGCATTTCAGGAATATCGGATGGGATCTCCCTCAACCGCAGACGACTGCATAATGCACATGTCAAAAAGTATGTCCTATTACCATTATGTCGAAGTAAAGGTAAATTTACCGAATATCACATTCTTGGAAGTAATCTAACGCTTCTTGATTCAGAAAGGGGAACATCTTGCAAATACCTTAAACGGAGTTCTTCCAAAAGAGGCATCAACGAGAATGCAGGAGCAGGCGGTAGTTGGCCAGATATCCCACTCAAGTCCAAGATTTTCAATTTTTCCACAGAACCGAATGCTCCGCTTGGGATCTGACAGGCACGTTTCTATATTAATTTGCCTTCCAGACATTGCGCTTTCGACGATGTTAGTGTCGACTACAACATCCTCTCCTTGTTTTTTTGGCACGCAGCGTAGACACCAACTCCTCATACTTGAATCCGCCAATCCTTTTCAAGGGCTCTACTCAATTGAATGTGTTTCTTATGATAACTACAAAGCGCGAACATTCAAAACAGCACTTACGTTGCGGAGCGGATTTCGAGCCAACACGAGCTGACGAAGACGAGGTAGGGACGCAAGAGTCTGTGCAGGCCATTCTTCGATCTTGTTGTCCGGCACCAAAAGAACCTGCGGCTCAAGTTTACAAAGACAATGATCATAAAAGGGATTGGATGTCGACCCTTAAAGGTAAACTCGACGCAAAAAGTATCATGCTGCAATAGAATAAAAGTTGCGCAAAATTGATTATATTTTCTTTTGTATGTAGTTTTGATATAAGTTCTCTCTCGTGATGAAGTTCATCATTAAGACTAGGCCCAGCGGAGAACCAAGCAAGTCTATGCATTGAGCTGCCAGAAGTCAAAAAGTGAAAATAGCCTTGAGTCAAGAAGCCGAGTAAAGTCCGCTAACCTCCAACGATGTGCAATTCGATAGTTCACTTGGCAAGTCCTTGATCTGATTTCGGGAAAGATCAAGACTAGTGAGCGAGTCTGACTCCCACGCTGCTTGTGGAACAGATGCTAGGCTCTTTCCAGAGAGTGAAAGAACCTGATACAATAACGCGTTTCCAAGGAATTAATACATATATACCGATGTCACTAAAGATTCAGTTCACTTAATTCGGGAACCACGACAAACGGACAGGAGAACGTCATGAACACCTACACTGCTGTGAAAGCCATGTACGGATTACTTGTCGGTGCTCTTGAGAACGACAGCAATGCTTGTCTAGGCCTGAATCTTATCAAGCTTGCATGAACCTAATCTTTGTGAAATTGTAGCATTTTGCCGGCGTTTTTGTCTACATTATGACGTGCACTTGTTGTGATACTTGATCTCTTCCGACCAATTTATGCAGCAAAATTTGCTTGGTAGTTGCACGGAAATTGTCGTGGAATTTGTGGAAGGAGTTACATCTGCCACTCCTCATTCCTTGTATAGGGCAGTAATTCGTACGAAATTTTTCAAAAGAAACTGGACTTCTACAGTCAAAGTGAAAACAGACTGCGGAGAAGTACCCACCTTAGTTGCTGCAGCCTGTCGTGCCGCATAAACAACTTGATCTGGCACATCTGTCACAAAGATATTTCCAGATACGGGAGCACTCATCTTCGCTTCTGCAGACAAGACGGTGGTTGATGATATTTGCAATTCCCACAGTGATTCCTCCCAAAACGCTTTCTCAAGCCTCACAGACAGCCACAAGGATAGAGGTCTGGCTTACGCACTTCAGACAAACAAGTGGAATGCAAAACAAACACATGTATAGTTTTTTGTTTCATGAATTGTTATGGTACATAGAACTGGAAGTACGCACCACTCTCTTCATCCTGCAGTCTACTCCGGAGAAACTTCAGCAATGCAGGTGTAGGACCTGAAACGAGAGTGCTGTGAAATTGAAACAACATAGTCAATACTTAATTCATCTAGGACATAAATCAGATGATCATCAGAGTGGGCCGATCATCTTGAAAAATCAATTACTACTTTTGTAGTGACGAGCGCTTCGCATATTAAATTCGAATGAGTTGGATTATTACCTCCTTAACGACCTCAAGGGATTCCCTACGAGGACGAGTTTCCTCAAGGAGCTCATATTTCCTGAAGTTGACAATATTGCCAGCGAAATTCAGTCACTCGATAAACACATTCGCGCTCGTTTCTCTAGCAACATATCCAGCTATTGCGCCAAGACAAATTACACTTTTCATGAAATTGCGGATCCGAGAAAAGAAGAACTCAGGTCGCGATCGAACAACACAGATAGCATGTTGTGAAGCACACAACATGCCATCCATAGCGCAAGACAGTAGCTCCCTAACAGCTTCAAAGCTTTTCCGTGGTTCTTACCTAGTTCTGCAGGCAGGCCCGATAAGTTGTTGTTCGATACGTCTAACACTGAAAGCTGAAGCTCACAAAGCTCTTTTGGAAGTTCTTTCAACTGCAGAGCGAAGTGACGAGTCACTTAGATGAAAAGGATTGCCTACGAACCAGTAAAATCTTCCCACACAAGATGAACTTCGTCCTCTTAAACGTACACATCCTGATGTAATATGATGCTTATTCTAAGAATGGATGCCTAGGCATTGAGAAGCATGAATTCTTTCAAAATCGAAACGCGATGGGGAGATATTGTCTATGATCCATGGGTCTCCATTCGGGAAACCGTATCCAAGCGGAGAAAAAAGGGAGTCACAGAAATAGGACTAATGTGTTGACCTGATTTGCATGTAAATCGAGTGTACTCAAAGCACCAAGGCTTTTCATCTCTACCGGTATGCTGGTTAGATTGTTGTCTCTGCAGACCAACAGACATTAGTAAGAATTTTTCAGCGCACAGATCTAGCGGCTTTTTTCCTGAACTCAGCACCGTCATGAGCTCGATCAGATTCGTCCTGAACCATACTGAGACATCAAGGCCTACTTGAGGCTGTTCACAGGTTACTTTCTACAGCTGATCACTTCAATGTAGGATAGAAGACTAGATGACTATGCCTAAATCCTAGAGATATGTAAATTGATAGAAATGGATTATGCTTTAGCTCACAAACGTGTCCGTGAACTGCAAAGAACCCGTAAATGAAATCAGCAGTAACTACGTACCGAACTTCAACTGTGCCAGAATCTCTCAAGACCAACAATATGAATGAAGTCACTATCAGGTTTTTAGACTGTAGTGATAGGTAAGTCTGTCGACCGTCAAATCATGATTTGGTACCGCAACAACGAGGGCAGTGCTTAAAGCAGGTTCTTGGCACTCAAAGCAACAAGGGGAAGGGAACAAACCCCAGAAATAACTCGATAAGTCCTGTACATCCAGCCAGTGATGGTGGTACATCAGTAATACCTGCATACAACGACATACATCAAGACTCATGAGAATGTAGCCATCGTCATGCTCACAAGAGAGTCTTGACCTACATGATGTAGAATGTACCCCTGATGATGAAGTATTTCCATGACTTGTGCAATAAAGGAATTCTCAGCACGAAGTGTACGTCATTTTCGTACGGTTTTGATGTACATCCAGGCGGATGAGCTTCTTCAGTTGTCCAACATCTGAGGGTATTCCCTTCAAGAAATTCTTCGCTGTACAGCCATAGCACGTTCTAATTAGTCATTCAGGAGCGATCTAACTGAGAGGTTTGTGAAATCAGTGTCACGTGGGACTGAATTTTGTCAACGTATGTCGAGAAGAGTATAGGTGCTGACATAAAATACTTACACGCATTCAACTCTGTGAGATTGCTGAAGTTGCCAAGGATATTATCTGGGATCTGCGTAAGCTTATTACCCTGTCAAGACCATAGAAATCTGTCATTTTCTATCCAATGATCACACCTCGTATCCTTTCCTTGAAACCACAAGGCCAACCGTATACCAGAGTTTGGCACATTCGATCTCCGTACTGAGACGGACCACCTAACGTGTGGACGGAATCATTGAAAAAGAGTTGAAGGGATGAAGACTGAACTATGAAAACACACAAATCACGCAGAAGTTTTGGTAACGCTTCTTTCCATCTCCATCTCTCTCCACGTCCATATCTTAGATGACAATGCAAAACCAGAATTAGGGTATTCGTTGCTGATCAGTAGGGAACAATTCGGATGTGCACAAGAAAGGACTGATAGTATATGGAACTCCTTACCTCCAAGTCTAAGACAGTAAGTCGCGAGCATTGACACAGCTCCTCTGGTAACTCTGTTAATGAGTTGTTTGGCACCTGCGTCAACCAGATTCCAACTACCCACGATCTTCAAACCAAAACATTTCCAACGAGACTTAAAGTATAGACTGATTCACGCAGTAAAGATCCAAAGATACAAATTCTGGAACAGTATTATATTCTGGAAGAACCGTGCAGAAAGGTACCTTTAACTCTACCAAGTTCTTGAGGTTGCCAAGACTTGGTGGTAAAGAGGCCATCAGGTTGCTAGCACAATGGAGTCTGCAGAGGGTTTCGAGAAAATATCATGTAGACTTCAGGGTGATCACAGTGCCAGATAGAAAAGGATGTCACCGTAATAGTACACAGTAGAATCACACAGATCCAAGCAGCAGTTATCTGCTATGAGGAGCAATTGCAGAGTTTTGATGAAATTTTTTACGAAGAATGGAGAATACAGGTGGTATCAAAAATACAGTACAGGGTACATGAAGCCCAGAAGTGGGCAAATATCTTTGCACTAGTTGGTACTGAGGAACGAGATAGAATACCTCGTGAGAGAGACGACGGCCCCGATCTCCGAGGGCAATTCAGCAATTTTATTATGAGAGATGTCGATGACCTTCAGTAAGCTCAGCCTGTTGAATTAAGCCGTGAGACAAATAAGCACATGTTCTTGTTCTCGACGGCAGGTGGTTCCAGTGCAGTATTTATTCAAAAAGACGATACGCTCGTTTTAAAGGTGTTGGAGTTGAGAAGCTTGATGTTCGTGAAAACACGAACATTCTACTTTCTGTTAGTCAACAATCTCGGAAGAAAACTACATACTCGGAAATAGCTGCAGGGAGCGACGTCAGCTGGTTGTGACTGACATTCAGAAGAGTTAGAGAAGTAATTTTTCCCAAATCTTCTGAGAGCACCGTAATGTTGTTGTGTGCCAGAATCAACTTTTGCAGCTCTACAACCTATATCAGACAACAACCAGTGGATAGAATCAGCCTTCAAATATCAAATTGGTGACAACATCGTGAAAGTGAACGGCCCGATACATGACTCAATTTCCAGTAGGAAATTAAGAAAATTGTACCTACCTCCCACCATTTCTCGTCCGTGCCCACGGTGTCCAGCATCTTGTACACGTCTGGAGGAACCTCTCTGCACAAGAAAAAACTCAAATTCAGACTTTAATTCCTCACTGTATGGGCTCCTTCTCAAGCGTATCTTCATCGGAGACTCCATCATACTACACTTCCTCTCCGCGGTGAGGATTTTTATCAAAGCTCGTGGATGAAATCAGCTCTACTGGTGCTGGGTACCAGAACTAGAGAGTTTTTATAGTGAGGTTTTGTATAATGACGTCGTGTATGCTGATTAGATTGCTGATTAGATCGAGCTCAGGAATTTGTTCCACGAACATTCGTACCACGATCATGGAGGTCAACATAATCTGCAACGTAACCCAACGTGCTCGCCAATTTGCAGCGCGTATTGGGACAAGCTAGAGGGTGAAGCTACCTGAATCTGATTTTCAATCGTAGGTGGGCAAATATTTCCAAGGGGAAGAAGAGCAGTCAAGACTCAGGAGCACGTGTGCCCGGTTCGCCATTTGCCCTACAATTCATTGAAATTGGAAACAAGACAAAGGATCTTCTCTCTTCATTCTAGTGCTGCTAGACTCTCATTTGCTGGCTCCCTCGAGTTGGAGCACCTTTTGAACCTAGCCGATGACAGAGCACAATGAGGCAAATAATTCGTCGATGGAGCTGATGGAGACGAGAGATCTTATTTGATGGACCACTTCCATGGTCCAATATCGACGGTAAAATCTGAGAATCAAGCTCAAGAGACAGGGATCTGTCCGCGATGCCACTTGGAGAAAGGCAGCATCCAATGTTATCGATCAGCGCCCGAAAAGTAGCACGACCGTGATGGCGCAAGATGCACCCATATTGGCATCATCAGAACAAACGTCAGAAGTGAGTTTCTCCCTCGGCATTGATATCAACGATAGACCCAGTAATGTTAGGGGTCAACATTGACCTCGGGTTACTAGGAAGTCCTCCAAAAGACACTGCGTGAGCCAGCGAGCGAACAAGCAGGCAAGCTTGAAAAGAAATCATTACTTGAGAGAGCGATTGGACAGATTGAGTGAACCAGAAGCCCGCGCGGATTTCAGCACCCTCTCCATGTGGACTGAAAAATTGGGCGAGCGAGTCTTCTTCTAGTATATTCACCTGTCTGTCTGTCTGTCTATCTATCTAAATATCTAAAAATTTCGAGCTGCTAAAACTGCCATGTCCTCCTGCAGCCAGCGAGCCATTACACTCTGCAAAAGCCCCAGTCAAGTTTCCACCCTCTTCCTTCACTCCGTCGCTTCTTGCAGATCTTTGTCCTCAACAAGAGGACGAGCGATCCAAATTACTGCATTAAGCTTCTCCGGATGCGAGAAGCTTAACGCATGCAGAGACCACTCGAGGTCCAATGTTCTGACTGAAATAGGTTAATGACAAATCTGATCACCGATGTTTATGATCTGCCTTCCTTCATCCCATGTCACAGAGCAAATCCTTTCAGGACGACAAATCATTGGTGAAGGTCAACTCCTTCCTCTTCGTGTCAGTCCAGTTCTCTATCTCCCTCCTCCACCTTCCTTCCCCAACGAAGATGCAGCTCCCTGTACAATGCCTCCCAGCTCAGGCAACATGTCGCTGGCGGACTCTACAAGCAGCACCATATAGCCGCCAACACTCCACCATCACCATCTCCTCCCCACTTCTGTCAATAGATCTCTAACCGTAAAAGAGCCAGGGCACAACGGCAACAGTAATTCCGGTCCCTCTCATTAGCTGGCATCCGAATTACTGCGCCAGAGGCCTTTCCGCCCTCGTCCGTCTGTTAAGTTTGGTGAGAAAGGGAAGCCTTGCCTTGCCTTGCCTCCCCTCTTCTCTAAAGCACACTTGTCTCACACCTCTTTATATTATATATTGCTCCGAGGCACGAGCGAGTACAGAGCTAATTCTTGGAGCACACGCAGATTTGCTCGCTTCGGCCTGTACTGTGCCTCCTCTTGCATTGGTGTCACGGCTGGTTCAGTATTGAAGGAAAATTGGTGTGGAAAATGGTGGTGGGCGTGGTGGGCCTTCACAGTAGATAAGCACATGTTTATCGTCTCCATGGGCAGTTCACCGAGCCGATTCACATCTCGTTCTCAAACAAATCGAGGTCTCGATTGGCTGGGGGCGTTTTCCATCCGAGTCCTACTTGGTTCTTCACGGCATGCAATCAATGTTTCTTCTGCTCGAATGTGATACTGAGCCACAACCAATATCTCTCGACGTCCCAGGAAGGAGGCAAGCTGCTAAGCCTTTTCCTTCGCCGGACAACGTACTCTCCAAGAAATAATGTTCAGACCAAATGCATTTGCAATGAGCGGCCATGAAATGCCCGGCTTCTTCCCGGTTGGCAGTGGTTGGCGCCCTTGGACCGCCACATTCCTCCGGGGAACTCTGTTGAACGTCGCTGATGAGCTAAATATGACAAAACCAACGACACAGGACCCATCACAAAAAGGCAGAATGGAGAGATTGTACGTGGAGCTCTAGCCAAGGAACAATGCGTTCGTCAAGTATTGACATGGAGACCCAGACACCCAGAAACCCGTCAACCGCCGAAGCTACTGGAATGTCATCAAGCTTCACCATGTTTTCACGACTGAAGTCTGCGGTCCACGCCAGTGAAACACAATATCACGGACTGTTGTTCATTCATTGCGACCCGGAAATTATTCACTCAATGGTCCCTCGTCATCTGCTGGGCGACCATACATACAGTTGCTGCTGTCGTAGTCCACTGCTCCAGGTCTTCAGTGCATGCGAGCTTCGAAACAGACGAGAAAGCCGAAGAAGAGCGAGAAGATACGAGATTTGAAGTCAGATTGGAAGCATTCACACGCACTTTCCGATGATATGGGAGGGCCTAGACTCCCGATAAATCACACAACGATAGATTACTGGAGCGTGATGGATAATTGCCATACCATATTTCGATTAGCTATGAAAATGGACCTAGTTTACAAATAAATCGGCTGGGGTCTAATGGGATGGCTTTGAAAAGAATCTCTGTGTATCCCTCTGCTGGCAGACAGAGCACTCTGATTTAAAAATCGTCGACTAAGCTTGTCGGGACCGAATCCGGCCCTTATCATTTGCTGGCACACAGCTCTGGCTTCGTCTAGTTTGCCCACATGAGCGTAAGCGTGGATCATGGTGTTGTAGCAGGCTTCGGTGGGTTGAATGCCTTGGGACTGCATTTGTCGGAACAGACAGGCAGCTTGGCCTGGCAAGGAAACCTGCCCATACGCATTCATCATAATGTTGTACAATGTGGCATCAGCCCGGCACCCAGACTTCTGCATTTCAGCAAAGCACGCATTCAGCTCGGCCAGCATGCCCTGCTTGCCATAAACCTGAATCAACGAGCTCCAAGTCACGACATTGGGTCGGAACCCGGCCTGCTGCATTTGCTGCAGCGCCTGCTCGGCTTCCCTGGGCCGACCGGCTCGGCCGTGGACGTGCACCATGAGGCTGTAGGTCATGAGGTCGGGCTTGCAGCCACAGGCCTGCATCTCAGCAAAGCAGTCGACGGCTTTCGAGGGCAGGTGCGCTTGATTGAACATCTGGATGAGGGTGGTGAAGGTGATGGTGTCGGGCTTCAAGCCGGCGTCCGTGAGGGTGCGGAAGACGTGCACGGCCTGCTCGACCTGGCCAGCGCGCGCGTGCAGGGCGATCAGAGTGTTGAATGTACAAAGATCCGGGAGGTGATCGCGCTGGCGCATCTCGTGCAGCATGGCGGAGGCGGCATTGAAATTGCCGGCCTTGCTGTAGAGCATGATGAGCGTGTTGTAGGTGAAGCGGCCGGCGGGCACGCCCGACTGCTGCATCTTGGAGAAGAGCTTCTCGGCCATGTGCACGGGCATGTCGGATTTGGCGATGCCGCTGAAGAGCGTGTTGAAGGTGACCTCGTCGGCCTCGAGGCCCTGCGCGCAGAGCTCCTCGTACAGCTTCCAGGCGCGCTTGAAGAAGCCGCTCCTAACGTACACGCCCATCATGGCGTTGAAGAGCACGACGGAGCGCAGCGCCTTGAGATCGGCCGAGTCGAAGAGCTCGCGCGCCTTGCTCACCATGCCCGCGCGCCCCAGCACGCCCAGGATCGTGCTGTACACGTGCTTGTTCGGCTTGAGCCGGCCCGACTGCTTCTGCATCCAGCTCAGCACGTCGAGCGCCACGTCCGGCTGCTTCAGATGCCCCAACGCCTTCATCAGATTCGTCAGCTCCACGCGCGTCACCTTGCCCTGCCACGAATTCAACACGTCGTCCACCAGCACGCGCGCCTCCGCCTGCTCGGCAAGAATCGCCTCCAGAATCTGCTTCTCCCTGCGCCGGAATTCGTCCTGCGTCCATGGCGGCAGCGGCGCCATGCGCTTCTGCCTGCGCACCCCTGTCCACGGCTTCTTCTGCCGACTAGCTGGCTCCGCGCTGGCGCTGCTGCTCACCCCAGGGCTCTCATCGTCGCCGCGCTGCTGCTGTGGCTGTTGGTCCAGCACCAGATCGTCCAGCTGCTCGGGCAGCATTCGCAGCTGGTGCAGAGTGATCTCGAGCTGGTGCGCGGCCGACGCCGCCGACGACGATGACGAGGGCAGCACCAACGGGTCGCGGCTCAGCTCCGCCTGCTTCAGCGACGCGCTCACCTTCGAGGACGACGATGAGTGCGCCTCGACCTGCTGAGATGGCAATCCCATGTGGCACTTCAATTCGAATCCGCCTGCGCCTCCTCGGCTGCTGCTGCTCAGGCTGCATTGCTCCTTGGCGCCATTCCTGCTCGCCCAGCTGCGCCCGTGCAGCCGAATCAGGTCCTGCAAGGCGGCGGCCTTCCCCTGCACGCACGCACGAGACGGCACTGTCAACTAAACCCTCCCATCGACCCACATTACGCGACGGACGTGACAATTTGCATCATCGACCTTCGCGCCGCAACAAATTCGCGCCGCTAACAGACTGACAGATTGCCATGCCCACATCACAAACGTCAATTGCCAGGCGGGAGCGAGCGAGCGACTTACAAGATCCGCGCCCCTCACCGCAGAGCCGGCGCGGTACACCGCTGTCGTCGCCATCGATGTCCCAATCTCCGCTCGCTCGCTCAAACCTCCATCTCTGCCCTGTCCATCCCGACCCGCAGCAGCACACAATCGCCCCGCACAACGACGAATTGTCGACAAATTTGCGCCACCCGACGACACTGGCAATCGGGATTGCGCCACCGCACGAGCCAATTCCTGCTCTCCGGCAACGGGACGTCCTCGAGCAAACAAACCCCCGCGCCTAACGACCACCACCGCCCCAAGATTACACCAATTCGCAGCTAATATTCGCTTCCACTGCGCTTTCCACTGCGATTACTTTGCCACTGAGCTCGTCCTCCTGCGGCCCCACCCTGTGATGATCCGGTTCCTGCACAATTGAGCTCCTCCCTCCCGGTGCTCGTGGACAGGGACGGGGTTTCCATGGAACTTCAGCTCAGCTCAGCTCGGCTCGGCTGGCCTCACTCACACAGCTCAGTCGGTCGATTGAATCGGACACGAGCGACGATCGAAGGAATGGAGAACGGAGGCGATGGAGGAAGCAGGCCGAGGCCGAGGGGAGGGGGAGGGGGGGGGGGCGCTTCGGATAATGAAGCTGTGGCCTAGGCTTGGCTCGTTCCCCCGTCTGAGCCTCCACTCCACTCCAGGCCTCTCGCGTCTCGTGTCCTCTCATCGGTCGGCACTCTCACCGCTCTCTCTCTCCCCTCTGCGCTCCTCTCGCTCGACCCGTGCCTCCCTCCCGTCCCCACCAGAACCTCGTCTCTGCTGCTCTTCTTTTCCCGGGCCCACCTCGGGCCATCTCCGCCGTCCGATCTACGGAATCGGGCAGCTGGAGCCGCGCCATCTGCCAAGCTTTTGGCCCGGTCTTGGATTTCTTTCTCCCCTTCTTTCTCGGGGTCAGTTACTGCCCGGGGGTTTCTTTCTCCTCTTAGTCAGCCCGACGCCAGCCAGCGCGGGTAAAAGTCAATCGGAGATTCTTGGTCAGAATACACGTTGCGGGAGCGAGATGGGGACAGGAGTACAGTACAGTAAGTCGATGGCCCGACTCGGTACTCTGGACGACCGAGAGGTAAGTCGGCCCGGTGGTGCCTGACGACGCGTGGGATCGCATCGTAGGACAGAGAAATCAATTAAGAGAGAAAGACGGGATTGTACGTTTATATTATCTGATCGAGGAATTTCTCCTGGTGCGTTGAGAGCTCTCAACTCAAATCAATCTTCATCCACGACGACCGACCAACCGCCCGCTCTCTCTCCTTCACTTTCTCTTTCTCCCGCTCGTTTTCACTCGGGCAGTAAAATTGGTGAAACGTCAGAGAGGGCGTTGTGATATTTTCAGTTCCGTTACGGACAGGTCATATAGCAGAGCCCCACGAGGCGGTTAGCTCGTCGAAATCTTAAGGATTCGTCTTCCACCTGAACACAAATGACGACGGAGAAGATCAAGGCCGGAGGCTCGTCGTGGCGACTGCTGGCACATGATGATGCGCCTCCTCCGAGATTGCGCCTGTCCTGTCGACGATGACACTTCGCACCGGAGCGATATTTTTTTTCCCGATTTCAGTCGTGATCTCGAAATTTCCCTCCGTTCCTTACCAGTCCAAGATTTGATTTGTGAGCCTCGATAGGTCAACAGCGTGCGGCTGAGGCTCGGGCTCGTCAAGTGCACCAGAGATCGGAGTCCAGTCCGATAACCGAATGCGTGCACATAACGAGCCCTTGTCGTTCGCATCGCTTTCATCGTCTCGAGTGACTTGCGCGGCCAGCTGTTCATTCCGATTGGTGAGATCTTCGCTCGAGAGAGCGGTTTACGAAACACGGAATCGTTCTTTACGATTGTGCACCACATGGCTTCGATGGAGTACTTTCATGATGGAGGTTCACCTTGGAAGACTAGTGCTCGAGTCGAAAAAGCTCTTGCTCGACTGAAATTAGAAATGCATTGCAACGAACAGCATATTTTTTCGAAGCTCTTCTTTGGAGGCGAGAATACTCGCAGCTGAATCATGATTTTCACCCACATCTGTACGCAATCTCCATCAAGTGAAGGACGTGTATTCATCCAATCCAACAGACCCTACCCAAATACTCCCATGCTCAAAGTAATATCATATCAAACATATATCATATCATATTAGTTAAATTAATATCATATTGTCAGTGGCGCTTTTCGACCGCTCGGTTTACGAGATCGTCTGCGAAACCGAGCGGGCTTCGTACTCTCGCCTACTAGCGATCCGACTCATGTTGGGCAGCTGTGCCTCCATCTCTGACTGACATCTCCATCGTGTTAGTTACATTATCGACAATGGCTCGATGCAAACGCGTGTCTTGCGCCGTGGACTCGTGCCTGCCTGGAACTCCCTCGTGGGGAACATAGTCTTTCTATACTCTGCGACCGATGAGACGTATTATAACCTGGACACTTGAACTCTGCCCCCACACGCGCAGAGAGCCCTAGCATGGTCAATAGCCACATGCTTTTCGAAGCGTCACTGCGTCCGGCGCCGTCGTCCTACTCAAAGTTCTACCCTACTTCAAGGTCCCGCCGTTTGCAGTGTCATCTCATCCGTGTCCTGAGGTACTGTCTTTGCTAGTATCCAGCCACTGCGCTTTAACGTACTCGAGAATGAAGCTGTTAAATGAGACTCAACACTCGATGTTGTCTTGATCTCCCCTTATAGTATCCTTCAATGATGTTATTCACTACATGTGGAAGAGATAAGACAAGAAAGACAGAATTTCGTGTGAGTTTCATACTTTCTCCGGACCAAAGAATACCTGCAATCCGATTACTTCATCTTTTCCAGTCCTAGTTTGGGTGTGAGAAAGACCATATCCGATTTCGCAGTTTCTTGTGTTTATCAAACAGGAGCTTCATACTCAGTTGATGTTCTAGTTATCACTCTCGATTGCTTCAACTGCCCGATTGTGATGCTCTAAGTGATGCCAGCTCCCCAGGACTATACAGTATTCAAGACCCACATAATGTTGAAAACCGTGGGTCAGATCAAGTTTTACTTTACATCTAGCTTCAGCTTGGCTCTGTAATGTTCGACCAGTTTAAAAGTAAGGAGGGATCCAATTCCTCCTTGCGCTTGTAATGATCCAGGGAGACGGCTGAAAGGTCCCTCAAGAACACGACCCTAGTCAAAGACTCCTATTATGTTTATGGTCCCATGTTTGTCACACTTGTCTATCTCAAAGGTGAAAAAGAGATGCATCAATGTGACATTTGGTTTTAGTTGCGGTTTTCTGAAACAATCGTTGACTCTTAAAAGATTTTCGTATATTCAATCAGCAAGAACAACATTTTGACAAGGGCAGATTCGATCAACTGAAGTATGACAAGACATGCGCGGAAAGGGAAACCGAGTAACCTAGTTGGAAAGAATGGACGATGCGTATGATATGATGTAGTTTTGAAGTGTTTACTAAATTCCGTTAAGCGCCTACAAGAAAATTATATCCAAGCTCGCACACAATTTCGACAAGCGCACTTACCAAGTTGCGACGTGCAGGTCCCGGTGCCGATCAATCGACCTGCAATGATGCACTAAAGTAACAAGTATACATAATTTGCCTTCGAAAGCAGGAAACAACAAGAGGACTGAAAGACTTCTGGTCGAGACATCTCACTCGAACAAGGACGCAAGTGCATTGTAAGAGTAACCCGTTTCCAACACTATGGACACTGCATCTCGCCCATGGCTTCGAGGGAACAATCGCCGGACTCGTTTAGAGATGACAGAGAACGCTCAACCACGGAAAACTCAGACAACCTCTGGTTTCGTGCTGGAAGAATTCAAGGTAACACATGAGCTTGTCACCAGGAGAATACTTTGTGACATCTATCAAGCTAAATTCTAAACTATTGAACCCTCTTCAGTAGCTGGGTTTTCTTGCATATGGTGCTCTCTGGAAACAAGAAAATACCGAACCACCATGAGTATCATCCCCATCTTTTGACAACCCAATCTGATTACTTTATTGGAGACTAAGCTGGCACGGGCTCGCTAGTAGCTTGTCCTAAAGACGTTGAGTCCGTTTCTCGAGTCCCTTGAGTAACATCAAAATCGTGTGAAAACAGAATGTTGCCAGATAAAAGGGACTCAGAATCTGCACACCATCAAACGTAAAACCAGGCATTGAGAACATTTACAGATAAGTCTGTACTTCAAAGTTAAAGCTTTCCGAGGGGAAACTAGATGTCATAACGACTTAAATGCTCTCGTAAATTTTGTAAAGATAATTCTGTTTGATTTGTAAAAAATCTTCAAAGGAGAAACATGGCTATCAATCAACTGCCAAGCTTACCTGTCAAAGCAAGGCATGCTGCCTCTCTTCGCACGTATCTCGCTAAGGACTGCAAAAACGGCAAAAAAAATTACGGGGCAATATTATTGACCAATAGCAGTTGACAAGAGGAGGAAGAACCTCTGTAATGATTAATCAGATCGCTATATAATCTGTGAAAGATCGACATCATACTGGTTCTCAAGTCATAAAGTACGGCCTCTTAAAGTCATTAAGTCCTGGTGCGGGTTTTAGCATTCTCATAGGCACCATATCCTTCCTCTCAAAACGCTGAAAAGTACCACAATCCCTCATTTTCCGTCACTTTCCCGACAATCAGTCGACTGATCAGTCAAGTGTACGGAGAACGAACAAGAAAAGAAACTGTACATAAATCTTCCATTTAATAGTATTTCAAAACTCGGGGTGGGGTGGCTACTGATCATCAACCGACACAACACCAAGGACACTGCAGTCAGAGAACAGAACAAAAAAAATAACACAGTAAAAAAAAAAACATTCAGCACGAACACAATACTCAGGCTCTTACACAATTCAACTACTAGGCGACGGCTCACTAGTCTGCATATCAATTTCCAAAATCTTCTTATCCTTGGTGTCTTGATAAGCCATATCCATTCATAGGTTGGACTCCAGCAACAACGGGAACGACAAAGCTTGGTCCATCCAGCACAATTTCGAATATGTTTTTTACACATATGGATGAAAAGGTTCCAGGTTCCTTTTATACAAGATCACAATAAATCACCTTAACTGGTGCAGCCGCGGCTCCAGTGGGCATAAGAGAATCATCTTCAGCGAACACGTTTCTGCAAAAAATATGTTCGGGTGTTAAGGTGTTATAACGGGGTTCTCAAGCTTCCTAAAAGAAAACCTACAGCAATTTGCGTGGTTAACTGTCGCAGGACCACTCATACTTGCACTCCACACAAGAAAAGTATTATACTGAAAACAGTAGTGTAAGCTGTAGTAGTGTCTAGGGCTAGCACCATTACTACCTCCAGAGGGCGCGTGCAAGAGCATCTTTGACGGCAGTGGGTTGCATCGCGGCATCATATGCTTCCACAGCACCATAAAAATTCTTCTCAAGTTCTTTCATCCACTTGGAGATAAGCATCTTCACCTGCACCCCAAAACAACCAAAGCGCCAACTTAGATATCCATTACTATTGAGGAAACACAGCTTCTGATACAGACATGAACTCATGCTCTCCCGTCTACCTCAGATGAACGTCAGACAAGGTTACGAAAATATACGAGACACGATCCAACACAGACTGCGACTGTGTTATACGTACAACTTAGTGGGCCAAAACATACTAATGAAGCAAGGTAAACCCTGTCTAGAAAATGTGCAGAACGACAGGAAACTACATACAAGTCAAAATCTACGTCAATTGCGTAGTTACTCTGTATCAGTCGTAACAAAGAACAAGAAACAATAGACAACGAAAAGTCACGTGACCTGTATTCAGTCTGCTTTGCTTGTACCCTCAAATCTGAGACAAAATTCTTTTACTGAGGTGTATAATTACGAGGCACCGTAAGTCGGAAAATTTCAAGAGTTTTGAATACTGTAGTTTACCCCTTCTCCAACAACTCGCTTCTCAAGATCATGGTTGAATATTTCATACAAGGACTGGCCAACTTTCGATCCGTCCTTGCCTTCGGCTCGCAATCTCACCAAAGTAAGCCACATATGCAACAACAGCATAGCATGCGTTGTTCTAAAGTTTTTTTCTAATGCAAAACCTGTACACGTTGACACCAACGAGCAGCGATTAGTCCAATGGTTTTGTCGCCTTCAGCTATTCCGAAAAATAAACACAGAACTAGGGCGTAAATTGGAGATGAAACATGAGATTACGATGAGAACTCGCACAGAATCTTCTCGTTTACATGGTGTTATACGACCTATACCAAGGCTTGTGAAGTTTATTAAAACTTGGCAGACACAATCTTCTTCAATTTGAGGTCCATCCTGAGGATACTGGATCATATAAAATGGATCAGTGACACTCGTAACGAAAAGTGTCACACGTTCTACAAGGACTTCGACCAGTTCCAGTATCTTCAGAGACGAAGGAAAGCTACTACAGTGCATGCATGGAAATAAGAACGCAAATCCAAGTGTTGAAGAAGACCTACTTGCATATAGCTCGGGTTGATCCGCCTGCGCACTAATGCGTGTATACAAAATCTTACTTCCTCGTATTAGCTGGCTCTCCCTAGTGTAGAATCCTAGAAGTTTCAAGGCGACTCCAGAAAATCCAGTGGGAGGAGGATCAGTAACTCGAAGAGGTGAGTTAGGGTTTAAACTTAAAGGTTTTGGCTTGGTTGCCGATATTGCTATATTTTCCTGCAAGGAAGAAAAGAAAACTGCAAGTGAGTACGAGGCATTTTACAAAAACATGTTGGCATCTGAAAAGAGTAATATGGGTCTAAGGTTTTCTAGGCCAGTCGGAGACAGCTGAGCTAGAACTGCAAGTCCCTCAAGAAAGCTGATTTCACAGGAACAATTTTGAGAAGACCTGCAACGTCTAACCTGTGTTTCAAAAGGAGGGAAAGCACGCAACGGTTGACTTCCGAGCTTAGACTGACACTAAGACACAATCTTACCACTGAGAAAAGGCATTAAAGCGTTAAAACGACAGTGTACCTTCTCAGTTGATGAGGCCAGAGTAACATCTTCAGCAGCGTAGGACACGGAACGAGAGAAAAACGAAGAACCTGCAGTCCTCGTTACCCTCGTAAGGCCTGCTGGATTTTGTCGCCTAACTATTCTTCCTACGATTCCCAGCATCCTGCTCTGATGAATGACTAAAATGTGTTGTCCTCTTGATTGCTTCCCCGTTCAAAGATCACGAAATTTGTCGGCGAACTGATCACGCAGTCTCTCCAACCCATAGGCAAGTTTGCCGCTATTTCTTCCTTCTCGAAATCGCAACAATTCAGAATCTGTCATTTGACCCAAAAATTGCTCCAGGTTCAGATTCAACCTCAAAATTCGAAATGAGAGATCTCAGATCATCCAAGATATCAGGCGATCCGTCAAAGCACGATGCTCAAAATACGCTGTACAAACCCATTGCCGACACTCCTGAAGAGGCATCGGAAAGACGGTCGATCAGAGGATTCCCATTTTAAAATATAACGGGACTAAAAAGTAAAAATATGGTTACTACCTTCTTCATCTCGAATGAGATTGAAATAACGGCACATGGAAAGGTGTCCAATTACAACGGAGCAAAAGCAGTCCATTCATCCTCGCGACCTCTGGCTTTTGATCTATATGATTCAATTCATGACAAGCTTCGGCAAGATAAAATTAAAGAAAGCACAAACGGAACGATAGATCTCCAATCGCCAAGAATCTGGACAAGATCTTGGGCAGAAGAATCCCAATCGACGAAAATGTCGCGAAAATCACTATGGATGTTACCTTAAACTCTAATCCAGAACAAAGCCAAACCAAAACAATAAAAAACAACTGTAAAAAACTCTGGGCAAAGCATCACAAGAAAATTTCCCGATCATTCACATATTGAGTAAATAGATCCTACGAGACGTACATTGCCCTTCAGAACTGGATCAGCATCGGGGCCACTCGGACTGAGAATACCCGAAATCGTCGAGAGAATCCACCAAACTTGTACGTTCAAAGGACAGAAAATCTTCGCCACTTTCCGTCACTGACATTCACCAGCAACACCCGTCCAGTCTCCAGACAAAGCACACAGAACAGAAGCTCCGATGATGCGATGCGGTCCCTAAACCCTCGGATTGCGTTCCAGTTGTTGCCTCGGAGGTTTTAGTGAAGCTTTCCAATGGACGAACTAAGAAACTCCACGTCCCCTCGCCATGATCGTTCCTCAGCAGTACTTGTCCGCTATCGGGGCTTCTCACGTCTAACCCCACGAGATCGGCCGATGACTGCGACCATCGTCACGCCCAGCTCCTCGGCTTTTACTGCATGCCGATTGTTTTTTCGAAGACTCAATTTCTCTTCCGGTGTCTCACAGCGACTGCGCGAAGGGTTTCTGTCCACAGTCCGCGAATTTGCAGCTTGTTGGATTCCTACACGCGGACTATGGGTCCAGCTGGAAAGAAGTCCCGGCCGTTGAGAATGAAGCAGTCAGCGGCTACAAACCAAAAATAAAGTAGCCGGAGAAGTGCATCACATTATTATCATATTGTCTTATTTCAATGTACATGAGAACCACAGGCTAACATTTTACTTCACATCTGCACCCAGACCATAACCATCCGCAACGACCCATGCTATTCAAATTACGCCAAATCAAATTGTGTTATATGTAGTAACCGGTTACACCAGTTCTTGGTTGGATCTTGACAAACACTGCCCTTAGTATTACTTGTGCGCACCCATGGACAAATGATGTCACTCAAAACCCATGGGTACCCAATGTTGGGCTCTGATGAGAACACTATTATACATTGTAATTGTTCAAGTTGTTCGGTGGCACAAGTAAATTGCGGGTGGAGATAAATTGTTGTGATTTGCAAACATGGTAACATTTGTTTTCACACAGAGTTCCCGGGATAAAATAGATTGCAGACATTGCATTCTTCGATATTTTCAGACACGCGTTCACATCCTCATCGCATTGTGAATAAACTCCCAAGTTGGTTCTTCAGCCCGCTCGTGTGACTTTACTCTAGCAATGATTCTTGCAACTCTACTTCCCAAAGAATATTGTTCCTAATAAAAACTGTATAGTAATGTAATTATATAACCAGTAATTACATGACTAGAATAATATTACACCAGTAATATAATTCATATTGCTAATTATGATTTTGTTTATTTTTTTGAAAACAATTAAGATAAAACATCTAACAGAAAATCAAACTTGTAAGTAAGCCAGTTAAAATTTATACATATAATTTTGAAAGATATCAACCGTCTACCTACCAGGAAAAATCAATATTATAAAATAATTTGTAATTGTATAACATGTGTGCGATCTTGGAAGACATCAATGTGACAACTGGTCACACTCACAGCATGCAGAATATGTAACATGTATGTATGTATGTATATATATATATATATATATATATATATATGATCACACCCGCTTTTGCACCCACACCCAACCGCTAATTACCATGCTCATGCCCGCTTTTGCTACTATCCAAGCGCACTTCTGCTACTGCCCAAGCCCCATCAACGCGGGAGACAGCGACGGCTGCGGCGGTCTCGCGCCCCTCGAAGCCTCTCGACTACGCTCTCCTCTGCCTCGTGAACAAGCTCGGCTTAGCAGCTGGGTTTGAGGGGAGACGTGCTTTGACGCGCAATAAGTTGTTTATATGTAGCGGGTGTGGCCGTAGCAAAAATGGGTGTGGCCCTAGTCGGGCTCTATATATATATATTTATTTATTTATTTATTTATAAGACATTTCAGATCTATTTTTCAAATATATACATTTGGGAATGACACGTCAATTTTGGGCTTGTGAATAGCCAATGACGTAAAAATATTAACTCATCCTTAGTATAAATCAAATCTAGTCAAACGCTTGTCGCGACATATGTGGTACCATCAACTCATTCTGTTGAAAAGCTCCAAAAGGTCTTCCACCAAGGTACTTCTCATCATGTGTTATCGTCTTACCTACGTATCAAGGTTGCATACGTGATATTTAACAAAATGTATATGAACATAACAGTTTTAACACATACAAAAGCATCAAGTTTTGCCAAGAATTTCAAATAGCATCAATGATTGAGGTTACTCCAACTCCAAGGAATTTTTTTTTGTATCTGGATATCGGACTACAATGTTAAGTTTACTATTTTGCCAAAATCATATGAAAGTATCAAATCATTGATCTTTGACTTACAACATCATATTTGCTTTGAATTGAAGGTTCATCCAAGCATTGAATGCGGGATTTAATCCATAGAGCGGTAGAATGATCTTTTCATGCCGAATGTTAGTTGAGGTGTCTTTTGTAAATTCTTGAAAGCATTAGTTTAGGCAGTGAGAAATTCACGCATTCCATGTGGATGTAGTGCAGACATTTTCCCATTTCTAACATTCAATATCAGTTGTGGTATCTCCACGAAGACTATATACTCCGTCAGGTCATGTCCTTGCATGGTATCGAAAGCATTTGTTTCCACCTCTGACCAATCAGAAATCTCTTATGTACAGTATAGGAGGGTGACAGATAATTAACCTAAAATTAGAATTAATTAACTACTTATTAATTAAAAACTACAATTTTGAGTACTTTTTTTAGAAAATTTGCTCAAATGTTGAGTAGAATGTAATAATCTTAAAAATTACTAGTTAAAATGGCTAGTCTATCATGATATAAAAGAGCTCATCAAAGATCTTAGTGACATAATTATATGTGTTGTGATTCAAAAACTAAATTGTTTACATGGATGTAGTATATTATCACATGCGTGAAATTTAGTAGTGACGGTGCGGATGTTACATGTAGTAATCAATTTTTTCCAAATTCGGAGGCGGTGACAACATTCAACTTACAAGTTTTTCAGTAACGTCTTATTAGTATATATAGAGAGTCTCAAGACATTGTTTCTAATTCTTGTTAGCATGTTCAACACTTCTTTCAGTAGTTTTCTTCAAGTGTGGAGCTTTAAGTGCTATTCCAAGTTTATCGAGAGTACACTACCAGTTTTGTTGTCAAAAATTTTAAGTATTCAACATACATGATAATTCTGAAAATACAATATGTAAAGATCTACTATTTCATTTATTTGTGAAGCTCCAAGTGTATCAAATTCAAGATGTATGACGTTCCAACATCAAGATACACAACATGATTGTAGTGCTCCATCAATTACAACAAGAAAATGCTAGTCTTGAAAATGTCATGAAACAACTTCAAGTTGCTCACGTTTTAATCCATGTTCCAAATCCCGTGGCAAATCCAATTTCACCTACGTCAAAAGAAACTCTAATAAGCTTGCCATAGAGATTTGACGAAAATTCTATGAAACTTCTAGATTTTATCAATCAAGTTCAACTTGTCTTGCGTCTCTAATCACACGTAGTATATGTGTGGTTGGAGATCACACATAAACACAAGTTTGATACATTGAATTAATGCTCACAAGAACCGCGTTATCTTGGTTTTTGTCACTATTGGATGAAAATTTTCCACTTTGTGTAGACCTGAGTGATTTCATATCTTTGTTAGATTACATTGATGCCAATTATAGAGAAAATCTGCATTATAAAAATCTACAATACTCATGTTCATAACATCAAAAAGAAATAGAAATAATGGATTTTGAATAAGAAATGAATAGATTTAAAACGTATGGAGAACCAGTCTTGATGAAGATTTTTTGCTAGAAAATAGAAAAGATTTGATTTACAATTTATACATTAAATTCACAATAACAAAATATTCAACACATAGTCTAACTCTACCATGATGACAACTCTTCTATATTCATATTAGACATATGTAAATTTTTTTTCTCTATTTCATATAAAACCTCCTTATGAATACTATATAAAATGTACTACCCAAGTACTATTCTTCACGATAACATGCAGCTCAATTCCAACATATGTGTATCTCTTTGACAATCACATCCGCTAGACGCACTATTAAATATTCTTGACCTACCAGTTCAATCTGTTAATAATACGGATCTCTTGGTTTGTATATCAATTCTCAAAGTAAATTACTAAATTCATGTCAAAAGTACTTCATGTTCAAACTTTTGTAATATCATCCACCATGCCATTCTCACGTCATTTAAGGACTCATCAAGTTATAATAAAGTAAAATTCCATAGTACTCTCTCTTACTCGAGTACATGTGTCAGAATTTGACTTTATCAATTAGTGACGAGATTCTATTCTTGTGAAGAAAGATGATATTATAGCATATTTGTTATTAAGTAGAGAAAAACTGGAAACTTGACAGCGTTTGACATATTCTGTGACGCTGTCGGGCTCGTCCATCTCTGCCATGTGTTTCTTCCCATCTTCGTCTATACCTGGTACTTGGACCTCGTTTGACCATATATGTGATTTCTCTTCGTTCACCTGTACCAATGTAATTATTGTATGCATTATGGGTTCAAAACTTCAAGCGTACGACTGATGCATAGACTTGTCGTCATGATTGGAGTATGATCTCTTGGGCGTCAAGATAGGCCCAGGATCCGCAGATCGATCTACACCGGGCGATAAATACAATACTCAAAGCTTTGGGGGGATTTTCTCCTTGTCCAGTGCGTCGGTTGACCACTTCGGTAAAGGTTGGTATTCGCTGATAAATCAAGTCCAACAATTTTCTAGCTCGAGACAAATGCGGATTTGTTGCGCATAATATGACGATGGGTGAACTCATCAAATTGACCTTACCAGGTGGACAAGATTACGCGGTACAACGGAGCACAGAGTTCGATAGTAGAAAGCAAGCTACTCGAGGAGACCTCTGGTCGGTCCAAGTCACCGCGGTAATCGCATCCGAGTCAGTGCAGGTCACGGGCGTTTACGTCGACGACGTGGAAAAGTCGGTCCGTAGGTACACCCAACTCATTGAGGCTTGACTCTACATACAAGAACATTGACCGCTGAATCAAGGGGAGATTCTGCGGCGGTCGATGCCAGCACGGTGCCGGTGGAGTACCGGGCAAACCGGGGAGATTCGAGCCATCTAACGGTGCATGAAGGGTGTGCGAAATTAGGCCGGGCCCCAGCGGGTAAGCTTCCTTCGTCGGGCTGAGATGCAGCCGGTTCTCACCGGGAAGCGAAGGATCGAAGGAAGTAGCGTAGCACCGGACGAACCGCAGGTCCGAAGCCGCCCGGCCCGGCGTGACTGCGTCGGAGCTCGCGAGGACGCAGTCGAGAGGCAGAGAGTGAGGCTCGCCCCCCACTTGGCACCTGGAGAACACGAGCACGACGCTGGCGTTGCATCGACGACGAGACCTCGATCGAGAGCAAGCGGAGAGCAGAGCAGAGCAGAGGAATAGGGATCCGGACTGGTTCGTCGCTTGTACCGCAGGGGAGCAAATTCAGGAGAGTGTGTGTGGATTGTAGCAAGATTTGAATTTGTCGTCGTCAGCCGGAGAGCCATCGAGAGAGAGAGAGAGTGTGAGTTCCGGCTCGACGGCTTTCTTGGATGCTTTTCGGCAGCGGAGGGAGGCAAGAGGAGAGGTCGCGGAAGGGCACGCAGTTTTGAAGTCGTGCGAGTCGGTCGGTCGGTGTTGGCAAGGAATTGGGGATCGGTCCGCGCGGAGGATGAGAGGAGAGGAGAGGAAAGTTGATGGGGAAGGAGAGCTGGGGATGTTTGAGGAGGGGGAGTCGTGATTGGCTCACGGCATGGTGGTCGTGCGTCGAGCGAGGGACGAGTTGGAAGGATCGAATCTTGTAGCTTTTGTTGCATGGTGTAAATAAGTTGGAGGAGGTGGAATTTGCAGGCTTTATGGGGTGTGTTGTGAAGGAGCTCAATTTTGGTAGCGTTTGGTGCTCTTCGAGTTCGATGTCATATATGTAGTGCCCATCATTTGGTATGTACATTCGCGAAGTGATTATGTGTCTTTATTAACGCGGACATAGTCCAACATGTGATGCAAATATTACTGAATTCAATTCGGTGGACTCCTGGGCGTGTCGACGTGTCTTGTCTACTGTCTTCATAATCTCGTGTGAATTCTTCGGCCAGCTTTCAGCTTCTGTTGTCTTCGATTTCTGCACTTCATGGACCTCAATGGATTCACGACGGCGGGATTACGCAGTGCCAATTCGAATCTAAAGGCTCAGCCTCGACCTTTTACAATACTTTGCATCCCGTTCCCCACAAATATGTTCAGATTCTAAGCTTCACATCGGGACAATTTCATTGTTGACAAACTTGCGCACGTCAGGACTGGTCAACTCTGGACTAAGTCACCTTGACGGCAGGCACGCACATGTCTTCAACGCAGCACCAATTTTCGGTAATCACGACGTGTTAGCCAACAGTGAGCTTTGTGCTTACTTGTCGTTACGATTATTGCAGACACACTCATCTACCGCGAAGAAACGCGATCATGCGACGTCTCTAGTTGAACTGGAATTGTGACTTGCGCAGGAACTTTCACGGGCAAATATTTCGTCTGAATGATCTCGAGAAGCATGACTATTCTCAGATTGTTCTGACGCTTTTCGAGTGTTGTGCCTTTGACATGCACAGCGAGCAAACTTACCTTAGAGCTCTTACTCGCAGTCGAGCTACAGCACATTCTGTTTAGAGGAGTAAGACAGATCCGGAGTAAAATCTCACAGGTGATAAACCCGACAGTGAGCGTTGCGCCACGGAAAGAAGACAAGATGTGGATAGGGTATGTCACAGAGAAGGCATTGGAGGTGTTGGTGCCGTCATGGGGGGAGATCAACGTTTCTCTTGCTGCCGCCGTTCTCCTCGTTCTGGTGGTGAGCATCTTGCAACACACACTCGTGGACGAACAACAAGGGACAAGTAACAGGGGCCGAAAAGGAGCGCTTCCTGGAGAGTTTGAAGTTGATGGAAATAGATACAGTGATATGCTTGGGCATGACCCCAATTCAAGTACTGGTGGGGTTCAATCTAGAGAGGTGAGTCCTTGACCTTCATTTTTCTGACTTGCATGATGCGTCTACACAGTTCTTCTTCCGTACAAACCCAGTGGGCATCAGCTGTTGGGCTCACCACATTTGATCTCATTCTTAGCTTGAGCAGTCTTGGTTGTAACTTACGTCATACCGGGTCGTCTGCGCATCTGGAAGTTTTGATATGAGATACTAATGATCTCGATCTTCACTTGGTTGTGAGTGAAGTAAACAAAGGCCACGTAGATTCATAGATGGTAGATTTTTTCTACCGTGATTAGAGCGGGAGGTAATGCTTTTATGTACTCTTGAGAGGACTTTTCCATTGCATGAACTCACAATTTTCACTTGCACTATTTTGACAGTTTGCATCTAGAACCTGGGATAGTGCGTTTGTTTACATGATCAGAGTAAGTAAATACTACCAATTTTTTGTCGCATATTCTATATTTTTTCATTCTGGTCGTATTATTAGAGGGAATGGGAAGTAAGAACTTTTGCGTGGCTTGACCATGACACGGTTATGTATAAGGGAATATTTGATATTTTACACGCAATATACGGAGCATTGATCACTTTTACCTCAAAATAGTTGGAGCTGCTCGCTGCGAAGAATTTGTTGGCTGCCCATATGAATGGCACTTCAGATCCGTATGCGATCATCACTTGTGGAGGAGAGAAGCGATTTAGGTAAACTTTTGGTCCCGCCACCACCTTTACAGGAGTCGAACGACTGTATTATGCCTGTGTTACTCAACTTCGTCTTTATCCACTGGGCTTTCAACGATATCTCATTCTTTTTTGCCATTTCTTATTGATATTTTATATTTGATGATTTACTTTGTTGTTATTTTTGAGCTTATGAAGTCATCGGTCAGAATGATTGAGATCTATTTCTGTAACGAGTGATTCAGGTTTCTCATGCCGATGTCTGATCTAGAGTTAGCAATGTAGCCATGAATTAGTAAGACACCAGGGTCAGTCTCCGTCATCTAAGTCAACGAAGCCCAATGTCCACTCTCGAGCATCTTCTGGAAACATAGCATTTGGAAGTCCCAAACAGCAAGCTCATTCAGTCATTTATAAGCGGTTCGAATCAAGGTCAAGACTCCCCTTGCCATTGGCTTGAGAGAGAAACCCAGAATGCCTGTTGTTTTCATTATAGATGTTTCGGCCTCGTGTCCTTGGACTACTTTGTTTCCTTACCCACTGCTGGCACTTGGACAGAAATTTCGATCCTGAATGCTTGACATACAATTATGTTTTCTTGATGCAGCTCACTGGTGCCCGGAACAAGAAATCCAATGTGGGGAGAGGAATTCGACTTCTATACAGAGAATCTCCCAGTCGAGGTGATACTCTCGCATATTATGACGAAGATTAGGTTCCATATACTAATTATACTGTGTATGATCCTTCATATAAAAAACGAAGGTACCTGGCCTAGTTGTTGCCAATCTGAAACAGAAATCAGTTTACTTAAATGATATGCATAGTGTTTTTAGATTGTAGGTTGCAAGTACTGCACAGTAAAGAAGTCTCGTGTGTTATGTGAGAATGAGTAACTGCACCGTACTTCTCTCATGTTGTAGTGGTGTATATCTTCAGATTCACGTTTCTATCCACGACTGGGATATAGTTTTCAAGAGTACATGTCTGGGAAACATGAAACTTTTAATTGAAGATGAAGGACAAACCGAGGCCATTTGGCATCCTTTAGATACCACCGCTGGACAGGTAAAATCTAACAATCGTTGTCCCTAGGATGTCCAAGTATCCAGTAATAATTTTTAAAGGTTGCCAGCGTGTTTCAATTGCGAAATGTTTCAAATGCGAAATTCTGAATCAAGTAATGTCTTTTTTGCAGGTTTGCGTTCAGACTATCACAAAGAAATATCCCGTCAGTGCTTCCGAGTAAGTATCGTAAATTCTGAGGTATGTAGTAAGTATGACGTTTATTGTAAATGTGTGAGGCTTGATGAAGCAGTCGGTTCATTCCACATGCGTTACTCAAAAGTTGGTGTTATATCTGACAGGAATCTGAATGGATTTGCTGGAACAATGGCTAGAAGAAGATATTCATCTGAGAGACCGAGCGGAACAGAAGTTCGGCAGAAACCTGGACCTCTTCAAACGATATTTGGCTTGCCTCCTGACGAGGTATTGTCTTACTGATGCCCTCCGCACTTCAGGACGTTCTATCGAAGGCCGATTTCCCGTCTAATTAAAGATTGCTGCCTACAGGAGACACTGCGTAGTTTGTTTTTTTGCTTTACGTCTTTACATCTATTATTTTCGTGATCAGAAGTTATGATCCTAAATTTTACCTGGTTTAACCTCTTTCTGAAGCCAAGTTTCGAGCTTACCATACAGGAGATCAAACTTAGTAAACCAACAGTCCTGAAGTTAAAGTCTTTAGAAATCTAGCTGTCGTTGACCATATTTCCAGCTTCTTTACTGGTATTCACTTCGATGATATGATTGGAGAGTTCATCTCTGATTCTGCTCTTTTTTATGACGAATCATATGGGATACTCCTTGCTGCTGTCTGTCATCTAGAGTTTTAACTCTATGACCTGAACAAAACCTTCAAAACTACACCTAATTAGTTTTGATTGTCGCAGGTTGTGCAGCATAGCTACTCATGTGCGTTGGAAAGGTCATTTCTTTATCATGGGAGAATGTTTGTGTCTAGGTGGCATATCTGCTTTCACTCCAACGTGTTTTCAAAGCAGTTGAAGGTTGGTCCACTTCTTTCATTACACGTTCAGCGCTCTGCAGGAAGGAGTAGGGACGTTCTTATGTATCATGTGTCGTGGCTACTTTTTATTTGGCTAGTGACTTCTTCTGTAAGCTGGTCACATTGGTATATATGAGAGGTCTACTCTACTTTGGGTTTTAATTCTGCGCTTTGTCCGTTTCCTATGCAGGTTGTTTTGCCCTACGAGGATATTGACGAGGTTAGGACTCTTTTACAGTTCACATTTTCGTATTTCTTCTCTCGAGTGGTTTGTTTACCTCCCTGATGTCTTCGGTCTTCAGTGGATTATGTGATTGTGCCTGATATGGGAAAGTCATCCTTTCTACTTAGAATCTAATTGTCTGCAAAAAGGTGTTCGACTCAAATATAGGTAAGGATCAGTAGATCTAGATATAGTAAAATGTTTTGCTGTCTTATGCAGATTAAACGAAGTCAGCATGCCTTTATCAACCCTGCCATCACCATTATATTGAGGGCCGGCGCAGGTGGTCATGGGGTCCCCCCTCTGGCCAGTACTGATGGTAAAGCTTCACCTACCGAAACCCAAACGTTTACTGGTAGTTTACTTTTCCTTTTTTGGTAATGGGACAGCCTATCCGGGCGTTCAACCTTGACGTCGGTATTCCACTTCGAACATTATTCATTCGCTTCTGGGCTGGTTGTTGTAATCGGTTCGTTTCTCCTCATCTTTAGATGCCGAGCTGGATGAAGTGGTTTGCACGCTTTGTTTGCCCTACTTTCAGATTTACGATTTTTGACACAGTATGTTGTCCAGGTGAACGTACACGTATATAGATTAAAATTTTTTTACTCGTGAGGTATGTGTGTGTATATACGGATGTCTATCTGATTATGGAGTACTAAAATACAGTTTCAATTCATGAATCTTGCAGGAAGGGCTAAGTACAAATTTGCTTCATACTGGAACCGAAATCACGTTCATAGAGCATTGGTACGGGCTGCTCAAAAGTATAGAGAAATGCAAGATGCTGCAAAACAGGTATATACCTTATATGTATGTTATTGTCTTTCTTGGTAGTTTGTGCAATTGGCATAGTTTTTAGCTACTGTAACTGTTCGAGTTGGAGGAATCATTTGGAAATATTGTTGGTCTAATACAAGAAACTGCATGTGGGTAACAGCGTTTGTATATTTCCTGAGTTTTATTCTGAAGAAAGATGAGTATAGGAGATCGATGTTTTATATGGTAGCCAACGTATTAGATTTTGTGCTGGGTCCGGATTCACGGCGACAGAAAACTGGACGCGAAAAACTCCATTGCTAAAAACATTGAGAGCGCCGACGATGGGTAGCGGCAGTTCTTTGACGCGCACCAGTTGGCATTGTTGATACACCCTGGACTTCTGTAGGCATTGACAGTTGGGTCCATGTGCCGTCGTTGTTTTTCTGCTACTTATTCATGTTTTCAACACTTATCATTCTGTGTCTGCTGTTTGTCTTCTGTAAAGTTCCTTTTTATTTCTGATGTTACTTTGGTCCTGGTCATTTCGTCCCCTTCTGTTCCCATTCTACTAATCGCAATTGTAAGCTCTGTGGTCCCTGCTTGTGACTATTGTGAGATTCCCTGCTCAATTATTTATTTTAAAATAATTTACTCTTCTTAATTATTGAAGAAATGATTTCATTCTTCTTATTTAGCGTAAGAAAGCCAACTCATAGTATTCCCATTTATGGGCAGATGCCTAAAACTTTACTCTTAGTATTTATCCATCATAGTTGAATCCCATAGACCCCTGAACCCTGGGTGAGCAGATCGGTGCTCATTTTTAACCTCTGGACATACTCGAACGAAGTTAACTGCCCTGGCTGTTCGTGATAATTCAGAAACTTATGAGGCGAACTTGATCTTACCCAGCCATAATGACACCGTCTTTTCGTATACAATTTTTATTTTTTTCCATGATCAAACTATTATGGTTTTTCGTCCCTGCTTACTTTGTGCGATGAGGACGTACACTTTTTGTGTTCACAGGTGCTCAAATGGGTGCCCTTCACAGACCATTGGGGCTCATTCTTACGGTGGTGACTCTGTTATACATTGCATGTTGTGCAGAGTTCTCTCACTGTTCGTTTTGTTGAATTTATTAATACTGTCAGAGGCTCTGCTGGAAGTTTATGAGCTGAAATAGAGTGTGTTTATACAGTATGCTGTCTGCTCTATACCTCCTGGTCTCAGACCGTCACAGCTGTCTTGGGTCGAACATTCTATGCTCAATACACTGTTCTAAAGTGCGAGGTTACCGGATCTCTCCTGTACTATTGCAATTAAGGTCTTGATAGTCCTCGTGAGTATTGTACGGTCTTCTTCGAGAACCATGGATGGCACTCAGAATCTACTTGGAAGCGGCTTTATACTGAAAACTATTGCTATTAAACTTTTATTTAATCATAAATTTATATTGATATAACTTAAAAGTAAATGTCGTTCTATTTGATTTGTTTTGAAGTACTTCCGTTTTGGCTACAGGAACAAAAGCAATCCAGCTTACGAGCTCAGAGCAGCTCCTTTAGGCATCTGCAGGAAAATTCCGCGTCCTTTTATGAGGAGGCGTTACCCGCAACGTCACTGGCGGAAGTGAAGAATATTCTTCCTTTTCTTAAAGAAGATGCCTTGACAGAGATCATCAAGGTTTGTGATGCTCCCCAGATGATAAATCTGTGCTGTTAAGCTTGAAAGATGTTCAGCAGGTCTTTTAGAGTTTGAGTTCTGCAGCTAATTTGGTATTACGTTGTACGATTATATCCGTGCAATTGATTGCCCTATGCATATTTATATGATTGGGATCTCAATGAACGAACTATTTGTGGAATCGCTTTCCAACCGATGTAGTAACTTCGGTTGGGACCACTCGAATTCTATGATTAACATGAGTCTTGACACTAAAGTTCAAGTGTTTGGGAGTTATTTTGTTTATCAGGTGGATTTGCCTGCTTCTGCTGAGAGGGTTTTTGGAGCATGCTACAGTAATGAGTCCAAGTTCACAGAAGCGTTCCGTGCTCTTCGGAAAGATACCGAACTAAAGGTATTCAGACGTCTTCGAGTCAGATTAGCTGCTTAGTGTGTGATTTCTTCGTGTTCGATTCAATTTTGTCGCTAAGAGCTATGACTTCATGATTTGTGCCTATCGTCACGAGATTGTGTTTGGTTGTCACAGATTGAACAGTGGCACCCGACAGAGCAATATTCGGGTGAAAATCGGAAGATTACTTTCCGGGCATTGTGTAACAACCCCATGTGTCCCCCAGATTCTGCCATGACAGAATATCAACACGTCGAAATGTCAGATGATAAGAAAGTTCTGGTGAGTACAAGACAATTCATATACGCATTTCATGATATACAGGTTGTCTTTCATAATATTTTTTGTCATTTCTTACCAACTTGAAGATCGTTTGTTTCCAGTTACTTGAGACAGTACAACAATGCCACGACATACCGTTTGGTTCTTACTTTGAGGTACAGTTTCTCTTCCATATCACTCTGAACTAGTTTCTGTCCTGGTTTGAACTGACTGTAGTCTTTTGCATAAAGAGGTGAAGGATTCGTTTTTTAGAAGTTATTTCTAACTGAAGATCTCCGACCTTCTTGCTTTAGGTACATGCGAAGTGGACATTTGAGAGTTCATCAGAGAGCACATGTCTCCTTGTCGTGAAAGTTGGTAAGTTGATTTTACATACAACTGACCTGCCCAGTTTGGTGGCAGTCCTTGTTTGTTTGTTCACAAAAATTACAGTGGCCTTTTTTTTTAAGTCTTCTTATCTAGAGACCTGCTAACGACACTAAACGTTTATCATCATGCGAATACGACTTGCACTTCTGCAGGAGCGCATTTCAAAAAATGGTGTGTGATGCAAGGGAAAATAAAATCAGGCACAATTACCGAGGTGATTTTTCAAGCTTTGACATTGAATATCACGATGCATCATACAGGCACCATCATCGGTCATAGTTTTGAATTTTTCCTTTAGTTAATGGCTGATACCAAATCATGTTGCACTAACATCTATAGCTGTTCTGCAGTACAAAGGAGAGGCAAAGTCGATCATAGACGTCATGCGGACGTTTTTAGAAGGGGTGGACACGGAGGACACAAGTCCAATAACAGGCAGTCTTGCCGGTGATGAGCGATTGGGTGACAGTCAGGTTGCCGTTTGATTAATCACTTTCCACACCACTCTCACTGTAGTCGACTGCGTACGGACTTGCGATCCTTCAATACAGAGTGAGGCAAAGGGCTGGGCTTGTAAATATATCGCCAGTACATTCAGAGAATCCATAATTTAAATCAGTCTTAATCAAGCAACTGCCGGGCGTCTAAGATGGTGGTCATTATGACAAGTTTCACAGAGCCAGCGTAATGATCACAGTTCCACTTGTAATTATAAGAACGTATATAGTTGGTTATTGAGCCCAAGTCGGATCCCAACCGAAGGCTACTGATTCCTCCCACATGCACTTGTCATGGGTGAAGAGGGCATGACTAGAAAGTGGGTAGGTGTCATAGCGTGTCGGCCCCACATCAGACACAAGATCTTGAAATGTGCCCGACCAGTTGAGCATATGGTCTCAAGGCTCAGCAGAACGTTGTCTTCGTCCAGCACAATATCATTCAGTCCGGAGCACGAAGGCGGTAAATAGAAGCCCTGCAAGTGTCAATATCTGCCTAAGGAGGTGTCTTGCCCGTCATCAAACTGTTGAAGGTGAATGGTTGGTATAATTGTCACAAAATTTTTATGGGAGCATTCTTGCTCGGGAAGATAGAGGTGTGGTGAGTGCTTCAAATTGAGCACGTCTCTAGTCTCAAGAAGAGATCATCAAGAGGAGTGAGCGTGCTTCCGCACGCTTTCTGAAGGGCACTTAATGTCTGTTTTCGCCAGTACTATACATTTGTAAAGTCTGTTAGGCAAACATACTTGATCGATCTGCCGCAGTTTGCCATTTTAAAGTGCCCTGGGGCGTAGGAGAATAAAGTCTCCTACCTTATTCCCCGTCTGCATAACATCACTGTGTAAGACGTTCATATATTACTCATGATCACAGAGCTCTTCTAGTTTGTTGAGATTGACAGGAAATCCTGGCAGAGCTTCCAATCTTACTTCACATATTTGATATCCCTTGTGCGCGTATAATTTTTGGTACCTGATGAAATGTGTCGCGGACTAACCTCAGTGCTTCTAGTGCGCAAGCAGCCCGCGGATATATGTGGAACTGTATATTCTGTCACGAGCCTGTCCTTGAGGTTATGAAATGGAGTAAATGCGTTATCTTTCCAACGTTTAAGAAATCTAACCTTCACAGTTACTTACCTTAGGAACACATTTCCATTTTGATACTGTCTATATAGCACTTGCTGATCTCCCAGATTATTTAATATATTACGTAGAGCATCATCCTAATATACACTTGGATTACTGGTAGGTACCTTCCACTATCATCCTACAATTCTGTTACGAATATCACTTTTCATGGTCTTTTAAACCGAAGGATTTCGTTCTCGGAACTCAACCTCAAAGAGAGCAGGAGAGAGCAAAAGAATATTGAAGTTCCGGAAACATTTAATTATATCTTATGCAGATGTGTAACTTTACTCTTCACTTACCACGGAGTGAACATGGGAGTACGGTGGATTGACTCAGACACAAGGTAGACACTTATAACCTTGTAGTTTGATGGACTTGCTACTGATGCTCATACAACATAGTATGTTGTCAGTTGTGGTTCAAGTGGGATAAAAAAGTTAAAATGAAATAAATGAAGTCAATCACACACTATACAGATCTAGATAACCAAAGGAGGCCTTGAATAAGTAATAGAAGTGTGTATATACGCGACTTCTCATCTAGGGGAGACAATTATTTGATGACAACTATCAGAACGTAGAATCTTTTATGGGACCCACTAGGTTTACCCCTATAGAACATAATTGCCGTTGAAGGGGTCTAATATGGTAAAATGAAACGTATTAAGTCCCATTAAAAATTCTGCGTTCTGTTGGGTACCATCAATTAATTTTCTCCAATTAGCATCATGATTATGTATGGAATTAACTTTAATATGAAATCTTTGACATCAATGATTGTTTGTGTTACAATATCCCATAGAAGATATGTTTGACAATGATACGACTTGAAGACAATTTCATATTATTCATTCTTTTATTAAAAAATATATTTATAGTAATGAGACATCGCTGTAAGAGAGCATACTTCATGTAAATTTTGAGTTATTTACTTGATGGGACCCATCCCAACCTGAATTGCTTGATGGCACACATCAAAACTTGTTTTACATGATGGGACCCATCGGACGATACACCGTTGCCAAGTTCTAATATATATTACTATAAGCATATGATGCAAATTTTAGTGGAGCTCAGCAGTCGCAAATGGTTACTACATTGGACATCGCTCGTAAAAATCTCAACAGATATGATGAAACAGCAGGAAGAAGTACTCAAAGGAGATCAAGATTCGTTGATTTGATCTTCTCGCTTCTATGGTCCCATATCGGTCACTCTGCTAGAGGTTGGCTGTCTCTGAGAACAACCCCTTGATCTTCTCGTTTCTATGGTCCCATATCGGTCACTATGCTAGAGGTTGGCTGTCTTTGAGAACAGTCCCGACTACTAAGGTGTTACAGAAAGGCAATCAATTTTTGATCATCAGCACTGTCGTGCGACTCAGTATCGCCATACATCATACATCGCTGACATGCCTTACTCCCAACTCACACATACATACACAAGGAACGAGAGTGTCCACACACAAAGGTATCACAACTAAAAGAAATGTCGAAACACGAATACACAAAGAGTCGAGCCAAACTCACTACTCGTAAGTAGACTAAAAGTCGAAGCTAAGGGGAAAAACCCCGACGCGTAAGGCTCAACTCGAAGAACTGACAGTTCTTCGAGCTCGCCTCGAATATAACCCACGGAAGGTGTCGACGACCTCAACGTGCATGGCGTCCCAACGTGCAGGGCGTCCCAACGTGTACCGCGTCCTAACGTGTCTACACTCAAATCCACACTAACGTCTCGAGCCATGACAGCTGTCGTGCGACTCAGTATCGCCATACATCATACATCGCTGACATGCCTTACTCCCAACTCACACATACATACACAAGGAACGAGAGTGTCCACACACAAAGGTATCACAACTCGGCCCCCTAGCTGGCGGTCAGGTCCCTCTGACTCCCAGGTAGCCCTATCTACAACTACATGCTATGCACCTTCGTGGGTGCGCGAACCAGTAGGCCGGGTGCTATGTCGCCCCATCGTTAGTCGCCTATCTGCAATTCATAACATGTGAAGATCAAGTCATCTACCCTCTGAAGTACATCGAGGACAAACCCACCGTCCAATAGGAACAACATCGATAGGTGGAGTCAAGCACGACATGTGCCATCCCCTAGAACACCTATCACACACCAACATATGGGCCGCCTGATCAGTTGACCCACATAACATGCACCTCAAGCCGGCACGTACAATTGCCAAGCTTGGGTCCATAGTACCATCCACGTTTGGGAGGTGGCATGGCGCACAGTTGCGCACATGATCCTTCCAAACGACACCGTCACGACCCTCCAACATGAGAACTCCAGATGGTAACACCTCTCGCACTCGTAGGATAGTGCGTCCTGCCGTCACATCCAACGTAGTCGGTGCAGTCTGCTGTAAGTAGACGTAGTCTCCCACACGGAACCTACGAATCGATGGTCGATAACCTCCTCCTCGAATAGTTGCATACCGCAACGTATCTCGGTGCTGAGCAATCGCAAGGTTCTCAAACGCTGCAGGCATAACTCTCCGAAAGAGCACTGCACGTTGCGAACACACTCTCACCCACATATCTGGATCATCAAGGTTCACCACCTCGCTAGACTCACGCCGAATCGCTGCAGGCAAGTCTGGATCTCGGCCGTACAATAGAAAATATGGTGAAAACGAAGCCAAGGATGCTTGACGACTGAATCGATATCCCATGGCCAACCATGGTAACTGAATATCCCAGTCCCCAAGATGCCCCTTCTGTAGGCCATACTTGCGCAACGCTCTCTTCACCGTCTGTACCATCCGCTCAGCCAAACCATCCGCCTCTAGATGATCTCGGGAAGTAGTCCGGTGATCAATCAGCGTCTTGTCACACAAGACCTGAAACTCACCCTGAAACTCTGTCCCCTGATCGGTCAACACCTCAGCTGGTGCACCAAAGTGACTAAGCACCCTGTCAAGGAAAGCATATGCTACTCCCTCACTCGCCTTGTCAGGTAATGCCACCAACTCAATCCACTTGGAGAAATGCTCCACCATCACCAACACATACCGATGATGTCGTGTAGTCAAAGGTAGTGGTCCAGCATAGTCCAAACTCCAACGGTAACCCAATCCCATGATAGGTAAGGGATGTAACTCTGGTGTCGGGGCATTGAACGATGCCCTCACTCGATCACAAACCATGCAACGTGATACCAACTGCTGCACCTGCGTATGCATACCACGCCACCAATACTGACCTAGGAGTAAGCTGTACGTACGCTTCACTCCAAAATGTCCCAACTCCTCATGAGCATGCCTCACAATGCGTGCTCTCTGAGTTGGATGCGGTACTACCCGTACCCTACCGTCCTCCCACACTCGGAGAACATGTGCTCCCTCCAATCGGTATCTCTTCGCCCTCTGGAGAACACGATCTCGCTCCTTGGCACCCACTGTGTCTGGCACCATACTGGTCCGTAGGAACTCCAACACCAACGCATCATCGTGAACATCACGCTGGTCCACACCACCATCCTCAACCTGAGGATCCGAAGACTGACTATCTACTCTCTGACTAGAAGAAGATGTCAAGTGGTCCTCACTGCCAGAGGCTCCACAAAACCAACACATGAAGGCCGATGCATGCCAACCGGGCACCATCTCCTCATCAACCTCACCATGCCACCTAGCTCCTGTGTCATCCTCCTGGCTAGTGCATGGGTTCCGACTCAAACCGTCGGCATCCAGGTTCGCAACTCCAGGCCTATGCACCACCTGAAAGTCGTACTCCTGTAAGATGAGAGCCCACCGTGCAAGGTTCCCTGTGAGCTTGTCAGATTCCATCAACCACTTGAGCGGTTGATGATCGGTAACAAGGGTAAACTGCGTACCAAACAAGTAACACCTGAAGTGTGCCACAGCCCACACCGCTGCCAAACACTCTCCCTCGTACGAACTATACCGCGACTCTGCTGCATTGTTCGAACGACTAGCGTACGCAACCACAAACTCCTTGCCCTCATCATCACACTGCGTCAATACCGCTCCAAGTCCCAACATACTCCAATCAGTGTGCAACTGGTATGGACGACCTCTGATAGGTCTCCTCAAGATGGGAGCGGCCACCAACCTGGCCTTGAGCTCAACAAAAGCTCTCTCCTGCTCATCTCCCCATTGCCACTCCTGATCCGACTTCAGCAACTGGTTCAAAGGCTTCGCTATAGCACTGAATCCCTTCACATATCTCCGGTAATAGTTCGCCAAACCCATGAATGCACGAACTCTACTCACATCCGCTGGACGAGGAATGCGTTCAATAGCCTCCACCTTTGCCTGCTGAACTCCCAAACCACCTGGGTAGATCACATGACCCAAGTACTCCACCTTCTCCTGGAAGAACCTACACTTCCCAGGATGTAACCGCAGACCATGAGCTCTCAACCGCTCAAGCACAATCTGCAAATGTATCTGGTGTTGCTCCACCGTGTCGCTAAACACCAAGATATCATCAATGTAACATCTGACGAAATCTAGCCCCGCTAGAATCCTGTCCATCACTCTCTGGAACTCGGCAGGTGCATTCTTCAACCCAAAGGGTAAGAATCTCCACTGATACAAACAATCCTTGCCGTGAGAGTTGACACCCCAAAACGCTGTCTTGGCCTTGTCCTCCTCTCGAATCGGCAACTGGTGGTATCCCGCCCGAAGATCCAAAGTACTAAAAATCTTCGCATGTCCCACCACATCGAAGATCTCCTCAGGTGTAGGCATGGCATACTTATCGGCCTTCGTCTGCCGATTGATAGGACGGTA